TTCATAGCTGTGGGGGGGATTTGAACCCTTTTCTCCCAGGTCCTAGTCCAACACTCTGGTGCTGTGGTGGGGGAGGATGGAATTTGTCCTCCGAGCATTGCAGCACACAGAGAAGAGTTTGCCCTTAACTCCCCAGCTTCAAGCTTAAATAAATATCCCCTCCATACATTAAGGAGGCTTCGAAACATGAATTCCAGTGGAAGCTTGGCTGCATCCATATTATGCATTTAAAGCACCCAGAAACCTGGGAACTTGTGTGCTGTGAAGATACCAGAGGACAACCCCATATATGTTGCTCTTTGAAGGAAGATCTTCATGGGAACATTTGCTCAGGAGTTCAGCGATGCTCCCTCAGAACCTCTCTTCTGCAAAAAAAACCTCTGCACATGCTCTGACACTCAAGATTCTGTTGAAACGGAGAAATGTGAGCCATTCTAGAAGCTTGGGGAGGGGTGGAGAGAGAGGGGGGGATTCCCAGAGTTTTCTGGGAAAAGAGGCTGACTTTTAAACCACTCTGGGAATTGTAGTTCTGCGAGCGCAACAGGGGCCTCCTAACAACTATCAACAAACTACATTTCCCAGGATTCTCTGAGGAAAGCCATGGGTGTTTGAAGTGGTATGATACTGCTTTAAATGTATAGTTCAGATGGGGCCTAAGTCCCTTGGGCCAAGAGACTTGGCCCTATGTGCCAAGAGACTTAAGGAACTGAAATAATGGCTTGTGAATACCGTGACTTATTGCTTTTTTAATCCTTAGGAATGGCCAAAGTGAAACTGGGTGGCAGGTGGAAGTCGAACCTGGTAAGAGGGAGGAATTACTGGAGAGGTGAAACTGGGTCTTTGGCAGCTTAAGCAAAGAGGGGGAAACAGCATGTGTTATATCAGTATGTAGCTCAATTTTAGTACAGCAGCAGAATTGGCATTTTCTTGAAGGGATTACGGTTGACTGTACTCAGATGACCTCTACAAAGGAATTCAGCTAACGGGGAGTCATAAGTTCCTAAAAAGAACGGCAATTTTAAACCTGCAGACTCCCCTCGTCTGCTCGCGCTATGTGCTTGACAGGTTATTCCAAACACATTATGTGCTTGTCTGAGACTCTCTGCAGGCTTACATCCTAAAGATGTAAGAACACTAATCAGAATCTTTGCTACTGTCAGATTAAGGCTCTTGTTCAGAACTTTGTGTGTTCTTGTGGGTTTTTCTTTCTTTTCTAAATCCTTTTGAATTCCTTGTCAGACAGATTTCCCCCCACCAAAAAACCACACATCCAACTTGTATTAACATTGGCAATCGCAGGGGGATTTAACTGTGAAAGCTGAGAAACATTCAGATTAAGCGCTGGGAAGAAGGGCTATGTTTCATAAAATGCCATTGTCAGATGACAGCAGTTTGGTAGCCAAAACAAAATAAAGTGTATTTTGAATGATAGCCCTTAGAAAAATACACAGTAGGTGCAAGTCCGAAACTGTGTTGCTGGTTATACACCATCAACAAACAATGGGGAGAGAAAGTTAAATAATTGTAAGTTTTAAGAACTCATTTTGATCTTGTGTTTTCCTCCTCCCGCCCTTTTCTTTTTCCTTGTATGCCATGTCTTTTCTTATTATTGTTTTTATTGATTTTCATGGCTAACAAAGGCACATATAGCACCTCCGTTTTCAGTTCATAGAGTCCTGTCTACAAGTCAGTCACGTTTGGTGTGACACACTGCTATCATAGGCGTTGTGGAGTTGTGGGGGAGAAAGATGTGGGGAGAGATTAAGTTATTTTGAGATTAAGAGCCTGAGGGAAGAGCCTGAGGGAAGGGATATCTACATCTGCACCATATATTTAAAGCAGAAGATTCAATCTCTAGCTGGCAGGCAACTCTAGTTGAAACTGGGTAGGTATAGAAGTTGGAAACACAGCAAGGTCATTCCTGCGCCCCTGCATTTCAAGTCATATGCTATACAGACCAGAGAGAGGGCAGAGATGTCTTCTTCACACAATGCCCATTTCCTGATTTGTTTCCCTGTGCTGAAATCCAATTCACTGAAGCTGTCATCTGAGCATGTGCAATGGTTATCTGAAATGTACACACCTCATCTTAACTGCCACTTCCATTTTCAGATTGGATGGAAGCTGGTTTGAGGGAAAGTACATAGTTTTTTTTGGGTTTTTTGTTTTTAACATATTTTTATTAAAGATTTATTGGTTTACAAAAGTATGTGCAATGTCTCTTTTTTCAAGTTACATTTTCTACAGATCAGTTTCATTTGTTGAGACATTAGTGTTACATTAGGAAGGGAGAAAGAGGTGGAGGGGGGCATGGTGAGTGGGGTGGGGTCGGGTGGCAATGCTTCTATTCTACTTAATGTATGTGTGGGGTTTTGTGTCAGCGTCGCTTGTGCGGGTTCTCTTCACTATTTGTGTTTCTTTGGTGGTGAGACAGGTTGGGGTTGGCCTAGGATGCAGTTGTTTGTTTGTGACTGGCTGTGGTGAGCTTTGTTTTCATGTGTGAGTGGGGTGGGAGTACATAACTCAGTTGATTATAAAGAGGTCAGCAAACTTTTTCAGCAGGGGGCTGGTCCACTGTCTCTTAGACCTTGTGGGGGGCAGGACTATATTTTGAAAAAACATATGAATTCCTATGCCCCACAAATAACCCAGAGATGCATTTTAAATAAAAGCACACATTCTACTCATGTAAAAACACCAGGCAGGCCCCACAAATAACCCAGAGATGCATTTTAAATAAAAGGACACATTCTACTCATGTAACACGCTGATTCCCGGACCGTCCGCGGGCCACTGGATTGAGAAGGCAATTGGGCCGGATCCGGCCCCCGGGCCTTAGCTTGCCTACCCTTGTAATAGAACATATGATTCTATGATTCTATGAGAGTCTTAATCTCAGGGTTGTGGGTTTGAGCAGCAAGTTGGGCAAAAGATTCCTGCATTGCAGGGGGTTGGACTAGATGACCTTCGTAGTCCTTTCGGCTCTACAATTCTATCAGTCTATGAGTATTTCTCAAGAAGCTACAGGGTACCTATTGACTGTGGCTAACATCCAGTGTGTGGATCCAGTGTGTGGTGTTGGCTAACACCAACGCGGGTGGCGCTGTGGGTTAAACCACAGAGCCTAGGACTTGCCGATCAGAAGGTCGGCGGTTTGAATCCCCGCGACGGGGTGAGCTCCCGTTGCTCGGGCCCTGCTCCTGTCAACCTAGCAGTTCAAAAGCACGTCAAAGTGCAAGTAGATAAATAGGTACCACTCCAGCGGGAAGGTAAACGGCTTTTCCGTGTGCTGCTCTGGTTCGCCAGAAGCGGCTTAGTCATGCTGGCCACATGACCCGGAAACTGTACACCGGCTCCCTCGGCCAATAAAGCGAGATTAGCACCGCAACCCCAGAGTTGGCCACGACTGGACCTAAGGGTCAGGGGTCCCTTTGCCTTTACCTAACATCCAGTGTACTCAGTTTCAGACACCAGCGGAGCCAGAGCGAGTGGTAATGTGTACACAGCCATGATCAGCTAGCAGATGATGGGGAATATTTTGCCTGAGACTGTGGAGATTTGCTGCCAATCAGAGTCAACATGATTGGGCTAAACAGACAAATAATCTGTCTTGGGGTGGGCAGAAGTTGATTAAGATCTGTTGGTGATTCATCAAATGACGTGCTGCAGGTCTGCAAAGGATTTTGCCTCCACAATAGTTGAGCAATTAGTACGTAAACTTTATTAGCCCAGTTAATCCAAACATAAATTTTATTAATTTCCCCCTCCCCTCCACACTGGAGAGCAAAGCCGTTTTGGATATGCTCAAAGCATTAAACAGGCTAATAATGCATCAGGCCTGTGTTTTGCATTATACGGTGCTAGTTTTGACAGCGATGTGGCGCTGAAGGGGGAAACATTACTTTCGTTTTTTTTATCCATTGTATTAGAAAGGCAAGAATACAATTATTAAAATATCACTTATGTGCTTTGATTCACAGAACAAATAAAACAATAGTTTATTAAGTAGGCTACTGCGGCTTTGAGCAATTTTTAAGTGGTCCATGGCCATGCACACATAGAAGTTTGGAAGCTGCTTCCTCCTGTAACTTAGGAACATAGGAAACTGCCTTATACCAAACATAGGAGCCAATATTTGAGGGGGTCAACTCCCCCCCAAGTTGAAGGCCATTGCCATTCGAATGGTGTGTGCATGCCAAGTCATGTGATTAATTATTCAAGGCGTTGGTTACCTGAGGGGGCCCCCCCCAATATTTTAGTCAAGTTGGTGCCCCTGATACCAAGCCAGAGCGGGTCAACATTGAGTGGCAGTGGGTCTCCAACATTTCAGGAAGGTAATCTCTCTTAGCTCTACCTGGAGATGCTGAGGACTAAACCTGGACCCCCATGTTCCTTTGACAAATATTTATCAGAGCTGAAAGTGGAAGTCCAATAGATACCTGTTTTGTTTGTCCCTGTAAGACAAGGCAAGTATTGGGTAAGGTAGATCATTTTGGACAGTTCTTCAGGTAATTAAGATTGTAACAGCTGCTGGACTTATAGGGGTGACTGCAAAAATAAATAAATCTCCTCCTCTGATCTTAACTTTTTTTCTTTTCAAAGTGGACTGGCTCAGTTGTGGAAAACTGGCTTTGGGGATTGGATGGGAAGAGAAGGGAAGGGAAGAAAGAGAACCCTTTATAGACCTCTTTTTTGGTGGTGGTGGTGTTTTGACGACACCACACAACAACAACCATCCATGAGTTTCTCCCACGAAATCAAGGCTGCTGGCTGTGTGCAGCTCCCATGCCCAGAAATCTTCCTGGGACCTAAATGGTGTTTGAGCAAAGGGAGGAAAAGACTCAACTTTCCCCATCGTCTTCCACCCATCCCCTGCTGCAGGTGATACACACCCTGAGGGTGTTTTGTGCGTTTTTTTGGTGGGGTGGGGGGAGTTTAGAGCGAAGAGAAAGGAGATGAGGGGAGGGAGAACAGGAGGAGAGAGTGAGTGGAGGAGGAGGAAAGGGGGAATGAGAGAGAGAGAGAGAGAGAGAGAGAGAGAGAGGGCGCAGAAGGAGGACCAATCTTGGGAGGGAAAGGTATTAGGAACAGCTGCTCTAGCTTTTGCTCCCGCTCGCTTCCCAACGCACAAACCCGCTGCCAAAAGCAGCTCCAGGAGCCAACAAGCATGGGCAAAAGTCCCCCTTTACCCCTGAGATCAGGCTGGCTCCATCTGTTGACAGCGGCGGCGTTTTGCATCTGGGGGTCAGAAGCCAAGGTAACCCCGTGGGGATGTTTACGTGGTGGGCGGGCGGGGATGGGGTGCTCTCTTTCGGGTCCCCCTCCTTCCTTCCTTCCTTCTGGGTAGATTTCTCCCTCTTAGTGAGGGGTGGCGGGGCACCCTTAAAACTCCCAACTCCAGCGGTAGGTGATGCGTGGGGAGTGGGGGGCTCATAACGCCGAGCCACAAAGTGTGGGGTTGGTGCGTAATTGCGTTTTCTCTTCAACCGGGGACGGGGGGGGGGACGGGGAGTGGGGGGGGGTTGGTGGGTTGGCTTGTCCAGACATGCCAGGATGTTTTTGTTTTTCCAGCGAGTGGTGGTTGTGCTGGGGGATCTGGAAGAGAAGGAAACGCTTTGATTTGCAAATTGTGCCCATGTGTGAAAAATAAAAAAAAAAGGTGGGTGGAGAGCGGGAGGCGGCTACCGCCTTTCAAGTCAGCGAGGGGAGATGTTTATGATTTTCTCTGCCCGAGAGTGGAGAGCAGCGTACACGGTCGCCTTTTATTCTCACCCCGTTGACTCTGGTCTTTTTCTGTTTTTTGGGTTTTTTGGTTTTTTAAACTATGCTACGCGGAAAATTTGGAGACGGGGGCGGTGGGCTATAGAGCAAGGACACACGAGTGTGTTTTCCTCTTTGATCTGTCACGTGTACCCCTCCCCCGCCCGCCCCGCTCTCCTTTTAATTAAGTTGCAAGGAAGGACCTGACCACCTCATATCTAAAAGGCTTTTCACGCTCTGGAATCGGTGCCTTAGATGGAAATCCCGATTAAAACAGGTGAGGGGGGGGCGAGGCAGAGCTGCTCAGATGAGCCTGTTGAGCTAATTAATTTGGTCCTCTGGCCACAGATAACAGAGGATGGCTTTTGCTTTGTTTTCAAGGACTCGGAGGTCTGAAACTGTACCTGCTACCTCCTGCCTTCCTCCTACTTTCCTTTTTAGGCAAACAGGTGCTTCAGGCTTTTGTACAGTTTCAAAAACCTGTGTGATCTGTTTGACTGCTGTTCTCACACTGTTGCTGCCAACGTGGGGCGAAGTCTGTTGCCCACGAGGTATTTTGGGGGACGGTTTCCATTATCCTTGACTGTAAGTCATGCTTTATAAGGCTAATCAGGGGCGGACATGGGTCATCTTTTGTAATATGGCGCCCTGTGCAAGGCCAAAATTTGGCACCCCAAAATGGATTTTTTGCACCCCTTGGCTTGGTGCCCTTTGCAGAGGAACAGCCTGCACCACCCTAAATCTGGCGCTGGACCAGTGAAGTGAGGAGCTGAATAAAATATGAAGGGCCACTGGTTCTCGATTCCTGTCTTTAAAGAGATTGTAAGAGGCAAGTGTCATAGGCTAAGCATTTGTTCCATCGCTGAAATTTGGCAGTGAAAATGGCAGGGTTCGTGAGTGTGTGTGTGTTTAATTTTTATACCATGTTACATTTCCAGTAAGGCTTTCAGAGGCAAGAGAAAATAAAACATTACAAATCAAAATCAAAATAGAATAAAGATCCATGTTTAAAGCAGCATGATTAACAGGAAGAACTACAGTTCCCAGGATTCTTTGGGGGAAGCCATGTGCTTTGAAGGTGTGTTGGATGTGCTATAAAATGTATGGTGTGGATTGGCCTACGTTCCATTGGTGCATATTATTTTGTCAACAGAACAAGTGTACTGCTAAATGACTTTAACTTAGCTCTACCTTGGATACAACCTAATGGTCCAAACTATAAATGATGTTGATTACATTTTAAAAAAATAAATACGCAGATTAATTCATGTAAACAGTAACCTCAGGGAAGCCTTAACAACTTTGGGACTGTGAGGAGTAAAATTTTAACTCTTTTCTATCCTTGACATGCTCCTGACAAAAATCCTCACTCCAAAACTGCTATTTGCATTTGTAGTGACCATTGGCCCCGTTCAGATGAAATGGTAGAAGCAGCTTCTGAGAGCCAATTTTGTCAGGATTTGGAAAGAAAGAGTTAAACGCCACTCCCCACTCAGGCTTCCCCCCTATGCTGCTGTAGATATAAACAAGCACACATGTCAATTGCATTAGCACAAGTAACACCTTGTCTCCATTGAGAGTTCCTTGATTTTGACCATGTATGCATAGGAACTCATTGGGTCTGCCTCAAGGGCACAACCTGCTTTAAGTTTCTAGAGTTGAATTTATTATCCCAGAGGAGAAAGTGAGTGATGTATTATTGGGTGGTAACTGAAGTTGTGTTTTTTTGCTGCCAAGGGTCAGAGTCTGGATTATATTTTCTGAAGGTTTGTAAGGTTTATTAATACGACTCGGTGTGAGAGACTGAATCAGTTTACTGTGAGAGGATTTTTAGGACCCACCCAGTTTTTTTGATTGTACGCTGTTTCAAACTGTTTTTTTAATATTGTGCTTAAATTGTTGTGATCTGTCCCAGTAACCTGCCCCAGGACCTTAGGGTGAAGAACAGATTAACAACAACCAACTATGTCCAACTGGGTGGGAGATGAGAAGGGAACATTTATATTGCTGTCTGTATGGTGCGGTATTGCCCTAGATAGAGGTGGGTGAATTAACTGGTTGTATTTAATGCTGCCTAGGATTTTGTGTGTGCCAGATGTTAGCTTTGCAACAAATAGCTGGCTGCGTACTAGCTGTATTATGGGTACTGTGGTAGTTGGGAATAGTTGAGGGTGAGGTTTGTGTGCAGAGGACTGCCAGTGATGTATTTGGGAGATGTTTTTGTGGGTGGGTGACGTGTGGGTGCAGCTCCTACCTCAGTTATTTTGTTTACCCACGAATGGAGTTTGTGCTGTGTTTTCATATTTGACTTTTTATTTATTTTTTACTTTTTCTGTTTAAGAGAACATTGTATTCCCCTTCACAGAGCTACAATTCGCAGTCACTTAAGAAGCCACAGTTCCCAGGATTTTTTCCAGGGAACTCATTGGCTTTGAATGTGCATTGCACTCTATCAAGCGTCCATATGACTGGACAGATGGCTTTTGAAGAGGAGAAAGTAAGCAGTCTGGGGTCTTTTTTTGGCCTTCATGGTTTTGACAAGAAATAACATTGGCTTTTTCCTTTTAAGACTTCACAAGCCATTAATCTTGTGGCTGTGAAGTTTTCTTTCTTTTTCTTTTTCTTTGTTGGAAACACAATCATTTTGAGTCATGAATATGATTTCAACATTGGTCTGTTTAAAGACCATTGCACAGCTTTGCAGCACATCTAAGCATGGCTCTGAGAGCTAAAAAATTAGTTTCTGTCAGAGCCTTCTGATAGACCTCCCTATCCCTATTCAGACAAATAAAAAGTATAATTTCCTGCTTTGGAGCTTTGATTGGACAAACCACTAAGCGTGCAAATTTATTTTTAAAAGATTTATTGGCTAGGCCTTCTTCCCACAGAGGTGGTAAACCTGTGACTGGACTTTACTACTTTCAGTTGCAGGCCGGGACGCATATGATAGGATGTGAGGGTGATCTGGCTGCGACATCTGTCACCCCATTGATCGCCAGGGTTGGTTTGGCTGATCTGACCGGCTAGGCGGGTGTCCCTTCCCCTCCCTCCCTGCTCCTTGTGCGTCCCTCCCAAAACTGCCTGCTCCGTGGAAGATGAAGACCATCCCAGATAGAAGGAGCCTACTGTTTTTCAGTCAAGGGTGTACGATAGAATGTGCCTCCATGTAAAAATAAAAATCCTTTGTGTGCACAGAAAGCTAGCAGATCAGGGAGAAGACATGGTCAGAAACTCCCCCCCCCCCCGAAAGGCTACTGTTCTGTATGCATGGAGTTTTATATAACAGAACTTTCATTTATGAGAGTCCTCATCTGCATATCTAGGAAAACTGTAGTTTCCCCCCTCATGGGGCTAGAATTTGCAGTTTCCTTAGCAGACTACAGTTCCCATGATTCTTTGGAAAAGTCACTGGCTATAAATATGGCATGGATCTGCCTGTTATTGCACAAGAGAATACATAAGCAGGTTTCTGGCTGTTGCAAATGGATTGCAAATAGATTGTAGAATCTTCTGCACAAGTTCCTGCTAGGAGAGCTGTTGTGCTGGATGCCCACCCACTAGTTTGCGCAAGTCTGTATAGCATCCTTCCCCAAGTTGATGCCCTCCAAATGTTTTGGTCTGTAACTCCTCACTGGGGGAGACTGCCATATATGATAACACTGTACACCCCAATCTTATATATGTGTACTTGGCAGTAAACTCAATCGAGCCTATTCCCAGGTGCACTGGAGTGCAGCCCTAGTTATATCACCTTAATTTGGCTCTGAATATTGTTGCTTGTATATCTTTCCAAATAATCTTTGCTACATGAACTAGGTGGATCCTAATGAAAGATGTATTTGGAGACACCATCAGAGAAACCAGTCTCAAAAAACTTATCACATTCATCCCAGGTCATTGTGAAAATAAATTTGGCCAATAGATTGTACTGTAGAGATAGGGTATCTCCTGTATGTGCAGGAAGTCCCAGGTCCATGTCTTTGCATCTCCAGGTAGGACCAGGGAAGATTCCTGCCTGAGTCCCTGGACAACCAACAACAAGCCATTGCTTCAGCTTGTGGTTTGTTGAAAGTAAACACACTATAGTTAAGCCACTGGCAGCATTCAGGCATAATTCTAAACCATAGTTTTGGGTTATGTGCAAACCAGACCACTGTGTACCAGACCCAGAAAATCCTGTTGGCACTACATACTCGGTGTAAACCCTGACAGCGTTTATTTCAACCCACTCTTTGCAAAAAAAAGAAAAATGTCAGGTTAAATTTGTGGCTATACACATGCCACATAGTATATGCAAACTTGGCCAGTGCCCCAAGTCTATTAAGGGAGACCCTCCACACCCCAGGAGAAACAAGTAAGTCCCACAGAGATCCCGTAAGGCTATCCACTAGCATATGTATGTAGTTGCATCTTTATAAAAGTGAAAATATCCTCACAATTTGTTTAGATCTGTGGTTCCCAAACTTTTCTTCCCACAGACCATGGGGAAATTGTTGAGGGTTTTGGTGGACCACTTGATGGTTTTTCTGGGTGGAATTCGACTAAGGTTTACTCAGAGTAGACCCATTGAAATTAATGGGCCCAACTTAGCTGTGTTCATTAATTTCAGTACATATGTAGTTGCATACTAACCTCCGCCTGTCGTAGCAATTGCAATACTCTGCAACTTTATTTTATTGCTTGTTTTGTTTCTTGCCTGTTACTTTGCTGTATTTCAAATTGAATTCTGTAGCGTTCAGGTTGTAACACAGCAGAATATTATGTGAGAAGTGGAGGAGGCAATGGATGAACAACTGCAAATCTATATGAATATTTGATGTGACTGATGGGCTGTCTCCTGTCTCCAACCACAAATCCACAAAAACAGCACAGACCACCATTGGTCCACAGACCACTGTTTGGGAACCCCTGGCTTAGATGGTCTGGTGTGGTTTCTCAGGCTCACAGTAGCCATATGATGTGGGTTAGGTCGAGAGGTGGGTGATCCTAAGGACACCCAGTGAGGTTGACAACCGAGCAGGAATTTGAAACCAGATTTCTCTATCTATACGTCTTGTTTTCCATATACCATGCTGCCTTAATTAGCAGAAGCAGTGCCATAATTGTGGAGCATAACGCTCTCTCTTTTTATGATCATGCCTCAAGGTTCATTCTTCCCTCCTCTGCCCCACTGAATGGCTGATTGGAAAACTGGGTCCAATTTATTTTTGGGGAATTCTGTTTTTTATTAAGAAAAATAAAATAAAAATAAAACCACAATATGTTGATTCCAGGAGGAGGAAGCACATATGCATAGTTGAAATTAAATGCTTCCTGCTAGCTCCTAAGTGTGGGGCAGTGTTGTTATCTAGAGTGCAGGCTTTTAAGAAGCCTGAATTCAAATCCCCCCAGGGACACCACTTAGGTAGGGCAGGAAATGCAGTCTCCCCTCCGCCTCCTTTCTTTCAGACCACATGCAATGGCTTCTTAAAGGAGTCTGTACCTCTTTCTCCTGCTGTTGTGAACGTAATAGTCACTACAAAGAAGATTGCAGAACTAAATATATTTCCTAGGGAGTATGTTCAATTGGGAAGGGATGCGGGTGGTGCTGTGGGTTAAACCACAGAGCCTAGGACTTCCTGATCAGAAGTTCGGCGGTTCGAGTCCCCGCGACGGGGTGAGCTCCCGTTGCTCGGGCCCTGCTCCTGCCAACCTAGCAGTTCGAAAGCACGTCAAAGTGCAAGTAGATAAATAGGTACCACTTCAGCGGGAAGGTAAACGGCGTTTCTGTGCGCTGCTCTGGTTCGCCTGAGGCGGCTTAGTCATGCTGGCCACATGACCCGGAAGCTGTACGCTGGCTCCCTCAGCCAATAAAGCGAGATGAGCGCCGCAACCCCAGAGTCGGCCACGACTGGACCTAATGGTCAGGGGTCCCTTTACCTTTTACTTCTAAAGGTGGGTGGCGTAAATGGTTCTAAGTTGTTTTGATTTGGTGGTTTTTTTATATATAATAGCTTATTTAATTGTTATTCAATATTTATAATGGATTGGTGTGCAATTCTGTGGCATCTTGTGAGCCACCTTGGGTTCTGCACTGGGAGAGTCGGCCACGACTGGACCTAATGGTCAGGGGTCCCTTTACCTTTACCTTTAAGTTCAATTGGAGTAAGGGGTGACATGAGAGAGATGTTTCTTTTCTCTTCCTCAAAGCACTAGAACTCACGGACATTCAAAGAAGCTGAATGTTGGAATGTTGGAAGAACGTCCTGCAGCACAGTTAAACTATGGCACTTGCTCCCACAGGAGACAATGATGGCCACCAGCTTAGATGGGTTTAGACAAATTAATGGTGGAGAGGGCTATTGATGGCTGCTGGTCAGGATTGCTATGCTTCCTCCACAGTCAAAGGCAGTAATGCTTCTGAATACCATTTGTTAGGAAACGCAGGAGGCGGAGAGTGGTCTTGTGGGCCCTGCTGGTGAATTTCCCATGGGCATCTGGTTGGCCACCATGAAAACAGGATGCTGGACTAGATGGTCTGATCCAGCAGGCACTTCTTATGTTCTCAGATCCTCCAGGTGTTCCTATTTTCCAGGGACATCCTTGTTTTAGAGAAGCCGTTCCAGTTTCTGATCTGATTCTGGAATGTCCCACTTTTCCTTAGGATGTCCCTATTTTCATTGGAGAAAAGTGGGAGGGTATGGAGTTATCCTGTACAGCGGTACCTCGGGTTAAGTACTTAATTTGTTCCGGAGGTCCGTTCTTAACCTGAAGCACCACTTTAGCTAATGGGGGCCTCCTGCTGCCGCTGCGCTGCCAGAGCACAATTTCTGTTCTCATCCTGAAGCAAAGTTCTTAACCCGAGGTACTATTTCTGGGTTAGCGGAGTCTGTAACCTGAAGCGTATGTAACCTGAAGCATATGTAACCTGAAGCGTATGTAACCTGAGATACCACTGTATAGGCAAGGTTTTTTTCAAAATGTTTAATGTTTTATTATCAGCCCAGCAAGACAACGACAAAAATCCACCAACAGCATACAAATCAATATGGCTAACCTGATCCAAAACACCCACCCACCCCACTCACACATGAAAACAAAGTTCACCACAGCCAATCACAAACAAACAACCACACTCTAGGCCAACCCCAACCTCTCTCACCACCAAAGGAACACAAGTGAATAGCAGAGAACCTGCATAAGCGACACTGACACACAACCCCACATATATTAAGTATAATAGAAACATTGCCACCTGACCCCACCCCCACACCTCCCGCCCTCTTTCCCCCTCTTCTTCCTAATGTCTCAATAAATGAAATTGATCTGTAAAAAATGTTACTTGGAAAAAGAGAGAGAGAGAGAAAGAGACATTGCACATACTTTTGTAAACCAAGAAAATCCTTAATAAAATACATTTGAAAATAAATATATAACCCTATTCACTAAAAAAATTAAAATGTTTTATTATTTTTTTTATGTATGTTGGAGGCTGCCCAGAGTGGTTTGGGCAACCCAGGAAGATGGGTGGGGTATAAATAGTAAAATTATCATTATGGAATGGGACGTCCCTATACAGTGGTACCTCGGGTTAAGTACTTAATTTGTTCCAGAGGTCCGTACTTAACCTGAAACTGTTCTTAACCTGAAGAACCACTTTAGCTAATGGGGCCTCCTGCTGCTGCCATGCCACCGGAGCACGATTTCTGTTCTTATCCTGAAGCAAAGTTCTTAACCTGAAGCATTATTTCTGGGTTAGCGGAGTCTGTAACCTGAAGCGTATGTAACCTGAAGCGTATGTAACCTGAGGTACCACTGTATATGAAAACAATGGTCAGGGTTGATGGGAGTTGTAGTCCAAAACATAGGGCACGGCACAGGTTCCATATCCCGGCCTAAGGCAAAGGATGGGATAATAATGTAAATAACATGAAGCAGAAGAAGGAGAGAGAATGTCGCAGGCAGTCTAGGGCTGGTTGCGCTTGAAGCAAGAGAGAAAGTCTGCTGTGTATTTTTTCCATGACGGATCACTCCCGAGCTCAGTGAAGTATTAAAAAATTTCAACTCCGAAACTATGTCCATCAATTAGCAAAGAATGCAGTCTGATTAATAAAGTCTATGACATTTCAGCTATTAAGTCTGTAAAAGCAACTGGCAGTGGAGCCAGAATCACAGCTTGCTGTACCGAGGTCTCCTGCCAGATCAACCGACCAAATAATGCAAGTTGAATCCGTACAGCAAATGATGCAGCCGGGGCAACAAAATAGGTGCCTTGGCATGCAACTGCTGAAGCACTGTTTATAGCCAGGAAACACTACCACAATTAGAAAATCTGGGGGGCGGGCAGGGGAGGAATGGATGCTTCTCTTCCAGTATCTGCTGCTACGCTAGTGAACTGTACCAAGTCATACTGTTTGGGGTTGTATGCAATGTACCACTGCCTTGAAATCACTTAGGGGTATAGTTGTGCTAACAGAACATTGTTGCGCAAGGGAAAATACAAGTGCATTACCAAAGTTTACTGTTAAGCAGATTACACAACTGCTGTGTTGGATTCCCTTGTTGCACAACCTTTAAATGTTGCCATCTGCTGGCGCAACAAATGGACATAGGATACAGCCTTTTGTACACCTATCCCAATACAGACTGGCAGTGACTCTCCAGGGTCTCTGAGAGTGGAGGATATTACAGCAGGGCCAGCTGCTGTCACACTTGCCTTCTTGCAACCATTGCAGGAAATAAGAGCCAACTCCTAGGGGATGAGGAGTCTTCACACCCCCAATAAAATATTTGAGGGGACCGGGGGCACCCAAGTTGATAGACATTGCCATTCAAATTGTGTGTGTGCTCGATGTGATCGATTATGTGGGGCGGGACTTACCTGCCCACTCCAATATTTTATTCAAGATGGCACCCCTGGTTCAGGGGGTGGCTCTGCTTATCATTCGCTCTGGCTCCACCTAGTGGTTGGTCTTCCTGCCTTTCTGTCCTGCCAGTCCCAATTCCACTGGAGGAGGAGGAGGAGGAGGAGGAGGAGGAGGAGGAGGAGTTTGGACTTGATATCCCGCCTTTCACTCCCTTTAAGGAGTCTCAAAGCGGCTAACATTCTCCTTTCCCTTCCTCCCCCACAACAAGCACTCTGTGAAGTGAGTGGGGCTGAGAGACTTCAAAGAAGTGTGACTGGCCCAAGGTCACCCAGCAGCTGCATGTGGAGGAGCGGAGACGCGAACCCGGTTCCCCAGATTACGAGACTACCGCTTTTAACCACTACACCACGCTAGCTTTGGTGTTAGAGCTGGAGAGTCCCCAAATACAGCAGGACTGGCGTACCACATTTTTTAGTAAAGAGGGGAAGGACAAGAGAGACCTAAGCCAAGCATTGCCTTCTGCATGCAAAACAAGTATAAAATCCAGGTGTAGTTAAAATTCACAATTAAAAAAATCAGTCAAGGTGTTAAAAGGATCCATAATTTAAAAATGCAATAAAACAAGCCAGTTAAGAAGCATAGTAAGGAAAACGGTGTAAAAGGCAATTAAAACAATTAGATCACAAGTTCAAATTCAATGAAATGCTTGCCTAAATGGGCACGTCTTCAGGAGCCGGCAGAATGCCAATACTGATGTGACCTCTCATATTTAAGCAGGAAGGGCATTCACCACCAGTTAAGAAGTCCAACTCTTTGTTACCACAAGCCAATAATTGTCAATCTGTGCCAAAACTGACTGGGTTCCATTTGATACGGCCCCAAAATTGTAATAACACAATCATCAAGCCAAAGGACCAACACAAGCATGGTGTAGAATGGAATTGTAACTCCTTCCCCTCCCCAAAAGCAGAAGACTTATAAAACAAAAACCTTGGGGTTACACCAGATATGTTGATACCTCCCTCTTTCCCCCCCATGGCCTTGTTTTGGCTGCAATCCTGTCAGCGCTCCCCACCTGAATTTGTTATTGGAAGGAATGATAAGGAGCAAATACCAATGATATTCACTAAGGTACATTATCTGGGGAGGAAAAAACACAGAAAGGGAGTATTTCACATCTGAGGCTGCAATAGGGAGACCCGCAACTGGGAGCTGGGAAATGGAGACACTGGAGGTGCTCTGTGCAGGACAGATTAAAGAAGAAACATATTCTGCCTCCTTCTGGTTGACAGTTCTAGATAGATAGATTTTTGCATCAACCACTGGCCTGTATCATTTAAATATGAAATACAAACATAGAATCATAGAACTGTGATGATGATGGTGATGATGATGATGATTGTTGTTGTTGTTGTTGTTTAGTCGTTTAGCTGTGTCCGACTCTTCGTGACCCCATGGACCACAGCAAGCCAGGCGCTCCTGTCTTCCACTGCCTCCCACAGCTTGGTCAAACTCATGTTCATAGCTTCGAGAACACTGTCCAACCATCTCGTCCTCTGTCGTCCCCTTCTCCTTGTGCCCTCCATCTTTCCCAACATCAGGGTCTTTTCCAGGGAGTCTTCTCTTCTCATGAGGTGGCCAAAGTATTGGAGCCTCAGCTTCAGGATCTGTCCTTCCAGTGAGCACTCAGGGCTGATTTCCTTCAGAATGGATAGGTTTGATCTTCTTGCAGTCCATGGGACTCTCAAGAGTCTCCTCCAGCACCATAATTCAAAAGCTGCTGGTTTCCGCTGGCAACTTGGGCAGCTTCCAGCACTTATAAAAACATAATAAAACACCAAACATTAAAGACTTCCTGATATTGTAGAGTTGGAAGGGACCACAAGGGCCATCATGTATAAACAATTAAGGAAATAAAATTATCAAACTAAAAACACCAGCTGTTACAATCTGTGTACAAATAAAAACACTACTTCACAGAGAAAGGTACCAAACTCAATTAGAATTCTGCTGTAATTGACTATATAGCAATCTTACAACTGGCATATAGGCATGATGTTGACCATTTGTGGACAGCAATGCCCATTGAAAATTCCAGTTTCTAGATGTGACTGTTGTTGTTAATAATAATAATAATAATAATAATAGTGGCCACCTGAAGTTGATCAACGTTTGGCTCCTCTCTGGTTATACCAAATTCCATATTCTGGTTTGAGAATGGAACTGAAGGTGTTCGCTTTTTTAGAATGCGGATTTATGTTTTGGGTTTTCTATCCAAGCTTGTTTATAGGAAGCTGCTTTGTACAGAGCCAGACCGCCACCTACCTCAGTATCATCTACACTGAGCTGCAGCAGCACTCCAGGGTTTAGGCAGGAAGTCTTTGCCAGCTGGAGACGCCGGTGATTGAACCTGGGACCTCTGGCATGCAAAACAGACTCTCTACCACTGAGCTACAACCCTTCCCTTGATAAGTGCCTAAGCATAACTTCCCTATGTATAGATGCCTGATGCTGATTTGCCGTGACAGCTGCTTTAGGGAACACAGTGTTTGGGGTATTCATGTCTCTGTTTTGGTGCCTAATGATTTGAGTGCATGAAGCATAGCAATACTCTCTAATGACGACGGGAAAGGAGAATTTCTAAAATTGCAACTACTGACGTGTCTGTGTATTGTTATAACATGCTAATTGCCTTTTTACCTCAGAAAGGGTAGCCGGTGTGTGTGTGTCAGGGGGCAGCAGAGAGAGAGAATTTAAAACAGCTAAAACAACTCTGGAGACAAGAGCAGCATCAAAAACTCTGCAGCAGTTTCTTTTTAAGTCTGAAAAAATACAAATCGGAAAAATTTATAGTGTGAAGTTGAACACCATTCAGTAAAGCGTGTGTTGGCATGGCTCTAGCCAGCGATAATAGTCAGCATCCTACTAAATAGATCTGCTAGCACAAGGACTTCAGGCAGTATGAAGAAATATTCCCTCCTTTCCTATGCCCCCCTAAATCTGTTCTGAGGGTCCCCACAAACCCTTGGGAAGGGCACAGAGGAAGTACCACTGGACAAGCAGAAATACTTGCATTAGCAGATCTATTTAGTTGGATACAGCTCAGTGAGTTTTAGAGCTGGGAACCATCACTTAGAACTAGGGATTTAAGAAGGCATCAGTTTCCATTCCAACTATGTTCCAACTGTGCAGTGCTGTTTCCGTTCTGCTGCAGTTCAGTTTCTGGCAAAATCCACGTTATTCGTCTTGCTGTCTGCAGTGGCGGAATTTAATGTAAGTAATTGCATTGTTATTAAGTTATCCCATGCCACTCATTTAAGTTTGAAGGAAACACAATGCAAATGTGTGGGGGGGGCATCATAAATTACATATCATTTGCAGGCTGAAATCAACAGCAGCAAATACTGTTTGTATTCTTTTCCAGACCATTCTGCAGACGTTGGCAACTTCTGTTTCCATTTCCATCCTAATTCTCTGATATCCCTACTTAGAGCAGGGTTTTTTGGTTTTTTTTGCAAAAAAATTATTAGTTTTTACAATATCAACGACAAAGAAAAACACAAAACAAACAAAACATAACAAACATAAATCATACCCTTATTGAAAATAACAGTTATTTACTTTGTAAAACGACTTCCTCGTTTCCCCTTAGTTGAATTTCATTGCATATCCTTATAACGGTTTTCCAAATCCCAATTTTGATACCCTTTAAATTAAACATTAACATCTTTAAATCTTCTCCTTCTTGTATTAAACATATTATTTTATCAGTTAACATAAATACAATTCTAAGCCCATTAAGTATCTGGACGCTATTTCCAGTTATTTTAGCTTAACAAATTTAGCTAAATAATCATTAAATTTCTTCCATTCTTCGTGGTATTCCTCCTCCTTCTGGTCGCGGACTCTTCCGGTTAGATCGGCTAGCTCCATAAAATCCATCATCTTCATCTGCCATTCTTCTACTGTTGGTAATTCTTGAGTTTTCCACTTTTTAGCTAACAAAATACGAGCCGCAGTTGTGGCATACAAAAATAGATTAACATCTTTCTTGGGCAATTTCGAACCTGTTATTCCAAGAAGAAAGGCCTCTGGTTTCTTTATAAATGTATATTTCAACATTTTTTTCAATTCATTATAAATCTTTTCCCAGAAGTCTTTCACCTTGGGGCAGGTCCACCACATATGAATTAATGTTCCTTCCTTTTCTTTACATTTCCAACATGTATTATCACAATTATGATACATCTTTGCTAGTTTTACAGGAGTCAAATACCATCTATACATCATCTTCATAATATTTTCCTTTAACAAAGTACATGCGGTGAACTTAACCCCTTTCTTCCAACTTAGAGCAGGGTTAATGGGGAATCTGCAATCCTTCAGGTGTTACATACAAATGTAAGAATAGTCCACTGTCCTGAATCTTGCAACATTCGGCTTCATTGGAGCTCCACGAGTTCTTGTGTCATGAGAGAGGGAGAAAAGCTCTACATAATTTTATAAACTTCTATCATGTTACCTCTAACTCACCTTTTCTCTAAACTAAAAAGTCTCTAACACTTAGGGTTGCCATACATTCGGAAGTTCCCGGACGTTGCCAGGATTCGGCTGCTGGAAATCTCTTTAATTTCAGGAAAATGTCCGAAGTGTAGATTTTGGCGAATTTCCTTAAAAATTTGCAAAAACCAACAACCCCTCAACAACTTTTGTGTCTGGATTTTCACTTTTTGAAATATGGCAACCCTAGCAGCACTGTAACCTTCCTTTATACGGCAGCTGTTCCATCCCCTTGATCATTTTGGTGACCTTTTTCTGAACCTTTCCCAACTTGACAATATCCTTTTTGAGGTGAGGCAACCAGAACTGTCCACAGTACTCCAGATGTGGTCATAACATATACAGTCATACCTCTTGTTACGTTCGGTTCAGGTTACACCTTTTCAGGTTGCGTCCCACGGCGAGCCGGAATACCGGATAGGGTTACTTCCGGGTTTCACCGCTCGCACATGCGCAGACGCACAAAATGACATCACCAACATGCGCAGAAGCGGCAAATCGCAAGCCGCGCGTGTGCAGACGCAGGTTGCGTTCCTTTCAGGCTGCGAACAGGGCTCTGGAACGGATACCGTTCGCAACCAGAGGTACCACTGTACTTGTACGATGGCATTACAGTATTGGCCATTTTATTTTCAATTCCTTTCCAAATAATCCCTAGCATGGCATTTGCCTTTTTTTTTTTTAATAGTCCCTGCACGTTGGGTCAACATATACTGTGACCCCCAAGTCTTGCTACTGATTTGTCACCTCCAGTTCAGACCCCATGAGCGTGTATGTCAGGGGTCAGCAAACTTGTTCAGCAGGGGGCCTGTTCAGTGTCCCTCAGACCTTGTGGGGGGCCGGACTATATTTTTTTTGGGGGGGGGGGAATGAACGTATTCCTATGCCCCACAAATAACCCAGAGATGCATTTTAAATAAAAGGACACATTCTACTCTTGTAAAAACAAGCTGATTCCTGGAACGTCCACAGGCCAGATTTAGAAGGCGATTGGGCCAGATCCGGTCCCCGGGCCTTAGTTTGCCTACCCACAGTGTATGTGAAACTAATGATTTTTGCTCCAACATGCAACACTCTACACTTGCTTACAGTGAATTGCATTTGCCATTTTACCACCCTTTCATTTCATTTGGAAAGGTCCTCTTGGAGCTCTTTGCAACTTCTTTTTGTTTTAACAACCATGAACAATTCAGTGTCATCAGCAAGTTTGGCCACCTCACGTCTAACTCTAACAGAGGTTCCCAATTAGCTAAGTACTGTGGACCCCCTGTTTTTCAAAAGCCAAGCTATGGACCTCCTACTGTTGAAAATTTTATTATCTCTATGGTAGTTTTTGTTATGTGAATGGTGCCATGGAACCCCTGGGGTCCGCAGACCACCGACTGGGAACCACTGCTCTAGATATTTATGAACAGGTTAAAAAGCACGAGTCCCAGTACTGACCCTTGAAGCCTCCACTTTCTACTTCTCTCCATTTGGAGAACTGTCCATTTATTCCTATTCTTTGCTTCCTGCAATTTAACCAATCCCTGATCCACGATGTTGCTAACGTCCAACTCCCACCAGCCACAACCTGTATAACGAATAGCCATGGAAGACTGGAGTTGTCGTCTAGCAATATTTCTGTTATAAAACCTTTTATATTTCCAAAAGTGTTATTTTTTTTGCTAGCTGACTCTCCCACCATATACAGTAATAACCCACCTTTTCTTTTTGACATTTCCAGGATAAACCCGGGTATTTTCTCTGTTACTAGGGTTAGATAAAACCACATCACTACTTTGTTACTAAAATCCTTTATTGCTATACATAAGGCGATCTTTTCCATAAGCTTTCCCATACTTCCATTGGGGTATTCTTTCCTTTATTTTCTGCATCAGTTTAATCATAAAATCCTTTATTTGCTTGAATTCTGTATCATATTTCAATACTAAATGGTATGATTTTGACAATAAACAGTCATTTTGGTAATTATTTTTTCATAACCTGTAATGAGTATGGGTTGCTCGTGCGTAAGTTGCCGCCTCTCCTGGCTATGTTGCCTTGTTTAAACCAGTCTGATTCTTCTTCCTCCGAAGCCTCTTCTCCCTCCCCTTCGGAGGCAGAAAAACCCACAAAATCCTCTTCATCGTCTGTGGTTCCAAATTGCTCCTCCCAGAATCTCGCTAGTGGTTTGGGTTTGTCCGGGAACAGGCGGTGGAATTCCTCCACCAGATACCCGTCAGTGATTGCTTCCGTGGGAACCCACGTGTTTTCTGACCCGGGTTCTCCCTCCCAAGCTACCAAGTACTCCACCTGGCGTCCTCGCCACCTTGAATCAAGTATTTCCGTGGCCAAGTTGTGGTGCTCCCTCTCTTCTACCTGCGGGTGTGTGGTGACTTCTCCCTCTCGCCCCGGGAATCCCCGTCCTTCCCTGTACGGTGAGAGTAGGGACCTATGGAACACCGGGTGTATCTTCATGCTGTCAGGCAATTTGAGCTTGAATGCCACGGGGTTTACCTGCTGTGTTACCTCAAACGGTCCCAGCCGCCTGGGCTGCAACTTCTTGCACCCCCCCTTAAAAGGTAACCCTTGGGTTGACAACCACACCCGATCTCCCACCCGTATGGTCTCCCCTCCCTACGGCGCTTGTCTGCCTGCCTCTTGTAAATTTCCTTGGCCCGCTCCAAGTTCATCTTAAGTTGCTGGTGCAGGGCTTCCATTTCTTCCACAAACTGCTCTGCCGCCGGTACGCTCCAACCTTCCTCCCCACTCCCCGGGAAGGCCCTGGGGTGACACCCATAATTGGCCATGAACGGGCTCATTCCCGTGGACACATGTTCAGCGTTATTGTACGCAAATTCAGCCAGCGCTAGTTTCTCTACCCAATCGTTCTGCCTCTCGCTGACGTAGCAGCGTAGGTATTGCTGGAGTATACTGTTCGCTCTTTCTGCTTGCCCGTTGGTTTCCGGGTGTCTCGCCGTTGAGAAGCTCACTTCGACCTGCAGCAAGCTCATGAGCTTCCTCCAGAAACGGGAAGTAAATTGTTTCCCGCGGTCGGAGATAACCCTCGAAGGAGCCCCATGCAACCTGAAAATGTGATCTACAAACAACCTGGCTGTTTCCTCTGCCGTGACCGCATGTGAGCAAGCTATAAAATGGCACATTTTTGTTAGTAGATCGACCACTACCATGACCGCTGTCTTCCCCCGGGACTTGGGCAAATCGGTCATAAAATCAATGGACACCACCTCCCAAGGTCCCCAGCGTGGGTAAGGGTTCCAGTAATCCTGCGGGGGCAGCCCGCTCCCCCTTTGCCCTTTGGCAGCGGTCGCACCCCCGCACATATTCCCGTACATCCTCCCTCACCCTGGGTCACCAGAACTGCCTGGTGACGAGCATCATGGTTTTGTGCTGTCCAAAGGGTCCAGCTGTGGGGTTGTCGTGGAGTTGTTTGAGTACCTTCCCCCGTAGGGTCTCCCCCGGTACATACAGCGCCCCTTATAGTACAGCACCCCTTCCTTCTCCTCAAACCCTCCTTGGGTTTCTCTTCCGTCTCGGAGTTCCCGGATTTTAGTTTGTGCGAACACGTCGTTTCTAGTGAGTCCAGCCAGTTCTCGTTTCCCCACCAAGCACAACCATCGGTCCTCGGGGATCACGTGTCGTATCTCCGGCGGCCCCTCTCCTTCCATGTACTCCGGCTTCCGGGAGAGAGCGTCTGCTCTCACGTTTTCCTCTCCTGGCACGTATCGGATTTCGAAGGAAAACTTGGAGAACTCCTGTGCCCATCGAATCTGTCTCTGGTTGAGCACTCGTGCGGTCCTCCAGTATTCCAAGTTCTTGTGATCTGTACAAACCTGGATCTTGTGCTGCGCCCCTATTAGTAGATGTCGCCATCGACGAAACGCCGCATAGATCGCAAGCAGTTCGCGGTCATACACAGTATAGTTTTGCTCCGACTTGTTCAGCTTTCTCGAGAAAAAGGCACATGGTTTCCATTCCTGCTTGCTCCTCCCTGGCTGCAAAAGAACCGCCCCAATGGCTCTGTCGGACGCGTCGGTCTCTAGCCTCATGGGTTTCTCCAGATCCACGTGCAGGAGCTGCTCTTCCGATGCGAACGCCTTCTTCAGTTTTTCAAAGGATTGCTGGGCCTCCTCTGTCCAGACGAACCTCCTTTTGCTACTGAGACAATCTGTGATGGGTGCTGTCAAGTGGGCGAAGTTCTTGATGAACTTCCTGTAGAAGTTGCTGAACCCTAGGAACCTCTGCACGTCCTTCCGGGTTTTGGGAGCCTTCCACTCCAGCACTGCCTGCACCTTGCTTGGGTCCATCGCTAAGCCTTTGTCTGACAACTTGTACCCCAGAAACTCGACTTCTCTGGCGTGAAACTGACATTTTTCCAGCTTGACCCACAACTGGTGCTTCTGCAGTCGTTTTAGCACTTCCCTGACGTCTCTGACATGTTGCTCCTCATTGTCCGAATAGATTAAGACGTCGTCCAAGAAGGCTACGCAGTTCTTGTACAGCAGGGACCCCAACACGTGGTGCATGAAAGCTTGAAAACAGGCGGAGCCCGACTGTAATCCAAAAGGCATAACTAGGTACTCAAAGGCCCCCAGGGGTGTGAACATTGTGGTCTTCCATTCGTCCCCCTCCCTCATCCTAATCAAGTTGTATGCTCCCCTGAGATCAAGCTTGGTAAAAATTTTCCCCTGCCTCACCCGTGTTAAAATGTCGTCAATCCTGGGCATTGGGAAGGTCACTGGTTCCGATACCAAATTGACGGCCCTATAGTCCACAACGAGCCTGGGTTGATTAGTGTCCTTTTTGTCCACAAAGAACACCGGACTGCCCCCTACCGCTTTTGATTCTCTTATGAAGCCTCTTTTCAGGTTCTTGTCAATAAATTCCCGCAACTCCTTCATCTCCCTGTCCGACATGGCATACAGTTTACCCACCGGTAGCTGCGCCCCAGGGAGCAAGTTGATTTGGCAGTCAAAGGGCCTATGGGGGGGTAGTCTATCTGCCTCCTTCTCGCTGAAGACCTCCTGCAGGTCAGCATATTGTGGTGGCACCTCACCTATCGGCTCCACAGCTATCCCAGCCACCCTGGCCATGGTCATTCTTGGGGTTTCCCCCCCTAGACAGTGTTCCAAGCAGTAAGCGGACCCAAAGGTGACCGTTCTCTGATGCCATGCCACCACTGGATCATGTTGTGCTAGCCAGCTCATCCCTAATATTATTGGGGGCCCTGCCAGTGAGGCTACGTGAAAGGCGATGGTCTCCGTGTGCCTGGAAACCCTCATTCTCATTGGTGGGGTCTGGTGCGTCACTTCCCCTCCCAGGAGCTCCCTGCCATCAATGGTGGTTACTTGCAAAGGGAAATCCAGGGGCAGCAGGTGGAGCTGGTGCTCTAGTGCAAAGTCCTTGCTGAAGAAATTGCAGGAACTGCCTGAATCCAACAGCCCTTTCACCTTGACTGGGTGCCCATTCGGGAGTTCTAGCACCACTTCTATGGCTATAGCCGCCCTGGGGGTCTGGTTGGGGCACTTCTATTGGTTGCTGGCCTGGCTGCTGTGCCCGCTGAGTGGCAGCCAAGCGTTGGCGTTTCCCTGCTCCTGCCCCTTTACCATCTCCTCCTCACCCCCTGCAGCTCCCACCATCCCTTGCCAGGCCTTTCTTTGCGGGCAGACCCTGGCAAAATGTCCTGGCCGCTGGCAGAGGAAACACTTCTTGGTGGTTTTCCCATCCTTTCCCTCCCTCTTGCGACCTTCACTGGAGTTTGAAACCTCCCGCGCGCGCACCCCATCTATTTCCATTGGCTCCGCCGGCGGGGAAGGCTGCCTTGGTATTTCAGGAATGCGGTAGTCATGGTAACGTTGCTCTCTCCCTTCCCGCTTCTCCTGGGCCCGCGCTTCCTGCCTTACACCAATCACAAGCACAGCCTTGGTCAGCTGATCCATCGACTGCGGGCGGGGTGCGCGGGAAAGTTCGTCCTTCACCGTTGGGGACAACCCCTCCTCGAACAGCATTTGAATGGGTTCAGAGTCCAATTCCCATCCGAGCCGGTGGACTAACATGGCAAAGCGTGACCAGTAGTCTCTAACTGACTGGTTCCCCTGTTTGCAGCCCATCAGTTCCCGCCGAGTCACACTTTGCTGTAAATCACTGGAATACATCGCATCCATCGCCTGGAAGAATTTCCTCAGGTCTTTCAAGGCGGCATTCTGCGTTGCCATTAGGGGCCTGATCCATTCTCTGGCCCCATCCTGCAGATGTCCGACAATATAGGCAACCCTCTCCCCATCGTCTGCAAAATCATTCTGTTGCAGTTCCAATGCGTACTCTATTTCCGTTCGGAACGCACTGTAGTCCTGGGGTTTCCCTCCAAATTTGTGTACCAGTCCCGGTACCTTCCTTGCTACGGGGGTGGGTCTGACCTGAGCATCCTGAACCCGCCTTTCGTCCAGCCGCGCCGTCAGAAGAGCCACATGCTGTTCCAAATCTCGGTTCCTCTCCACCAGATTTTGCACTCCAGCTGCTCCCTCCGTGGCGCCAGCTTCTCCGGTTTTGCTCATGATGCTGCCTGTCTGTCGCCGTGCACGAGCGACGTCAGGGACTGACGGATTGCTGTAATGAGTATGGGTTGCTCGTGCGTAAGTTGCCGCCTCTCCTGACTATGTTGCCTTGTTTAAACCTTTCTGTCTGGACAGCCCTTCACTTCGTGGCTGCCTCAGTCGCTAGCAGAATCCGTCAGTGGGCGTTTCTTAAACCTTTTCCAACATAAAAGTTGTTTGACGCCAAGTCTCCTCCTACTCTCCCTGCGCGGAAGCCTTCTGCGCAGGGAGGGCGTGGGTAGCGGAGGACCCGTGCTCTCCCCGCTGGTGTCCGGTGAAGAGTCCTGGAGCCCTCTCGCCGATTCCCCCATCTGCCCCCCTTTATCTCTGGTGTTGCGCTGATTTGCTTCCCCATCTGCTGAGCTGCCTCTCTCCCTGCTGGGCCCTTCTCCAGCATCATTTGAGAGCCTCCCCTCCGCCTCTAGCTCCGATGTCAGTTCCCTGACATCCCATTAACCTTCTTGAATTATCATTAATCATGGGATTTTTGATGTTTATGAAAACCTGGATGTGCTTAAAGGGTTTTCCTGGTTTAGTCTGCTCCTGATTCTTTAATAATCAGGCTTCTTATCCTGAATAACCAAATCTCTGTATCTAAGGAAGTTGTTTTTCCTCCAGATGTTAAAAACAAACAGAAGTCAGTTCCAATTCTTAGGGCACCAAGCACTGGTTTCAGAAGAGAGACAGCTGGATTCTTTAACTCTCTTTATATATTTTTATATTTATCCCATATTCTTTACCAGTTAGATGTAAGAAAATTATGATTATGAGGGTAGCAGGGTTAAGGGCTACCCTTGAGAGATGATTCTCTATTTGTGTGATGTTTTTGTATTTTTAGATACAGGGTTGACCAATATACTTTGGATCTGGCACAGCAGAACAATTTGGGAAAAATAAACTGCTTGCTGGTGAGCACTCTGCAACAACAACTCTGCTGATTGGCCTTTCCTGTGACTGACGAACCAGAGCCCTTTTCTCATTCCCATCCCTGCTGGGTCTCCACGCTTTGCAGTGATGCACAGGCAATGAAGTGAAATTTACAAGCATCCTGCCCCCAGAAGTCCAGATTAAAGCAATAGTCCCAGAATCTCCTCATCTTTCCCCACCCCCAATCCCCCTTTACGATTTTCTCCTTTGGATAAGTTAGGTTTTGAGGGCAGTAGTCGCAATTTTTAGCAATGACAGACTGATTTGCATGTTCTCTACTTCATGAGTGCGAGATCCAGGTAGTGACTCAATTGTGTGAACAAGCCAGATGACAGTCTAATTTGCATCATTTTCAAATCGCCAATTCAGCTTTTCGGTGTAGGTTTTTTGTTTTGTTTTTAAAGTACCTGTGTAAGGTGTTGCTTTGGTACCATGCATGGGTAGCCATTCCCTCTTGTTGGACTCCTAACTCCCAGTTAAGATCATGGGCACAGGGATGTATTGGGATATAAGAGTGGAGAGGTAAGCAATTTGTCACTGAGCCCATCCAGACTTGTGTGTGTGTGTGTGTGTGTGTGAGAGAGAGAGAGAGAGAGAGAGAGAGAGAGAGATTCTGTAACGTGTCATTGATAATAGTGAATTAGTCGAGGATTTATTCTGGACCATCCACACATCATACTGCAAATAATACTGAAAGTGGATGGTGAAGTCCACTCAAAGGCGACTATGGGGTTGTGGCGCTCATCTCGCTTTCAGGCCAAGGGAGCCGGCCTTTGTCCACAGACAGCTTTCCAGGTCATGTGGCCAGCATGACTAAACAGCTTCTGGCGCAATAGAACACCATGATGGAAGCCAGAACGCACGGAAACGCCATTTACCTTCCCATTGCAGTGGTACCTATTTATCTACTTGCACTTTTTGGTGTGCTTTCGAACTGCTAGGTTGTCAGGAGCTGGGACAGAGAAACGGGAGCTCACCCCGTCGTGGGGATTCGAACCAACCAACCTTCTGATCGGCAAGCCCAAGAGGCTCCGTGGTTTAGACCACAGCGCCACCCGCATTGTGTATAACTGCCTTGATATCATAGTAACCACAAATAACCATGAATGCACAATTTTATTTTGTTTTAAAAAAGGGTGTCTGGAAGAGCCCAGTATGGTTTTGCTCAAAGTGTTACCAGATACTTTTAACAAAAGAACGAGATATTTTCCTTAATGACCTGCAATCTCTGCCCACTCTTTGGAACAGGACACCCTTCAGCAAGTGAGAGGCTAGAAGCAGTTGGCAGATTTCGGGGCCAAGATGGTTTGAAGATATTACATTGATCCTGGTCCCAATTGTACTGGCTGCCACAGGGCCATCTTAAGTATATCCAGTGCTGTGCTGCAAAGATCCCTCTGGTGCCCCCCGCCCTTGTTTCCCAGAGTTGCCAACCTTTCTGCAGCACAGACATCCAAGGCCGAGCCAGTGTGGTTAGTGGTTAAGAGTGGTAGACTCATAGTCTGATGAACCGGGGGCGCGTCCTCACTCCTCCACATGCAGCTGCTGGGTGACCTTGGGCTAGTCACACTTCTTTGAAGTCTCTCAGCCCCACTCGCCTCACAGAGTGTTTGTTGTGGGGGAGGAAGGGGAGGAGAATGTTAGCCGCTTTGAGACTCCTTTGGGTAGTGATAAAGGGGGATATCAAATCCAAACTCTTCTTCTTTTTGTGGCGCTGCCGACAGCTTTGCAGGGCTGGTGGAGGCAGGCAGTGGCTGGAGGACAGCTCCTCTGGTGGGGAAGAGGCGGAGGCTCCGGGCGCGGCGCTGCTTCAGCACGGCATGGCGGAGGCAGGTGAGGGCAGTGAGCTGATGCTAGGAGGTGCCGCGTCCAGCCTCTGCCTCTTCCCTGGTGCCCTCCAGAACTTGGCGCCCCGGCGCCCCAGGCCACTTACCTCTATGGGCAAGACACCCCTGGGCTGCCAATTAGTTTCTGGGCCCTAGTCAAAGTGCTGGTTTTGACCTGTCTACATTTTTGTACACATTTACTTGGCTGGAGAACTGCATTGCAAAATTCAGAGGAGTGCAAGCTTTGAAGGATGGGTGCATTTCAGTTCTCCTATTGTTTTAGAAAGCACAAATTAGGTAGGTTCACCTTTCAATGCAAAGTGAATCGAATTTCTCTCCATCCATAGTATTACAAAGATTCTAGTACTGTCTCATCCAAACTAATTTAGTGCCAGTATCCCTGGACTTCGGGAAAGTGAGAATCACTTAGCATTATAAATGGGACAGGGAGGGGGAGTATATGGAACTGCTTCAAGGCTGGGGGGCATTCTGGGAGGTCCACAAACTGAAGTAAGTGGTGGGAGAGATTTGTCTGCATGCTGTTCTTCCACATATGGATTGCTTTCAACCTCATATGGCTTTCTGCAGCACAGACATCCAACATGTGGAACATCCTACAAGTTTGCATAAAAGAAGATTTGCTTTGTAGTGTTGGAAAACAAAATTCCAAGCTGTTTTCATCTTTGGGTTTAAAACAAATAACTTTTTTTCAAAAGGACTGAGAAGCCAATTTGGCTCTGCAAAATTAGCCAACTCCACTCATTCTGTCCAGGCTAGGAAGGCTAGAAAGAAACTTTCTCCTATAGAGCTCAACCCAACCTCATAGGATTATTTTTTGAGTATGGAATTTAACTTCCCAGAGGCCAAAGTTTGGATGTGAACTCATTCTGGGATTTCTTACTTGGTTTAGGAGAAGGAGCTGTCAACAACCCACTTCACCCCATCCCCAAAATCCTCTTTCTCACTTCGCTCAAAACATCCCATCAAATGGCTTTATTTTTGTCCCCAAATTCTTGACCCCTTTGCTCATCCTCTGCAAATATCCATTCCCATGTACCATTGAAACATCAAGAAAGTGGGGAAAAGATTATTTCTGGAATGGGATAAACCAACGTCAATAATCTGTGCTCTGATAACCTCCTGATTGGATAACCTCAAATGTGCTGTACATGCGTCCAAGATTCTGGCTTAGATTGACCCAGCAGCCTCTTCTTACGTTATTAAGGGCCTTTACACTGAATGTTAGGGTGTGGGCAGGATGATCCTGGTGGAAATACTAGGATGCATTCGTATAATGAACTGTTCAAAGCGATTATCTCACTCCCACGCCATTATCTCAAGCAAGGTAAATCCAGCAGTGTCAAGGGCTTTTCTGCAGTTACAGTATAATTATGGGTATCTAGTTTCATCATTTTAATTATTTAATGCAGAGTTGGCAAATGCCACTCGTGTCTGATAGTCATTGTTGTTGTTATTGTTTAGTCATCTTAGTCGTGTTCGACTCTCCATGACCCCATGAACCAGAGCATGCCTTGGAAACTCTCACTTCTCAAAGCTGCTCCTTTTTTATGTCCATGGAGTTTTCTTGGCAAAATACTGGAGTGGTTTGCCAGTTCCTTTTCTAGGTGGATCACATTTAGTCTAAACTCTCGGCTATGACCTGTCCGTCTTGGGTGGCCCTGCACGGCATAGCTCATAGCTTCTCTGAGTTATTCAAGCCCCTTCGCCAAGACAAGGCAGTGATCCATGAAGGGGGATAGTCATTATGTTATTTTTTTTCCAATTTTTTAAATTGATTTTCCAGATTAATAACAACACAAACAAACAAACAAACATAAATCCTAATTGTAATAGTTCCACTTTTGTTAACATTGTTAAGTGACTTCCTCGAATCCACCTGGCTGAGTTTCAGTGTATATCATTGTCACAGTTTTCCAAAACTAATTTCTCATAAAAGTTACTTACTCAGTTAACATCTTTCTTTCTTTTCATATTTAACTTTAAACGTATTATTCTATAACGTCACATATATAAATCCTTAGCCAATCTGGTACTTGCAAGTATTTCTATTTAAGTTATCTTAGCATATTTAGCTAAATGGTCTTTAAATTTCATCCATTCCTCCTGATGCTCCTCCTCCTTCTGGTCACGGACTCTTCCGGTCAGCTCTGCTAGCTCCCAAAAGTCCATCATCTTCATCTGCCATTCCTCCACTGTTGGCACTTCTTGTGTTTTCCAATTCTTGACCAGCAAAATCCTAGCAGCAGTTGTGGCATACAAAAACAATCTAGCATCTTTCTTGGGCAATTCCAGACCTATTATTCCAAGAAGAAAGGCTTCTGGTTTCTTAATAAATGTATATTTCAACATTTTTTTCAGTTCATTATAAATCTTCTCCCAGAAGTCTTTCACCTTGGGGCGGGTCCACCACATATAAAAAATGGTACCTTCTTTTTCCTTACATTTCCAGCATAGATTATCACTATTGTGATAAATCTTTGCTAATTTTACAGGGGTTAAGTACCATCTATACATCATTTTCATAACATTTTCCTTTAACACCGTACATGCAGTGAACTTGACCCCTTTCCTCCACAACCTTTCCCAGTCTTCAAACATTATGTTATGTCCCACATCTCTTGCCCAATCTATCATGGGGGATAGTCATTATAGTCCCTTATTATTAGACACACTATCGTTTTGTTTTCAGAGCAGGCCTGGCAAGGTAGATCAACAACAGTGGCGGAGCTTCATGCTCCGGCACTGGGGGGCAGAGATCAGGCGTGGGCGTGGCTGGTGCACATCCCGGGAGGGCGTGTTGCGTGTCCTGGGGGCATGGCGCACCGCCTGCGGGGGTGTGGCGCCCAGCACGCAGGGGGCGGCCACGATGGCACCCCACCGGGATCTTGGCGCCAGGGGCGGTGCGCTCCCCCACCCCTTCTTCCTCCGCCAGTGATCAAATATGCTCTGTGTTTTAATTAATTAATTAATTAATTTTTTAAAATGTCTTACCACCACCCCAATCCTTACGTGTGTTATGACAGACTCCCTCACTGAAGATGGGAGCTGGGTAAAGTGACCGATTTTCTGAGTGTTTAAAAAAATCGGACTCTTCCCATTAACAACGCTGGAGTGGTCTGTTTTGAGTGCTTGTGGTAAGGTTTCTTTATTAAACTAAACTCGGGGGTTGTGCTTGAGCAAAGGATGCCATGCATCCACTTATCCCAGAAAGCAATGAGGAGGCACTTCTGGAGCAAAACTAGACTTTTTATTGATTTGCACTCAGTGGGGTTTTTCAACTCATGTGAGGCGCAAATACGTAGTTTAAGGCAAACACTATTTACCTGAAGCACTATATAGCCTGAAGCAGCACTCTTGCTTAAATCTAGTCTCAGGATTGACTTCCACCTAGAATAGCTATTTGTGTTTCTACAACAGGAACAATCTCAAAGCCCCTTCTAAGACTTTTACTTTCCTCTCAGGGGATCAGATAGGGTTAACCTGCTGAGCTAACCCTAGTCTCTCTCTGAAAAAGGCCCCTGTCTAAGTGACAGGCAATCCCTATCTAAACATTTAACTATAAAGTTCTGGATTTTTAAATTGTCAGTCCCTCTTCATTGGCTGATTTAAAAACACATACAAATGGGACATAAATGATACCCTGCATATCCGTTTTTCCAATATTAAATTCAGTTCTCTGCCTTTCTGCAGCAATTTTGCATTTTAAAAAAATCCTCATGAAAATTCTTCAGTATCTTAGGGCACATTTCTCTTAATGAATGTATTTTATATGGTGTTACCGCAAATGCAATTTTTTTTGCAAGCAACTTCTCCCAATGTGATGTCTTTTTGTGTGTTATTTCCACAAGTATTTTTATTTTGATGCACAATTTCCCCATGTGTCTGCTGCAGTCCTGCTTGCAGCTTAAAGAGGAAGAGCAATGGCTGGAGAGTACAGTGGTATCTCGGGTTAAGAACTTAATTCGTTCTGGAGGTCTGTTCTTAACCTGAAACTGTTCTTAACCTGAAGCACCGCTTTAACTAATGGGGTCTCCTGCTGCTGCCGTGCCGCCACTGCACGATTTCTGTTCTAATCCTGAAGCAAAGTTCTTAACCCGAGGTAATATTTCTGGGTTAGTGGAGTCTGTAACCTGAAGCGTATGTAACCCGAGGTACCACTGTACTTGGAACCACCTGTCTACAAGCTGTCCATGGCATCAACAAACAAATTCCCATAGTGGAAAAGCACAACTACTTAAGTCAACAGGGAGGCAGGGAATGCATTTATTTATTTATTTTAGCCCAAAACAAATTACTCATCCAGTTAGGTAACAGCAGTTTTACCATATGTAAATGATTATGGGAGTTAGCAATTTCCACACTATAAAACATCAGTTCCAAGCAAAAGTATAACATTTCAACATGAGCTAGCATTAAAGGCTCTGCTTTCCTTAGGACCTATCCGATTTTGGGCTGCATATACACCATATATTTAAAGTACATGACTCCCACCCCACCCCCCAAATAATCCTGGGAACTGTAGTTTGTTAAGGAAGCCCATGTAGTTTTGCCATTGCCTGATGATTATTGGCTTGTGGTAACATAGAAGTTGGCATTTTCACTGGTGGCCCCCGTTTTTGGTAATGTCCCATCGATGATGGCATTCCATTGGCTCCTGAGCACACACCTCTTTAAGCAAGCATTTCCCTGAACTGAACATCAGGGTTATTTATTTATTTATTATTTAATATGCACATACAACCAAACATATACTCACTTATTTCAAAAAACCTGAGTACAAACAAATACAAAGAATACAAAAATAAATATTACACCTATGTGACTTCCCTCCACCGGTGTACGTCATTTCTTAATCCTTAATATGCTTATTTACCTTGCAGTTTTTATCTCTCATCCTTATGAACATCAGGTTTTCTTGTTTTGACTGTTTGCTTTATGGCATAGCTTAACTAAGGATGTTTTAACGCCCCAGTGGATTTTTATCGTGGATTTTAATTATATATTGATTTTTACAGTTGTAAACTGTTTAGAAGCCATTTTGGTATATAGGTGGTCTATTAATATATCAATTAATGAATTGATATATTCAAATAATGAATGATAATTGAAGTTGCTGGGAGTTGTAGCTCTGTGAAGGGTAAAATGCAGATGCTTTGGGACGCTTTAAGTGCATGGTGTGTACACAGCCTTGCTTTATGACAAAACAACTTGGAATTGAATCAAATGGCTGGAACCCTGAACCAAAGCACTCCATACTGCAACACTGTGTTGCAGATCCTACAAGTAGCAAAATATTGTAATAATAAATTTTAATAATTTTATTATTTGTACCCCAACCATCTGACTGGGCTGCCCCAGCCACTCTCTGCACCTCTCTCAGACTGTATTATTTCTGCATGCAGATTGTCGGGGGGAGCACCTGCACATAGGAAACTTTAGCACAGAGGTCAGCAAACTTTTTCAGCAGGGGGCCAGTCCACTGTCCCTCATACCTTGTGGGGGGCCGGACAATATTTTTTTGGGGGGGAAATGAACGAATTCCTATGCCCCACAAATAACCCAGAGGTGCATTTAAAATAAAAGCACACATTCTACTCATGTAAAAACACCAGGCAGGCCACACAAATAACCCAGAGGTGCATTTTAAATAAAAGGACACATTCTACTCATGTAAAAACACGCTGATTCCCATACCGTCCGCAGGTCGGATTGAGAAGGCGATTGGGCCGCATCCGGCCCCTGGGCCTTAGTTTGCCTACCTATGCTTTAGCACATCAGAGAGGAAACTTACAGTATGGCATAGCCCACTAATTTATGAAGGTACCTCCCTTCGTGAAAAGAGCTACCTCACCCCACATTCAGAAGTGGTTCGGTCCTAGGATGCTTCTACAACAAGGCTCTGCTGGTTTGCATACCCCAGTTTAAATTGCGGATAATGCTCTTCAGGGTTTAAAGGAAAAGCAACTGCAAAGGGGATGTAAGAGGATAAGGCTAGGCCCAGCTGCCTCATTAAGATAACCACAGCTGTGGACTATCAGAAATAAGGAGCCTTCAACAGATTGCACAATTACACCATGAAGTCACCATCCACCACATGGTCTCTTCTTTGGCCAGAATTGTAGCTTGCAGGAATGAGGGTTGAAGCAAAAAATAAATAAATGACCAAATAAATATGGGCACTCAAGCAAAGACCAGGAGAACCAAGAAGGCACCAGCTTTTGCACAGACAAAAACATGCACACGCACACGTCACAAGACAGTTCTTGGTGCTTTCTGGAAAGGAACACTTTTTCCAGCTTGCAAACAAACAATCTCATGCTTTTGAAGACTCACAGACCAAAGTACCATTTCTCTGTAATTATCTGCAGAGCCCTGTGGCATCCCATGCTATAATCAGCAAATGCAAAGGATGACAACTACACATGAGTAATTTGGTATATATTATTATGATACACATTTACTTGCCGGTATAATGAGAGCCAAACAAAGGTCAGGACAACATTCTGGGTTATGGGATGTATCCAGCCAAGTCCAACTCAGAATAGACCCATTCAAATTAATAGACCTAAGCTAGTCAGGTCCATTAATTTCGACGGGTCTACTCTGAAATGTATTGGATTGAATGCAACCCTATACTGAGATTTTTCCGAACACAGAGGCTACAGCTGCTCTGTAGATGGTCTGTACATTTTAAGCCTTTAATTGGACATTTGCTGGTTGCCGCCAGGTTGATGATTGCTAGATACTGGAATGATTTGGAGGAGTGTCTGTCATGCCTTGGTAGTAAAAGTTCTGGCAGATTGCTCTAAGCGAAAAACTCAAATATAAGTTAAAAATGGCAGTGGGGGGGGGAGTCTACAGACAAGTAGTGGGACAGTATCTCTTTATTGCATATGTGAACAACAAGGGACTCCCTGTAGCATACAGAATATTTTGATCTATTTAATTCTGGACACTAGGACATTATTTTAGAGATTCTAAGACATTTTCTTTTTATCCTAACACATGTCAATCATGTAGAACATGACAGTTTTTATTCTTGGAAGAAGGGGTGTCTTTCGAGATTTTGTTGTTCCTGTTATTGTATGGTGGCAATCCTTTTTGCATGGTTTGGAGAAAATAAATAAAAACATAATTAAAAACAACACAGCTGGTTAAATGGAGGTGGGTGTTTGACAACAAAAAATGGGAATTTATTCAAAGACAACTATGAAAAATGCTGGGCTGAAGTGAAAAAAGATTTAGAAATTTGGTCAAATTTGAAGCTTTCACTGCTGGGCCGTATTGCTGCGGTAAAAATGAATGTATTGCCTAGAATGTTGTTTTTGTTTCAAACATTGCAAATTGTGGACAAAATGGACTGTTTCAAGAGGTGGCAGAGAGATATTTCTAAATTTATCTGGCATATTAACAGATGCAAAGGAAAGAGGTGGATTTGCCCTGCCAGACTTTAAACTTTACTATGAATCAGCAGCTTTCTGCTGGTTGAAAGAATGGTTGCTTCTTGAAAACACTGACATTTTGGATTTAGAAGGTTTTAACAATGTATTTGGATGGCATGCATATCTGTGGTATGATAAGGTTAAAGCATTTAAAAATCACATCGTCAGGAAAGCATTGTTTAATGTCTGGATAAGATACAAGTACTTATTGGAAAATAAAACTCCAAGGTGGCTGTCACCGATGGAAGCAAAAGCTCTGAAAAAGCTCAATATGGAGGCCAAATGGCTGAAATATTGGGAAATTTTGGAACAAGATGGAGATAGACTGAAATTGCAGAGTTTTGAGAAATTAAAAAACAAAGTGCGAGATTGGCTTCATTATTATCAGATAATGGAGGCATATAATCTGGATAAGAAAATTGGTTTCCAGGTGGAAAAATCAAAATTAGAAACAGAACTATTAGAACCCAAAACTAAGATTTTGTCAAAGATGTATAACTTGCTGTTGAAATGGAATACTCAGGATGAAACGGTGAAATCTGCTATGATTAAATGGGCACAAGATGTTGGTCATAACATAATGTTGGCTGACTGGGAACAGTTATGGACCACAGGTATGAAGTTTACGGCATGTAATGCCCTAAGAGAGAATATTATGAAAATGATTTACAGGTGGTACATGACCCCAGTCAAGCTTGCAAAAATTTATCATTTGCCTGATAATAAATGTTGGAAATGTAAAGAAACTGAAGGTACATTCTTTCACCTTTGGTGGACGTGCCCAAGGATTAAGGCTTTCTGGGAAATGATATATAATGAACTGAAAAAGATATTTAAATATACCTTCTTGAAGAAACCAGAGGCCTTTCTCCTGGGCATAGTCGGTCAATTGGTGCCAAAGAAGGATAGAACCTTTTTTATGTATGCTACAACAGCAGCAAGAATACTCATTGCAAAGTATTGGAAGACACAAGATCTACCCACTCTGTAAGAATGGCAGATGAAGCTGATGGACTATATGGAACTGGCAGAAATGACTGGCAGAATCCGAGACCAGGGAGAAGAGTCGGTGGAAGAAGATTGGAAGAAGTTCAAAGATTATCTACAGAAATATTGTAAAATTAATGAATGTTAGAACGATGTTGGATAGAAATTAAGTGGTTTCTAGCTGTAATGCTTTAAGGGAATATGAAAAAGGGGCTGTTAAGAGGTAAAAATCTAACGTTACTACTTTAAGACCAAAGAATAGGATAAATAAAGAGGGTAAGGATTTGCTGAACCAACAAACTGAACTGGAATACAAAAAAGGGAGGTATGAGGAGGTCCGGGAAACAAGCTAAAGAAAAATAAGCAATGGAAAATCTGAATGTTTTTAATCATTTTTATTTTGTATTTTTTTTTCTTTTTTATTTTGTACTGTAATATTTTTTTAAAAATCCTAATAAATATCTTATTAAAAAAAAAAATTAAATGGAGGTGGGTGTTTGATCCAAAGATATATTGGGATTGAATTTTTAAATGCCCAATATATTTATTGGGTCCCTTTCAGACAATAACCCCCAAAACACACACACCAGTAATGTAGCCCCAAACCAGCATTATCTTGTCCTTATGCAGTGATTGTCTAAAAAACGGACTTAAGGACTTAAGTAAAACATCTGACTGGCCCCCCTGGAAGCAGGCTGTTGGTCTGATCCTGTATGACTTTTCTTATGTTCTCCTCCTCTTGTCGTGGTTAATTGCTTCCTCCACCCCCTACAGCATGCAATTCACCATTTGCAGTCAACAAGCCATAAGCATGCACAGGTCAGTCATCTTGTGGACAACCAGTTGATTTCCTGGATCTGCTTCCGCCATTGCGATCAGGCAGCCTCAGCCTCTCCACGTATGTTTTCAAAATGGAAGCCAAGAAATGTGACGCTGGCCTCAACCTGAAGCTCCTCCCTCAAAATTGCACTGCGGTCCCTGTACTATTCACATCTGTGTCTCGACTTACGTAAATCTGAGTGCTTTCAGATGATCACTTTATTGAGCCTCCATCCTGATTTGTTTGTAGGGAGATGAGATGATGTTGCTTATTGAATGAGGACGCATGATGATTTGTTTACAGGGAAGTTTGATGATCATGTGTCGCTGAGCAAGTGGGAAAGGGTCATGGCTCATTGGCACAGCATCTGCCTTGCATGCAAAAGGTCCCGGAAGGAGGTAAATATCTGGCATCGGTCAGGTGAGGCTGGGAGAAAAAAACCGGGAAACCGTTGCCAGTCAGTACAGACAGTACTGAGCAGGATGGACCAATGGTCTTACTCAGTATAAGTATGCTGCTTTGTGTTATATCACACTTTGCACTGCATTTTCCCATCACAAGACGGGCATGTTCTTTTGGGGAAGTACGTTTGTTGTGCAAGACCTCGCAATCAGTGATAATTTTGCAACCTCAATTTGCCAATATGTGATTGAATCCTCTCTGAAAATAGTGACAGTCTGGATGTGCCAACAGCCGCCATAATAAACTGTTCACATTCAGTGGGACAGATTCCTTTCTCATATTTAATAACACTTTACAATTCAATATTATCAGTTGACCCCTCCTTCTGTATCTCCTCCAGACACTCCCCTTTCAGGCTTTAAATTTCTTTTTTTCTTTTTAAAGCAGTCTTTTGATCTTCCTTGCATTTCCTCCTCCTTTGTCTTGTTGATGGAATACATTCATGAGTCTGCTCAGCCTTTCTGGCTATAATGAATAAATCATTGACTGCTGAGGTGACCTTTTCAGATATACTTTTTGTGAACAGAGCAGATTGTTGGGTTTGGCTGGTTTCCTCCCTGCTTCTTTTTGTTCCATCACCCCTTGCAGCCTTTCATATCAGCAGTTAAAAGTATTCCTTCTCAAATAAAGCCAAACAGCCCGCCTTCCAGATATGGGTGGGGGGCCTCCATCCCACGGGCCAAATTTGGCCTGACATAGATCCCAGTTTGGCCCATTTCCTCAAATCATACCCACCTGCCCTGCAGCTGGCATCACACAAGACATCAGGTGCACGGTGGTTAGAGATGCAAGTGGTTCAACTGCATGACTGTCCCATAAGGAACTTGATAAAACAGCTGATCGCTGCTGGAAGCAGGCTTGAAGTCAACACCTATCAGCTGATAGGTGGTGATTTCAATTCCACTACTCTGTGGTGCTTCAAAGCACCACATAGGGTCAATGCAAGCCCTATGTGGTGCTTTGAAGTTCCTATGATCATCATCTGATGTTATTATGGTGGCAGGTGAGCCTATTCTGTCCTCCCCACCCGAACCCCAGGGTAGGAGAGATAAGTATCTGGCCCACTAACCAGATCAGGTTCCCCGCCCTGCTTAGATTCTAGGAATGTGAGAAAAAAATTTAAAATTTAAACCTACATCTCTCATTTTACAAGTTTTCCACTGGAGAAAAGTGGAGTGGGAGGAAGAGAGACTTTAAGAACTAATTTATGGTGTATTTCAAAGCCTTTAATTTCAGGGTGAGCCAAAGAGGGCCTGTTAGTGAGAAGGAATCTAGAATATTTTGACATCTGTGCCTATACACAGACTCTGTAAGATTTGTCTGTTGTCCTGCCAAGATCCTTTTTGTGTTTAAACAGACTAAAAACGACTTAATCCTTTTTAGTTTTGTTTTTAAAATAAATCCCCTTTCCTCCCCAATTAATGCCAGGGAATGAATGGTGCCTGCGTAAGCGACTGCCTTATTAATTTATAACTTTCCTCTTTTCAAGGCAGCAGGGAGGCGGCAGGATTTATATCCCTCAAGTTAATGCAGGGATTGCATTGATGTTTTCTGAATTGATTTATTTCCCCTAGATCCATGCATCACCGTGGACCTGAAGGTCAACATGTCCTACTTCCTTCAGAATTAAGGCACGCTCCTCCACACGAAAACATTCCCAACAAGCATACCAGCTTGATTATACCTTTATTCAAGAAAACTATGGACATGGCAGCCGCCTCCAATGTGAGCGAGGCAACAAGTAACATATCTAGGCCATTCACAATACAGTTGAATCCCACGCAAGGCAAAAGGTGGTGTGTTGATCCATAGGGGGAAGTCCCATAATCCTGTCAGTTTGCATTTCTTAGTGCAGAAAGTATTGATCTGATGTGTAGAGATCTTTCCTATTCTGCTTAATTCAAGAGGGCTCTGGAAGCTTCTGGAAGTTTCTCTGTGTGAAAGAAACAAGCAGAAGGGTCGTGATGTTTGGGTTATTCCTTCAGATAAGCTGAGTACAGCTGGTTTAAACTTGTTCTGTTATCTCTTTCTGTCAAGGTCATGCAGACTATAATAATAAGGCCAGAAGAACCCTGAGTTTGGCTCTTTCTATCGCTCTTCTGGTGTGGTGTTTTGTACATAATATGCTTAGTGTTAAGTAAGGTTTAGTCTTATTATACGTTATTGTAAGTTTAAGTTAAGTCTGCTGCAACTGAATTTCTTATGGACAGTGCCAATCCTGAATGTATTGGATTTGTGACCATTATGCTCATTTGCCTTCAGTAGCAGTAAAACTGCTTGATGAAATGCAATTGCCTCTGGTCTATTTTTTGGGAATCCTACAACGTGTTTAAGTTTTTACTCTGCTAACTACACAGTCATACCTCGGAAGTCAAAACGGAATCCATTCCAGAAGTCCGTTCGACTTCCGAAACGTTTGAAAACCAGAACACGGCTTCTGATTGGCTGCAGGAAGCCAATGCCGTCGGATGTTCGGCTTCCAAAATCGTTCGAAAACTGGAACACTCAATTCTGGGTTTCGATCGTTTGGGAGCCGATTTGTTCAGGAGCCAAGGCGTTTGAGATCCAAGGTACGACTGTACATTGGAATCTGCTCTGCATCAATATTGAGTAGAATTTCAATGACACATCCACCACTGGGCATATATTTATCCGGAGCAGCCACTTCACAGACTAACAAGCCTTACTCTGCCTAATAGTGCCAGTTAAAGCCCATCTTAGTTCAGTGCCCTGTTCTCACAGTGGCCAACCACATAGTTATGGGATGGCTATGTGCAGGGCCTGAGTGCAACAGCACTCTCACACTTGCAGTTCCCTGCAATGGCAATCAGAGGCATATTCCTTACAAATATTCTTCATTGCACAGGCAGGCAGCTAGATGAAGTTTGCAAAGGGGTGGGAACAAATGCCAGTGACAGAGTGTTGATACTTTTTTTATTCAAAGCAACTAAGAAGTAATCTCCCTTTTAATTTCAGGTATACTATTCTTGCGGCGCACAGTTCAGCTTGCTGGAAAGAGGTCTTATTTTATCACCTGGTTTCCCAAACAATTACTCATCAGGCATGCACTGTATTTGGCAATTCTTTATCCCTGCTGGAACATACCTCATGTTGGAAATTTTTGACTTCGATGTGTTTGAAAGCATCAGCGAAAATCCACATGTCTGGGGTGGTTTCCTTTCTCTTCCAAAAAACACAAATGAGGAGCTTTCCCCGACTGAGGAAAATGCAGACTTCCCCACCACCTTTCCTACTAAGGGTATAATTTTCGAAGAGTCTCACTCGCAGGATTTTTATAATCTTCATGATGCTAGATTTCCAGAGGCCACCTCTCAGAAACAGGAGTCTAAGCAATTCCAGCAAACGCAAGGACCCAAAGAGTTAGCGGTTACTCAGCCTAGTGAGCTGCCCTTAATGGGAGCTACTAGTGCCACTTTGCCAGGACAAATTTTGGGTGGAGTACAAGGGGATCAAAACCCAAAGGACAAAATACTGTTTGCTCACCTTGCTGCCAGGGGAGGAAGCAAGGATTCAGAAGGCCCTAAACAACATTTAGGAAATGTGACTTTGGGAGAGGACATGGCCATATCAACAGTGGCCTTGCCAACAGATGCTTCCTCCACACCACCCTCCTCAATTGATGTTTGTCCCCATGATGTCTTGTACGTCTCTGACCTCACTGCCTTCTCTTCTCGCTTCTGCGGAACAAATTCACCGCTGAACAAGAACATGACTTTTGGGTCTTCTCTGAAGATGGTGGAAGTTATTGTGGAGCTGATCACGACCACGGATCGCGGGCGAGGCTTTGCGATGCTCTTTGAGTACAAGAATGATACAGAACTGGTTCCTGTGAGTGACTCAAACGAGGGGATAGAAAATATTATGATGCTGATGATAATAGCAGGGATAGTCTTCTTTGCACTTGTTCTTTTGTCCACGCTCTGTATAGCTTGCAGGTAGGTGCTGCCCTTGTTGACTCGTTTTTGAACCCTTAACTAGGGATGGGGAAGAAGTTCAGTTCAGTTCACATTTCAAGACTGACCTGCTGCATTTGCACTTTCTGAAATAATATCTGAACAAAAGCACAGCCATCCTAAATTTGCATTGTTCTGAATTTTGTGATGCAGTTCTCCAGCTAGGTAATAATGTGTACCAAAAATTGCATATACAGTGGTACCTCCGGTCACAAACTTAATTCGTTCCAGAGGTCCGTTCTTAACCTGAAACCGTTCTTAACCTGAGGCGCGCTTTCACTAATGGGGCCTCCCGCTGCCGCCGGCGCGCGACTTCCGCTCACATCCCGAGGCAAAGTTCACTACCAGGAGCATCTACTTCTGGGTTACCCGAAGCGATCATAAGGAGGATGGTACGTAACCCGAGGTTCCACTGTATATTAGGGGAAAGTGTGCAAAAATATATATTAGTGGTAATAACATACAAAGTGCATTATATTTGGGGAAATTGCTTGTAAACATGTGTATATTACTCAGCATGGATACAAAAATGTGGTTATTAGGCTACATTTGCACTAACAAGCTGACAATTTTTTTTTAAGATGTTTTAAAAATGCAAATTGCTGCAGAAATGTGGAGAACTGAATTTAAGATTGGAAAAATGAGAAACAGAGAACTGAAATTGAGTAATTGGTTGATCCCTACCCTTAACTTTCATTTAAGAATTATCGCTCTCAGCTGAGGGATGCCTTCCAATGAGGGATGCCAGCCGATAAGAATATTACTAAGCTACGTCTGATTGCTTCATTAAATTAATAAATTAAAAACATTTTAATTGCTTTAAAAGGTACCCCAGACTAATGGGGCAGTAGAGTTCTTCTTAATTAAAAAACAAGTGCTTATATTAAACAAAAACCACCTGCACGTACTATCTTTGAAGAGACGTTAAAGAGAGAATACCTCTTCAGAGACGATGCATAGTGAACTATGCCTATTGTCTAAAAACAAAAAAAGTATGCTCTTTTTCCCCCTGTAGACCCTTTTCTTTCCTTGTAGGCAAATTTGTGCAGATTTTATTGATTTAATAAATTGACTGAAATTCATACGATTAATTTAGTCTTTCTTTCATTGAGGGACAGCTCCAAATGTCATCATTGTGTCTGGTTGCACAGCCTGCAAAGACGGAATAATTTACAACCAAGTGATTTTTGCCGTATATCAGTCACGGATGTCATAGAGCATTTATTTATTCTTCCTACGTTTTTATTCTACCCTTTATCTAAGGAGCTCAAGGTGGCATACATACTACTCTCCCTCGCCATTTTATCCTCACAAAAACCCACTGAGATAGGTTAGGCTGAGAGCGAGTGACTGGCCCAAGGTCTTCCAGTGAGCTCCATGGTCAAGTCGGGATTCGAACCCTGGTCTCCCAGGTCCTAGTCCAACACTGTAACCACGATGCCACGCTGGCTATCTTAATCTGGATCCAACCTTACGTCCTTTGCACCAGGCTCCAGTTGGTGAATCTCTTCTAATAAAAGTACAAAGCTGGTAAAGTCAATTAGCCACTTCAGGAGGCAAATGCCAAGGGATGGAGAAGGAGACAGAACCATGTGAGCCATGTGGCTTGCTCAGCAACCCCTAAACTAGCATGCTCTCTGAGGTGCGGTGGAGGACCCTGTCCCATGGCTGGTGTTGAAAAAAAAGAGATGGCTACAGTTTGGGCCATCTTTTATACAGTTGTGCCTTGGATCTCAAATGCCTTGACTCCAGAACAAATCAGCTCCTGAACGATCGAAACCTGGAAGTGAGTGTTCCAGTTTTCAAACGCTTTTCGGAAGCCGAACATCCATCGCGGCTTCCGTGGCTTCCGATTGGCTGCAGGACGCTCCTGCAGCCAATTGGAAGCCGCGCCTTGGTTTTTGAACGGTTCTGGGAGTCAAACGCATTCTGTTCGAGAACCAAGGTATGACTGTACAGTGGACCCTCTGGATATGAATTTAATTCATTCCGGGGGTCCATGTGCACCCTGAAAATTTCGTAAGAAGAGGCGCTGCTTCTGCGCACGCACGTGGTTTGATAGTGCGCTTCTGCGCATGCGTACACGGCGAACCCCGGAAGTATACACTTCGGGGTTGCTGCGTTCGCAGCCTGAAGGTTACGTTACCCGAAGGTAACATAACCTGAGGGTCCACTGTACGGTGGTACCTCGGGTTACATACGCTTCAGGTTACAGACTCTGCTAACCCAGAAATAGTACCTCGGGTTAAGAACTTTGCTTCAGGATGAGAACAGAAATCGTGCTCCAGCGGCACGGTGGCAGCAGGAGGCCCCATTAGCTAAAGTAGTGCTTCAGGTTAAGAACAGTTTCAGGTTAAGAATGGACCTCCGGAATGAATTAAGTACTTAACCCGAGGTACCACTGTATATGGAATTGGGAAGGTGCCATTTTGCTTTTTTTGCCTCAGGGTAGCCAAATGTCTTGGGCTGGACCTGGAAAAAAACCCCCAAAGTAAACACTCGGCAAGCCCCAGACCACTGCTGTAGGGTGTCTGAGCACGGAGGGGAAAGTGCTGTAACATAAACACTAATTATTAGTCTCTGTTACTGAAAACTGACTCTAGGCCCGCAGCATTCAACCTCGGCTCTTCTCTAGCTCAACATCCCAAATTAGCTGACGACCGTTTCTGGTGTAAAAGCCTGCACAAAAGAAGCGAATAACCTGTTTTCTGAACGTGCCCTGCTTTCTTCTTCTCCTCACCGTGGCCTGTCCTTGGGAGAACCAGAACTTGGCTACCCCTCACCTCATCTCTCCTATTCTTTTTTATCATTACCATCCCTATTATTACTGCTTTTAATCTGCCGGTTGCTGGCTAAAAGTAGCAGCTCCCCACCCTTGCAGGCAACCCGAAAGGCGCAGGCCAAATCTAGCACCCTGGCACTACTCTAATTGAGTGTGTGTGTGTGTGTGTGTGTGTGTGTGTGTGTGTGTGTGTCTGTGTGTGTCTGCTGTAGACACTCATTCCCTTCAGCTCTCTGGGAAACTCCAAGATTTTGCCACACTGTTGTCTTTGTTTACTGGTTGGGGAAAGGAATGAAAGCCTCAGTTGTTGGTTGGCCAATAATTCTAATTACTTTTGGCCATGAGGCCAGGCCTGGGTTAGCAGCGAGGCTGTTTTTCACCCCTCTTCTTTCCCAAGCCCCCAAGAACAAGAGGCTCGTCCACCTTATTTAATTCGAATCGTGCCCTGCAGAGTCCTGAGGGTTTGGGGGTCCCCCTCCCACCCCACTCTGTGGCTGTGAAGTATGAAGAGGGCTTGCAACAGAAACCAAGCTCTGTCGCAGCTCTGACCTGCCAAGGAGCCGTTTCTGACGGCAACCACTGTGCTACCCGCCGCCTTACCAGAAGAGAATGAGCTTGTTATTCCCTCTCGGCTCCTTGCAGGCAACCCCGAAGGCTGCCACCCCTCCTCTGTTTTTAAACTTAACCCTAAAAAGAGGAGCGCGGTAAGGCTGTATTTCTTAGAGCCCAAGCCGGCCTCACTCTGTGGGGTTGTGGAGCTCACTTGACCAGTTAAGAGCCAATGACTGTCTGTATCTTTGGTGGCCGACAACTTGTGTATCCCTGTACCCAGAACGTGTGTGTGTGTGTGTGTGTGTGTATTTGGGACTCAAGTACCAAAAAGAGTCCCTTTCACCATTGTCAACCATCTTGGACCCTACGATCAGCAAGTGAGGCCTTGTTGGTGCTGCCACCACTTTTGGGGGCGGCGGATTCATGGTTGCCATTAACCTGTGACGGGGCCTTCTCAGTGGTGGCTCCCCATTTGTGGAATGCCCTCCCTGGTGAGGAGCTTACCTGCCCCTCATTACTGACTTTCAGAAGGAATTTTAAAACATTCCTGTTTTAATGGCTGAACCTGGCAGCCCTGTCTGAGATAATGTTTTAAGCATGCTTTTGCTATTGCACCGTTCATGTGTTTGCTGCTTTGGGCTCCTTTGGGAGGAAGGATGGGATATCAATTGAATAAATAAATGAGTGTGTGTTTGTGTGTGTGTTTGTGTGTGTGTGTGTGTGTGTGTGTGTGTGTGTGCATAGTTATTTCCATGAGCAAGACAACTACTACTACTCAGTGCTTCCCCCCCTAAAAATGTTTAGGGGTACTCTCATTTTCCTACTCATATTGAAATACTGCCCCTCAATGAGGCCAAATTTAGATTCACCAAATGTTTAGGGTTATGCGTACCCCTGCGCCCCCCCCCCCCCAAGAAAAAAAGCAGTTCTACTACCACTACTTCTCAGTGATAACTATAATATGTCCAGATGCTACAAACAGTGCAGAATTCAGCTGTGAGAATGTTGACTGAAGCAGGTACTAAAGAAGGTAAAGGGACCCCTGACCATGGGGTTGCAGCGCTCATCTCGCTTTATTGGCCGAGGGAGCCGGCGTACAGCTTCTGGGTCATGTGGCCAGCATGACTAAGCTGCTTCTGGCGAACCAGAGCAGCACACAGAAACGCCATTTACCTTCCTGCCGTAGCGGTACCTATTTATCTACTTGCACTTTGACATGCTTTTGAACTGCTAGGTGGGCAGGAGCAGGGACCGAGCAACGGGAGCTCACCCCGTCGCGGGGATTCGAACCGCCGACCTTCTGATCGGCAAGTCCTAGGCTCTGTGGTTTAACCCACAGTGACACCCACGTCCCTTAAGCAGGTACTAGGAATTCCCTAATACTGACTCGGAAAGATCTTCATTAGCTGCCTGTTCATTTCCAGGCTGAATTTTACGTGCTGGTGTTGACCTATAAATCAAAGCTGGCACTTTTACCAATGTCACCTAACACTGTTCCATACTTGCTAGGAATTGACCCTTCAGTGTGACAGCACCTAAACTTTGGAACTCCCTGCCCCTTGATATTAAGCAGGTTCCTTCACTGTACTACCCTCAGCACTTGCTAAAAATTATTATTATTATTATTTCAGCAAGAATATCCAGACGTATGAATACAACATTCATTTTAAAATGTAATTTTATTTCATTGTGTGTGTGTGTGTGTGTGTGTGTGTATCTATATAGATATATTTTTTATTAATGTTAATTTTAATCTGAAAATTTTAGCCTAACTTGTTTTTAATGCTGGTTTTTATCAGTAATTTTAATGTATGTTGTATCTAAATTTGCTTGGAGATTTTGATATTTAAGTGGTACATAAGTTTTGTTAAATAAAAACAAGTAAAATTAACATAAATGACTTGGAGCACGGGTATCTAAATTAACAAATCTCACTGTGTCAGCCAGCCCAGGTCCTTAGATCAGTGTGAAAGGCCCCTCTCATAATCCCATCACCAAGGGAAACACAGCAGGGAGTGGCACAGGATCTTCTGTTATAGTACCACCATTACTGAAATCCTTACCCCAGAAGTACACCAAGTGCTGACATTTTTGATGCAAGGTTAAAGCATATCTGTTTGCCTGTGTATTATTATTATTATTATTATTAATCACCCACCCTTCACCCTAAGATCCCAGGGTGAGTTACAACATTAAAACACAACATTAAAAACTATTTAAAACAAGTTACCATTACAAAAATAAGGTGTATTCTGAAAAATAGACACGTGTTGAAAGCCAGGGTAAAGAGATGCATCTTCAGCATTCTCCGGAAGCTGTACAATGAAGCTGCCAGATGAAGCTCCCTCCCCTGCAGAGAAGGAGTTCCACAGCTTAGGGGCTGCCACCAAGAAGGCCTTCTCCTAGGCTGCCACTCTCTGCGCCTCTGAGGTTGGAGGAACTACCAAGAAAGCACCCTCTGCTGATCTTAGCACCCAATAATGTTTCTAGGGAAGGAGCCAGGTCTTTCAGATATTTATTCATGACATATTAATTCGTTGCTGTATTTGGGCATTGTATTTTACTTCTGGGAATGTAATGTGCAATTTTTCCCGCTTCAAAAATGGAACACCACTGTGGGTAGCCTGAATTTTTGGCTGTCTTTCTTCCTAGAAAGAGGTGCAGGACCTTTTTCAAGCCCGAGGGCCACATTCCTGTCCGAGCAGTCTTCTGAGAGCCACATGCCAGTGGAGGGCGGAACCAGATGCAAAAGTTGGTGGAGCAATCCATGTACAGTAGGCTAGCTTCTACAAACATACACCTCTCTCTCTGCTCCACCCATATAAATAAGAAACATTATCAGAGTTCAAGATCGTATTCCAGTCCAGCGAAAAGCAGAGCCTGTGGTGGGTTGTGGCCTGGGGAGAGTTCTAAGGCCAGATAGAGAACCCCTGTGTCAAAGGTTCCCATCTCCTGGTCTAGTAGATGATGCTGAACTTCCAGCTGCAAGGGCTGCTGAAATGTGCATAAATGTGACGTTTCCTCTTGCCTCTTTCCCCCTCCCTCCCCTGCTCCCCCCACCCAACCCATTCAGGAAGAAATTGTGTCCCAAAAGGAGCTCTTTGGATGCACGCAGTGACCAAGAGGTTAGTGCTAATAGTTTGTGGTCTTGCTGGTTTGTGCAGGTTCTTGGTTTTTTCCCTCTCTTTGATTCTTGTTGTTGTCTCCCTGAAGGTAACAACAACAACAACAACAACAACAACAACAAATTTATCATTTATACCCCGCCCATCTGGCTGAGTTTCCCCAGCCACTCTGGGCGGCTCCCAATCAAGTATTAAAAACAAGACAGCGTTAAATATTAAAAACTTCCCTGAACAGGGCTGCCTTCAGATGTCTTTTAAAGATAGGATAGCTACCGTATTTTTCGCTCTATAAGACGCACCGGACCACAAGACGCACCTAGTTTTTGGAGGAGGAAAACAAGAAAAAAAATATTCTGAATCTCAGAAGCCAGAACAGCAACTTGCTGTTCTGGCTTCTGGGATAGCAGCGCAGCCTGCATTCGCTCCATAAGATGCACACACATTTCCCCTTCCTTTTTAGGAGGGAAAAAGTGAGTCTTATAGAGCAAAAAATACGGTACTTATTTCCTTCACATCTGAAGGGAGGGTGTTCCACAGGGTGGGCGCCACTACCAAGAAGGCCCTCTGCCTGGTTCCCTGTAACCTTACTTCTCACAATGAGGGAACCGCCAGAAGGCCCTTGGCGCTGGATCTCAGTGTCCGGCTGAATGATGGGGGTGGAGACGCTCCTTCAGGTATACAGGACCGAGGCCGTTTAGGGCTTTAAAGGTCAGCACCAACACTTTGAATTGTGCTCGGAAACGTACTGGGAGCCAATGCAGATCTCTCAGATGTTGACTAGGGAATGTTTTGAGTTGTAGAATGGGATCCAGAATGCCGCTGTTGATATCAATGAGCTGCAGCTGGTGATGCCGAGTCAAGAGAATGAAAACAACAACCACTCTGTTGACGGGAATGGAGCCGGTAAGCAGCAAATGTATAGGGTTTGCCACGGTACTCTGTACAGAACAGTACTGCTGCAAAACCAGCAACACCCTGATGGTATTAAACTATAAATAATAATAAGACATATTTGTGTTTTCTGTAGTCACTTCCTACGATGGCAGCATGGAGTGCTCTCCTCGGCAAACAGACCAGGATATACCTTCTTCAGTGTCAGCAGTGACCACTGAGTCTGGAAGCGACGAGGTGTTTATTATTTCAGCCAGCCCTGGAGCTGGTGGCTTAAGTTTCACCTCCTACAGAATACAGGTAGAGGAACCTTTGGTGTGTTTTCAGTGAGACATTTTCAGTGAATGAGATCTTGGGCTGTGTTTTTAAGCATGTTTTCCCCTTCCAGTTGTCTCAAGGTTTGATTCACATGTGCATGTTCAATCAGTAGTTCTCCGATGTTTCAAAAGCCAGGACACACCTATAACCTCAAAATGCAAGATGGGACCCACTTAACAATGTTTAGCTACAACTTGCAACCTTCAAATTTTGTTAGACTACAACTCCCATCATCCCTACCCATTTGCCATACTGATGGGATGTGGGACTCCAGCAACATTTTTGGGGCCACAGGGTTAGCCACCATTAAATTATTTTTGTTCTAACAAAAGGCAGCACATATTTTAAACCTGTGCTACCTACACACACACACACACACACACACACACACACACACACACACAAATAGGTGTAGCCATCCAGATGTTGTAGACTACAATTCCCATTATTCCTGATCATTGGCCTTGCTGGCTAGGATTGATGTGGGTTGTAGTACAAAACATCTGGCGGGCAATGTCTACACAAATACACTGACCAAGAGAAAAGACACAGATTTAAATGAAATTCTGTGAGCTTTTCGTCATACAGGAAAATACTGAAATAAATTCTCCAAATTCCCTGGTGGTAGAATTGTGACTATAGTCTACTGCCTAGGATAGGAACATGCTCCCTATCCTAAATCAAGTCAGAACTTCGCAAATAAGTACTTGTTTTCCACTTAGTTGCTGTCGTTCTTTTCTTTTCTGGATGTTATGCCAATGTTTATGGGGGTGTGAAATTTTGAACCTTGACAGTAAAAAAAGATCCCAGGATCACCCTCGCTTGAAATGCCTGTCTAGACAATGTGAACCCGTAGGCAGATTTGGAAAAGAAAAAAAAAGATTATCTAAATCCTTTTACTGAGAAGCAACTGTTGGTCAACAGTGGCTCCAGGATTCCTAGGGAGTGTGAGTCTGAGCTGTGATCATGGCAGGAGCCCAACGCTTCGTGGATGAAAATAGGGACATGCTTGTAATTCCACTGTGCTCATAGCCAGAGTCAGCACCCAGCTGTCTTCTGTTACATTTTTTTGGGTTGTGTTTTCATACCACCTTTCTGCGTAACATTCAGTGGCAGCTGGATCAAGCCGCCATTTTAATTTCCCACAATGCCTCCAGTGAAAAATGGTGGTTAGGGCAGCCCCATGGTATTGTTTGGGCACTGCTGCTCTCTGATGCTGTTGTCTACACCAGATAAATCCCCCAACAGCAGTATCCACTAACAGAGGGAAGGGCTCACCAATGGAGCATAGGATGTCTTTCTTTATAGAGGTCAGTCATCTATTTTTACAGCTGTCCATGATTTACCATTACTAAGGAACAGGAAATAAGAGCTGTCTCTAGCTCAATAATCCCGTTGAGATTATTGAGCCCAAGTTAGCAATGTCCATCAATTTCATAGAATCATAGAGTTGGAAGAGACCACAAGGGCCATCGAGTCCAACCCCCTGCCAAGCAAGTCCAACCCCCTGCCAAGCAGGAAACATCGAGTCCAACCCCCTGCCAAGCAGGAAATTTCAATGTGTCTATTCTGAGTAGGACTAGCATTGGATACAACCCATTCTTGGCCGCTTAATGGATTGCCAAAAAAAGGGGGACAAAATATTTGCATAACCTTTGCTAGTACATGTGGCTGCTCAGCCTCATAACCAGGAGCTAATTGTTGGTGGGAACTTCAGATCCCCTCCTGCTCTCATTTGTTATGGTTATTGATCTTCAAACTGGACTTAGACTAGACAGCCCTTCAAACAAAGGACTTTCGCACAGAAGCCTGTCCTCTGACATCTCTACACACAGAGGAATGTCCTCTATAAAGCTTGAGACCCTAAACAGAAGCAGTTGGGAGTTTATGCTTCCAGCAAGAAAGCTAATCCACCACTGTTGAGAGTCAAGAGTGTGTCTGTCCAGGAAATGAGTTTTGAAATCTATGTAAAAACTGATTCTGTCTTCTAGAGATTATTCCAGTAGTGTTTCACTTCTGGGGCATAGGGGGAGCCAAGCTGGCGATTCCAGATTAATTCTCATGGCATTATAAGGTGTTAATACAATTCCAGAGATATGCCCAAGCCATTTGATGTATTTTCAGCTTTCTTTCCTTTTTTATTATTTTAAGCAATTCACAAGTGTTTGTGATTAAGACCATCGTTACTGCAAGAATCAGTACTGGAACCAGCTTTGAGATGTAGGTCCCTGAGGGGAATAGGGGTCTCCTAACAACTCTCAGCACCCTTAGCAATGTACAGTTCCCAGGATACTTCAGAGAAAGCCATGACTGCTTGAAATTGTATAATACTTATTCAAATGCATAGTGTAGATGAGGCTTGTGTATGTGTATGTGTATACTGCCATTTTTAATCTGCAAGCACTATTTTAGGACTGAAGGTACATGTGCTTGGCATGTAGAAGTTCCCTGGTTCTGTGCTATTTACAGTAGCAGGTAACTAGAGAGACCGTGCCTGTGAACTTGGGAGTGGAGTTACCAGTCTGAGGAGTCAGTGGTACAGCTAGGGCACAGGCAGTATGGTCAGTATTCAGGGATTAGGGGGACCGTTTTCCAACATCTGGAAGGCACTACACTGGGGAAAGCTGATCCAGAAAAGAAGTATGTTTTTGAGTCAGAACAATTGCTTTCATTCATATGCAAAATACTGTGAATTTAATCTATTGATCAATCAAGTAAAAGTCACAGAATTGTGGAGTTGGAAGGGACTATGAAGGTCATCAAGTCCAACCCCCTGCAATGCAGGAATCTTTTGCCCAACGTGGGGCTTGAACCCCAAACCCTGAGTTTAAGAGTCTCATGCTCTACCCGACTGAGCTATGGGATTTTAATTGGGTCAGAGCTTCAAGTATGGATTTTAGAAGAAAATTCACTGACCAACTGGATAAAGGTATCTCATGCAGTTTTTTGGTTTTGATTTATCTGTCTTTTTTCAATTAGGACAGAAAACTGAAGAGAAGCATCACAAGTCCAGGCTCAGTTTCTGACTGGCTGACAGCAGGTCCAGCGGAATCTGGCATCAGTGCTACAAATATAGGGGTGGCACAGACAGAGAGCCATTGCCCAAGTCAGCGAACATGGCGTGCTCGTACTTTTCATGACTTACTAGCTCCATTGCCTCAGCTACAGAAAAAGTGGTGCAGCTGGGCTACGAACAGCCCTTTCACCAAATTGGTTAACAGCAGTGTAAGTATTTGGAGAAAGCCCTGGGGAAGCAAGATGAATGTGTCCTGCAGATCTGCTGTCAAAGTTTGATCCAGTGACTTCAGGTCTAGCCTGTTTCCCCTACTGGTACTGTCATGCTTGCATGCTAGTAAGAATCTAGCACCTGCAAGTCAAGTAAGGCCCAGTGTGGGTGGCCCATGGGGTCATTTTCACAGAGCCATGCCCATCTGTCGCACATGTAATGCCATCTATGGCATCAGGTGTGGGGCAGGTAAAGGCACAGCTGCAAAGGAAGCCTTTAAAGGTCAAGGGACCCCTGACCATTAGGTCCAGTCGTGGCCGACTCTGGGGTTGCAGCGCTCATCTCGCTTTATTGGCCAAGGGAGCCAGTGTACAGCTTCCGGGTCGTGTGGCCAGCATGACTAAGCCGCTTCTGGCGAACCAGAGCAGTGCACAGAAACGCCGTTTACCTTCCCGCTGGAGTGGCACCTATTTATCTACTTGCACTTTGACATGCTTTCGAACTGCTAGGTTGGCAGGAGCAGGGCGTGAGCAACAGGAGCTCACCCCATCGCGGGGATTCGAACCACTGACCTTCTGATCAGCAAGTCCTAGGCTCTGTGGTTTAACCCACAGCGCCACCCGCGTCCCTAAAGGAAGTCTTTACAGGAGCCTTAAAAGTTCGCTCCCAATTGTTCCTTGGCAAACGTGGCTTGCTGTCAACAGCTGATAGGCACCAACAGCAAAGCCTCACTTGAGAACTCTGTAGGGCAACCAATCCCTGCCCAGCTAACCAGCACTAACCAGCTGAGTGACACTTATAGCAAGCCCTGCATAGCCAATGGTCAGGATTGATGGGAGTTATAGTCCAGCAACAACTTGTGGGCCAGAGGTTCCCCATTCCTGACTTTGATTCTGTAATATATAAAAAAGAAAAGAATGGTGGAGACCTTGTGAAATATTAACAGGAGTTTTCTTACCTTCAGAACACTCCTTCCCACATGTGCATGCATGTCTCCCCCCTTTTTTGCTTTGACCTTTAAGTCGTGGGAAAGGCAATCATGCACAAGGCAGAGAAGGAAATGTCAGTGAAGAAATAGAGCAAAATGACCTCTTGCTCCTTTTTTTTTATGACTTCTTAAGAAATATTCACTTGTAGTTCCCTCAGATCTGATTATCAGAGTTGACGTTATGATTGCTCCTGCCAGGGCTTTTCTGCATCCACGAAAGACCAGACTGCAACTACTCGGAAAGTAACTTCAGCTGCAGAAATAGACGGCATCTCCGAACCGGCTTACTTGGACTCATCGGCTAGCACTGCATCTTACCCACTGACGTATTCGGCACAGAAACAACGCAAGCTAAGCAACAGCTGCAACTTGAAAAGATCCCGTTTCAGAAACCCTTACTTTGGGTTTTTAACAAGTTCGCCCGACTGTAACCAACCAAGGCTGTCTGATCATGCAAAGCACGTTGGCGCAAGATCTCCAGTCAACAGTCCAGGCAAGGGAACCGAAGACCTCCTTGAAGGGCCCATCCAGTTCACAAGCAACATAGTCAATGGCTCAAAATCCAAGGAGCTCTCATTGGAAATGGATAAACCCAAACCTGTTTTTGTTATTTCTGAGGAAGGGGATGATCAGCAGCCTTTGGTTTTAGCAGAGCATGTGAATCAATGTGCAGATGCTTTATCTGAGCCAAATGTTATCCATAATAATATGGGGTTGACCATTGCAGATGAGCAGCCAGTGGACCTAACTCTTCAAGAAAGCTCAGTTGAATCCACCAGTATCAGAGCAGACCTTGATCTTTGGGGAGAGTACCCAAATTCACACAGTGATTCCCTGAAGAGCTGCAGTGGTTACAAGGATAAAAACTATGGGCCTGTTTCAGACACTGGCACCACTAATTCTCATCCGAATTTTGATTCCTTGGCCTCTCACCGGTTGTGTCAAACTTCAGTTCAGTAACTCCTCCAAATATGGGTATCAGAACTGATACTGAAGGTTGTAGGTTTGTGCAATTGGAAGCAATAAAGACACATGTTCCTTTTGAGACGGAATGGAAGCTGCATTGTACGTACAACATGGAGAATGTGCTTGGGCAGCCTTGACTCTAAATGTTGGAATAGATTGTGTGTTAAGTTATACCCTATTGCATTGCCACCTCTCACTGAGCTGCATCTAATGACTGTTAGTTTTTTGTTGGCTTATTGAGAGCTTATCAAGACTACCTGGCTGGTACTTCTTACAAAGAAGACAGGCTTTCTTGAAGTTGGTGTGATGAATATGGAAGCACTGTCTATTCCCACACTATACCAGGAAGCAAATGGTCAGGCTTGCATTGAAAAGAGGCATGCTGTTTTGGACATAATACTTTGAAACATATCAACCAAATTCTAGTCACAGCTGGAGGAAATCGCACAATTCCTTACTGAAGTTTGATTGTAGCTTGGACAGGGAAGTGGCAGTGGGTACCAGTTAGAACTGTGTTTAGCAGAAGAAACACACACAAAGAAGTAAATGGTTAGCTACATGAGCACAAAACAAAATGCACAGCACCTTTGCTTGGTTTTTTTTTACTGCATTTGTGTGTAAAACTACATTAGATGTGAGACAGTTAGGATTGTCAAGAGTCTCATTAGCAATGGTAGTTCTGGCGATTCTTAAGGACTGCATTATAAAAGGATTGCTTCTTTCCTAAATCCTGCAGAAGGCTCTGCCACTTGGGGTAGGAGGATTTTCTCTGCATGTGATGCAATATACAGTAAGTACACTAATAGTATCATCTGGGGAAAGTCCTGGCAGCTTTGGAGAGATAAATGCACACTTTGGTAAAACACACTCTCTCATTGCACATTATTCAAAGAATACCAGCTGCAAGGAACTAGAAGCTCATCAAACCTAGCTAACTACTGTTAGGGCAATTCACAGTGGCCAGGGCCAGTATGCTTGCCTCATATATGCCTGTTCTCACTGCAGCAATAAACACAGTTCCAAAGGTTGTCCCCTGCTTTCTTCGACACCCATTTTTGCCCCATACACACTGGTGTTCATTGTTGCAAAGATCATAAAGAGTGGAGATGCAACTTAAGAATGGGGGTGGGGGAAATCTTAACTGGCTGCAGTTCCCCGGCACGCACATCCTTCCATCTCCATTTCAGAGTATTTTACCCCTTGCAAATATATACATGGCAAAACGCTGGGTGGTAAATCATGAATAAATCTGCTATTACTGGGTAAATTACAACCAAGCTGTGCACTAGTGTTGTCAAAAACGCATTGCCACGCACACATTCTCACAATCCCAAAAATAAATCACCAGGGACATTGCAAGTGCAGCTTCCCATTGAGTTAAACATCCATACAGATTTTGCAGTCCTTGGTCTGGTGGTCTAGTTTTTTCAAATCACCCGTAGACATTTGTCAAGGGTTCTTGGGCGCCTAGGAAGTAAGTGTGTCTTTGAGGATATTTGGGGTATGCTTTGCTCACAGCCACAAAAAAAAGTTGCTTTGAGGTCCCCAGTATTCCTTGAGAAAGCAGGTCATGTTTGTCAAGTGCTTTAATAAGTTGCACCCTGGAGCTATTTTTAGCATGTGATGAAAATTCTGTTTGTACTGCGTTGTTTTTTAAACATCCAATCTAGCTAGTTATTGCTGATAAACACCTATTTGCTTCTTCAACCATTTTGTTTCCATTACTAAATAATGCCTTTCTGTCACCACCAGGGCAGTCTAGAGACTTTTCAGCTTCAAGCAGCTGTGCAATTCTGATTCTAATGAAGTGTGTATTTTAAGGCTGAATGAAAGGAAAGCCTGCTAGTTTGATTATACCTAATAGCCCCTTAAGGATTTTAACTGCTTCCCAATGGTAACCTGGTAAGAAATGTGTAATTACTTGCATTTCTTCAAAGGGCTTTTGCTATACACGAATGGAAGGGATCACATCTTGGGGAGCTCTCTGGTTGCACCTGGTTTAGACAGCTGAGGAAGGCTTCCAAATATTTATTGCAAAGCAGATGCCCAGGGAGGAATGGGAAAAATCTAACCCACCCTATCAAATGGAGCAATTTTTCATTTTTGCTATGCTTAAGGAGTCTTAAGTCTGGCTCCTCCTAATATACTTAGCCTTGATTTTGCCCAGACTAATTTATGGTTTCACCTGCTGTTTAAATTTCCATCTGCTCTATCTTATCAGTATTGATAGCAGTTGTGGAGCATTTTTGGTGTGCGTGCCTTTTAATCATGCATGTGGTCTCTATAGAAATATGAGCAGTGGAGTTTAGCCATGGCTATGGACCAAGTATGAACCACATTTACAGTGCCTTTGAACTTGGAATTTTCATACATTTCTCTACTTCATGATTAATGGGTAACATCCAGAAGTCAACAAGCAGTCTTTAGCCTTTTCTTTTTTAACAAATATTGTATGGCTCTGCAAAAACAAAACAAAACCCACAACTGTTTGAGATACCAAGGTGTCTATTACAGTTGCAGCCCTGTGTTAAGGGCAAGACATTACACTGTTGCAGTGAGGACAGAGGGAATGGTATTGTGTCTTAGAAAATGGCTCAACAAATGGATTTGAAACTGGGCAATGTAGTAGAGGTAGGTCTAAAACTTAACTGGTGCCAATCATATGCAGACTACCTCCCACTGAGTTCAGTGGGGTAGACTCCCAAGGTTTGTAGCCTGAGGTTGCAATCCTATACATGTTCTTAGCCCAACTGAACTCAGTGGCATTTACTTCATGACTGTGCTGTAACTAAACTATAGGCAAACTGTCTTCTTGACCTTTCCAAAGAGTTTAGTCTTGCTTCTGCACTGTACATTAAGGTTGGCAGCTATAAGTAGCATGCGGGACAGCGTCACTTGGAATTAGGAATGGGAAAGAGTGGGGCTCGAGATTAGGATCACAGTGGGGTTCAGACAATGGAGGCAAAAAGTGTGGGGTTGCCACCCATCAGCTTGCCTCAGGTACTTGAATGAGTGAACTAAGTTGGTCAATAAAGGTCTTTCCCTGCTCCCTTCCGACATGCATTCTGGACCACAGAAAAGGAAAGTAGCTTTTAGATCCATCTTTTTTAGCTTTTTACCAAAAGATGTGGTTTGATGAGTCAACAGTGTGATGCAGCAGCAAAAAAAGCTAACACTATTCAGATCAAGGGAAGTAATAGTACCACTCTATTCTGCCTTGGTCAGACCACACCTGGAATATTGTGTCCTGTTCTGAGCACCACAATTTAGGAAGGATGCAGACAAGCTGGAACATGTGCAGAGGAGGGGGAACGATGATGATCAAGGGTCCGGATACCAAGCCTTATGAGGAATGGTTGAAGGAGCTGGGTAAGTTTAGCCTGGAAAAGAGACTGAGAGAAGATATGCTAGCCATCTTCAAATATCTTAAGGGCTGCCACATGGAAGGGGGAACAAGCTTTCTTTCTCCTGCTCTGGAGGGTAGGACTCAAACCAATGGCTTCAAGTTGCAAGAAAGGCGATTCTGACTAAACACACAGAAAAACTTTCCGACAGTAAGAGCTGTTTGACAGTGGAACAGTCTCCCTTAGGAAATTGTGGACTCCCCTTCCTTGGAGGTTTTTAAGCAGAGGTGGGATGGCCATCTGTCAAGGATACTTTAGCTGAAATTCCTCCATTGCGGGGGGTTGGACTAGATCACCCTTGGGTCCCTTTAGATACTATGGTATTGGACCTTTCCTGAGAACTCCTGCAGCAGCTAGTAGCTCAGCTTGGGTTAGATCTTGGAGCTGAAGTCCAGAGCCACACAACAGAGGGCCTCAAAAATGATCACCCACAAAAGCAGCAAATAGGGCCAGTATCTGCACCTGGTATCTGCACCTGGGCTGCCTTGGGTACCCGCAACAGTCACAGCATCATTCCATTATTATTATTAAAAACATTTTACATCTGAGGCCAGGTGGTTACACATGCCTGTGTGGAATCATGGTTAGAATGTTGGACTAGGACCTGGGAGACGAACTGACACACAGCCTAGATGCTCACTGGGTGTCCTTGAGCTAGTCATTGCCTCTCAGCCTAATCTACCTCACATGGCTGCTGCAGGGATTAAATGAGGAGGGGGAGAACCATCTACACCTCCCTGGAGGAAAAAAATGGAATATAACTGCATTAAAAAAATGTACACCACCACAGAAGCCCTTGTCCCCACTCCTCTCCCTGCCGTAACAGTATGTAGTATGTATATGTATATGTATGTGTGTGTGTGTGTGTGTGTGTGTATGAGAAAGGAAATTAGATGTCATCATACACAGTTCGATATCACATGAAGTAGTCCAAAAATTGAGCTTTAATGGCAAAAGGAAGGAGGGAACCAAGCCAAAATAGAAACTCAACAAAGAAAAAGAAAATAGAAGCAGTTTTCATGAGTAAACTTTTTAATCCTTGACATTGCCACAAAAAAGTTGGAAGAACTATTTGCCCACCTTCTTTACAGAAGAATATCCCAGAGAAGGAGACTAGGCCTTATTTAGCAATACACAATCCTCCCTGTTTTCCACATCTATCCTAAGAACAGACTATTCCCCAACTCCCAGTGTTTTGTCTCTCTCTTACAGAAGGGAGGTGAAGCCTGTACTTCAGAGAGGTTAAAATATGCCAAACCATTTACAGTTTTTAAACATCAAGTAAACTTTTAGAAGTTAACACATTAACTAAAAAATATCACCTGGCCAAACCATACAATTTGCTTTTGTTTTTTTTGCTTTTGTTTTTTTAAAAAAGGACTAAAACATGTAAGAGTATGTAATACCCATGAACAATGGTGCTCTTCAACACTTAAAAGAGCATATTAAAGATTAAAGGTCAATTCAGCCCCACCAACATTGGCAATATTAATTATTTTCATTCTTTTAAAAAAGATACAGCGTACGCACAAAAAACCCTTTTCATTCCATTGCAATACTTCAATCGCCTAATGCATAGAAAAAGTAGATTTAGTGTGTATGTGTGTGTGTGTGTGTGTGTGTGTGTGTGTGGAGTGTGGTGGCATCAAATTCACAGCCCTCTGATGTGCAGCACAGCCGATTGCTTCAATTTCTTTTTACTCATAACATGGTATTGATGTGCCCAGAGCAGGAATATACATTCCTAATGTTAGCCATTACAAGTCAAGTATAAAGCACCATTTTTTCAGGGGAGTGGGGAGCCCATAATTTTCAACCCATCCAGCAATCGAAAGAAACTCTTTGCTGGAAGCCAATTCTGAATACAGGAAGAAGCAACAGGGAATGCAAAGCATGTCCTGGAGACAGATGTGCAAGGGGCTCCCTTTTTTCACATATGCAAAAAATGTGCTCACATGCACATGCTGAGCTGAAACAGAGACTAAGCAGCTGGAAATGCTCAGCCTTAGAGGATTCCGTAACTGCAGACTTCTACGCTATTTTTTTCCAAAGCTTTAAACACACGCACACAACAGAACTCAAGTGTCAGAACTGAAACTAAATGCACATTTTCCATTTGTCAACTTCAAGGATTATTCCAGACCAGCTTTCCCCTTAAAAATAGGTCATTCCATACTATTTTGTATTTTGTAGGTACTAAACAGGCAAGTTAAAGCCAGATCCACCCATTCTTCCTGCAAAAGCTTTACAGTTGCAAATTCAGGATATACACTTCACTCACCCTCTTCATCCCTAATATACTCACATCGCTAAATGTTAGTAACTACCCCACTGATTGTGAGCTTGCAACTTGGCAAGTTATAGGCTGCAGTTTAAGTGAATCCTGTTACCACAGAAGAGTTTAAGTGCAAGCTGCTAGATGACCTAAAACCAGAAGATAATTCCACTTTTAGTCTCCTGACTGCATGTTTGAGTATTCTCCCACAAAAAAATAAATTAAAAAAATCTCTTTATAAAGAAGAAAAGGTTAACCCCTACTTCTGACATGCTAATATCTGTAATTGTGGGAGAAGCATTCAGACATGGAAGTCATCATTGCAACCTGAAATGATACATGCTTGGAACAGCATTACCCAAATGGATTATCCCGATTGTAACAAACTTGTCCTTATGCTCTGGACTGACTTCTACTCTACCAAGTACAACAATACAGATATGCAGACGTGTAATTGGGTACCATTACGTAATTTATAATATTGCATATTTGTCTATCGTTTTCCTGGGTAAGTTTTAGGTCAAATGGGTTGGGAAGCCTGTTTAAGCAAGGACTGCTCTAAATTTAAATGTATGCATGAAGAAAAAGCTGTTTTTCGCTTCTCAAACACCATGCTATTTCCATGGCGGTAAGCTGCTTCTAGCCCTCTGTTGACGATAGTTGCCAGATTTGTGGTCCAGCACACCAGCAACAGTTCTTTAAGTGTAACATCTGGAGAGTTTGAGTTAAGACAACAGCAGTAATCAACTAAAAACATTCTTCTGTCCTGTGTATGTCTTCACCCTTTTCTTTCGGAATGAAATCCAGCAGTAATTCTGATTTCCCAAAAGGTAACATATTTTACATTGTGCAGTATTGCCTTTTGGTCTTTCCAATGCCAGCGCATGGTTAACATTATTTCAGCAAATGAAAGCACCATATATTCTAAGAATACAATTTGACATCAGGCTGGGCTTGGGAATCTGTTTCAAACTTACTAATAACATAGAAACCACTTCCCCATAGCAGTTTCCCATGTTGGACTGGAGATATGTAGGAGAGGTGGAAAGGACCTAAAATAGTGTCGCAGGCCAAACTGCAGTGGATAGACACAGCATGTGTTCTTCCCACCCTACTCTCCTGCGTCTTCAAGTCAGGGAAGTGGATACAGTTGTACCTTGGTTCTCGTACTTAATCCGTTCTGGGAATCCATTCGATTCCCGAAACTGTTCGAAACATCCTGCACTCAATCGGAAGCTGTGTCGGACGTATAGCTTTCAAAAACCGGAACACTCACTTTCGGGTTTTTGGCATTTGGGAGCCAAAACATCTGCGTTTCAAGGCGTTCAAGAACCAAGGTACGACTGTACAGGGAAATGGCTCCTGCGCCACTAACAGGATGTGTGGACAGGGTCCCCAGATCATGAACCCAGATTTAAACCTACTAAGCCAAGTCAATTGACTGCATCAAGGTTTAAGGGCACTCCACTTAAAATTTTCCTATGGCTACAAGTGAGCAGGTGCTCATTATGTTAGGTTGGCGTTTTAGGGTGGGGTGGGGAATAAGTTTCTCTTACAAATGGTTTGGATGTGGTTAGTAAACCATAACACTTTGGAAGCTCTACATTTTTAAAGCCAGGAGTGAAAGAACGACGTTTTTACACACTTAAAAGTGACAAATCCTTTTGCAATACCTTTGACCCACCCTTAAAGGACACTCGGGTAGGCAAACATCCTGGATTAGCCTGTTGGCTTTCTCTTTGGGTGAGTTCCCACATTACTGTTTTAGGGTATGGGAAGTTAATGTGTTGCACCATGCCCCATTATTACAAAAAGGAAGACTGTGCTCTTGGCATTATTAAATCTACCAGCACATTGATGTTTTTAAAAAGCAAACTTACGTTGTAAAAATGTACAATGCAAAGCATCATCTAGTGTATTGCTGAACAGCGGCATTGCTAATTTAGCAACATAATTCCAGAAAAGGAGGGGGGGCTGAGGAAGCAACTTATTTCTACATCCTACCCTGCTCAAGGCTGCCTTGATCCAACTGTTACAATCTGCAGGATAATTTGCAAAGTAGAAATGTATTCATGCACAGATAATTTCAAAGGCAATTCCTGATTTCAAAGGCAACTCCTGTTATTTGTACTGCTTTGCGTGTAATTCTAAAGTCAAAAGGAGAGCTTAAAAATGCTTAGAATAAGATGCGCCATTCTACCACCATGCCTATCATATAAGCGGAGACAAAAACAACAACTTTCCTCTATGTGTAATGAAAAGAACGCAGGAAATATAAGAATAAGGGGAGGTCCAATCAAAATAAAATAAAAATTAAGTTCTACTGACAGCACCAGCAACTAAAAGTTATTGACCTTGCTTGAATTGTGTCCATTCCGTACAACTATCTAGAGACCACCTTTATGGTCTAGGAAAGGAATAACAAGTCTCCAGTGTAACTGAGCTGTAAGTAGGGGACAGCAAATGTCAACAATTGGTGGGGTTGCCCTCAAATATTACCTCCACTTCTCTCCCAATGGCTGTTAAAAAAGAAAAGAAAAGAAAGACTTGCATGAACACATTCGCTTCGTAAAACAAGGTCCAGGATTACTATTATTTTGATCTCAAAAGTCCAACGGATATCAAAACAAGAAGGTGGACTTGTCTTGCTATCGCTCTGGTCCCAAGACCGAAAAGCAAACGTATCTAAGGGGAGGAGAAGGGAGCAGAGCCCCAGGGATTCCAGGGAAGCAAAAGACCTGGCCAAAAATAAAGAGAGATTGTTCCCATTTATCTCATCACCACCACAAATAAAAAGGGTACATGTCAGCTGCGCTGATTGGGCATCGCAGCACTCAGGAGCAAATGTTGCAAGAAAGGGCAGTGTATCACAAGTCGCCCCTGACAACTGGATGGGCCAGGCCAAATCCAGCTGTGATCTTTTTTGACAGCCATGTTGATTGAAGGGCCATGCAGCCAATCCCCTTAGCAAGACCATGTAGACACAGCCCCAACTGTCCTCCACTGTGCCACTTGGGTGGAGTGGATAACTATTGCTGCCCATCTATTTTTCAAGAAGGAGCTTATTGCTTGCCTAGCAACTTTTTGCACCCACCCTGTAGTCCTACTTCACCCCACAAACAATAGCTCTCAATATATTTGAACAGCGCAATTACTGCCACACAGTGTAGACTCCCCCTACTTTATTCAATGCCATTAGAATCCTTCAGTCCAATGATGATGTCATTAAGTCCATAACATGATGAAGCAGTTGCAGACTAATCATGAATGAATTGCTTGTTCCACACTGTCTATTGAAGGAAAAGAAAAGGAAAAAAAGACACTGACCTGCTCATAAACTGTGAAAAATGTTTTACAAATCAAAAATATACACCAGAGCATCTGATGTAAAAAGAGTAACCAACTCCCTGCTATGAGGGAACAATGAAACAATAACTGTACAGTCAGTATTGCAGATTTAATTTCCCTCTCCTTTCTTACAGGCTGCGAGTATTCAGGCCAGTTAAATGCCTCAGAAAACACCTTCAGTTTTTGAATCGTGTTTGTTCACAGATGTGATTGAATTTCCTGGAACAACAAAAGACTTGAGTTAAAATTTAAAAAAACACAATAGAAAACAAGCAAACAACAGTTGATATGATTTTTTTGGCAAAGCTGTTGAACTTCTTCTTCCGGGGGGGGGGGGAGTTTTTGAGCTACTTTTAACGAAATTCACCTTACGATTTCTGGACACAGTTTCCAGCAAACAAATCCCAGCTATCTCACCATTTTATAATCTTGAGTGCTACCCCCCACCTTTTGTTTTTAAGTGAAGGCTAGCATTTTTAGGATGGTTAATGTCAAATTTAAAGAAAAACACTATCCTCCCCACCCCACATGTGAACTGTTGAAACTGTTTATAGCCCCTGGGCAGGTTTCTGGGCAGCTCATGTTCTTATAATTTTCAAAGTGAGCTAGCACTGTCAAGTTTCCTTCCCACATTAGATGGGAAGTTTTTGTTGTTGATAAATTAATATTAAAATATACTAAATTCAAATTATTAGCTGTTTTGAAATAATGCACTGGTTTGAATGCAATACTAAACCATAGCATTGTGCTATGTGAATGAGTTTACCTGTAGTTTGCTTTGTAGTCCAAACCTAGGCAAACTGTGGTTAATGTTAACTATGATTAGTTAAACCACTGAGCCTCTTGGGCTTGCCGATCAGGTCGGCGGTTCAAATCCCCACGACAGGGTGAGCTCCCGTTGTACGGTCCCAGCTCCTGCCAACCTAGCAGTTCGAAAGCACACCAAAAAGTGCAAGTAGATAAATAGGTACTGCTCCGGCGGGAAGGTAAACAGCGTTTATGTGTGCTGCTCTGGTTTTGCCAGAAGCAGCTTAGTCATGCTGGCCACATGACCCAGAAAAACTGTCTGCGGACATACGTCGGCTCCCTCGGCCAGTAAAGCGGGATGAGCGCCGCAACCCCAGAGTCGTTCACGACTGGACTTAACTGTCAGGGGTCCTTTACCTTTACCTTTAATTCAAAGTTGGCTTGTTTCCACTAATCACATTTAAAACTAACCACAGTTTAGGGTTTCAGTGACATGATAAGCTGTGGTTAATCTAAGGCAGGAACTTTCTATCACCTTTTTGTATCTCTGCACTGGAGGACAGGAGAGCAGGCACGCAAGCCCAAGGAGATGCTAGTTTCATTCTTGCAACAGGGTTTAGTGCTATTCTTGAATGCAACCAATATCTAATACCTACACAGGGCTGCCTTTGAAGAGTACTCTAAAACTTCTGTTGGTCCAGAATGCAGCTGCCAGAATGCTGACTGGGCTTAGGTGCACAGAGCATATAATTCCAGTGCTGGCGTAACAGTTAGCATCATGGAGGAAAATGATCTCTCATCAGAAGTATAGAAAAAGTTATGCATGCGTTTTTTTCTGGCGGAACTATTACCCTGACCCTGAAATGCACAGAGATTTAAGTTCCTATAGAAAAGTATCCAGGGGGTGAGGGTAGGGGCGGGGGCAACTCACATTGCATGGTGAGCTTTGACCTGAGTCCGGCAATTGCGCCCCCAATAGCAATCAGGGCGTGACGTGACAGCCACTGTAAGAAAAAACACCAACACATTTGATGCACAATTGACGTTAATTAAAAGCAGAGAGATTTGAGGGCGAGTGGGTGGGCGAATCAGTCAATCGTTGTTGTTCTAAAATAAGGTGCGGACAATTATTTGGTAGCAAGTGCAAAGCCATGTAAGTAGATTATCAGTTGGGGGACCAAACCAAACAACAACATGTATAGGTGGAAATTTTTGAAATTTAAGAAGATATAATAGAAACAGCAACAGCAACAGCAACATGCATTTTAAAATACTGAAACTTAATGCTAGCATAGTGCATGCTAAGCTGTTACTGATGCATATGCACATGGGATAGTCTTGTCCTGGAATTTTAACACACACCATAAATATAGTCCCAATGCAGAACAAAATGAATAGTCCTCCAAAACGTTTGTATTGTGGAAGAGAAATAATGGGAGAGAATTACTGTAGGTCTCTTTTGCCCTTTGGTATAAGATTTAAAGATTCTCTCTACAATGAGGACAAATGACATACTTTCCAGCTCACATATGCGAGGGGAAAAGTTGTGAACATGGGTTGGGGTCTGGCAGCCCTCAGCCATATAAAACTGCTCAGAGTACTGTTGCCTCTACCTGCCCTTCCCAACTTCAGAACAGTAGCAACTTTTTGTAGGTGTGACACAGCTAATTGCCATCTCAAAACACAGACTGACTGGCTAGTGAATCGCTCAGGAAATATAGATAGAATTATTTAACCAATGCTTCCAATTTTATTTAAAACTGATTTATTTCTAATGTTGTTTGTTGGCTTTTGTTATAAACCGGGGGGTGGGGGTGGGGGGGAAAGGTAGGGAATGAATGAATGAATTAATAACAAATACAGTTTTTCCATACCTGGCAATTCAGCAACAGGAATATTCTGCCTGTACTGATAAGCGAGCTCTCGGAAGCTGCGGAGGCCACAACAGTAACAGAGAACAGTTTCTCCAGTAATGCGATAATCTGGAGGGCAGAGGGGAATCAGAGTTGCAGATAGTCAGGGCCCAAAAAAGCCATTTCATGAAATATTCCAAACAGGCAATAACTCGTCAAGAGTACATATGCTTGCTGTAAGTTATTTGAAAGGCCTTGGTGAACTGAAAGGTGGTGAAAGGACCACAAAGATGGTGTCAGGCCAACATCTCTGGGAAGGCTATCCCATAACCAGAGTGCCACCACTGAAAAGGCCTCTTCTGGCAGGTTAACCACAGCTATTTCACCTGGTGGAGATAGTTGTGGGGCAGGGTTTCTGAAGAGGATAGGATCAAGTTTGGGTTGGTACAAATGGGGATGTGTAATTTGCTTCCCTGAAAGCGCACAATACGGAAGATATGCCTCTGGAAAGCTCAAGTCAGAGAGAAAAGATGGGGCTTACCTGGTAAAATAAAAACTCCTCTTTGAAGAGCTAGGAGACTTTCGTTTAACATATTTTTCCATGTTAAACCCCTGGATGCCAGGTAATCCTCAGATGAGAGAAAAGGGTAGTCAGCAGCATGTAAAAGAGATGCACTAAACAACTTGACCAACCCACCCACCCCATGGAAAGTAGTAAAAATGTATTCTGCAAACTAGGTTAAAGCAGCTATATTCTCTCAACTGATATACTTTAAAACTGAATATACCTTTAGAATATCCGATTCATAGTTATTGCCATTAAGGACGCCATCTAAACACTTGTCACCAAGATTTATTTCTGTAAGGAAATTAAAAAGAGAGGGGAAATTATCTTTGCTCTGAAATACCCAAGAGGCGTCTTCTCTTTTCTCACCACAAGGATGACCTTCAATGCCTAGAGGTCATGATTTCAAGCTCACAGAACTGGAATATTGGCTTCATTGAAATCAGAAGTATTAGTTTCCATGTCAAGGGCTGGAAACTGGATGCATGGGAATCCCCTCCTGCAGAAGGTAACATGCTCAACCAAGGGCTAAAAAGTGTCTATCAACTGCTACTAGCCACAATGGCTATGTTCTCCCTCCACAACTGGAAGCAGGAAGCCTCTGAATGCCAGTAGCTGGGAGTCACAAGTGGGAGAGTGCTGTTGTGCTCACGTCCTGCTTTCAGGCTTCCAATAGGCATTGGGATGGCTACATTGAGAACAAGATGGACCAGACAGACCATTGGCCTGATGCAGCAGGACTATTCTTAAGTTCTCAAAAAGAATGCCACTGGAGTCCACATTAGGGATTGTGCATTGCAGCATAGTCAGACAGAGCTTAGAATGCATGAACAGAAATTGGAACATTACAAATGGAAGCCATCGTGGATCTCATTCATGGTTCTCTACACCCCAAGTCTTGAATCTACCCTTCTCAGGGTCTTCTGGGGAGCACAATTTAGCTTTGTTCAGGGGCCTCGATTTCCCAGAGACCAGAAGCCTCCACCTGCCTGCAGAAGTTGCCAGCTCCAAGAATATTTTTTAGTGCACGCTCCGGGAATGCTTCCTTCCAACCCTCTCACTTGCAGTGCTCTTTCCCACCTGGAGAAAGGCATCACTGTCTATGGTAAGCCACCTCTTCCTGCACAGTTTGTCTGAACCAGTAACCTCCACAAGGAGACAGAGGCTTCTCTCCGTAGGGTGAGTTTAGTAAAATATTACAGCCTCAACCAGGACTGTGTTTTAAAATACGCCAAGGCCAACTCGGGTTGTGAAAAAACACTTTAAGGTTGATTACATTTACCAAGGTATGTATCAAACAGCTTAAGAGAAATTTCATGTGTTTGCTAATATTGCTGGGAGCCAAATTGTCTCAGCTTCTAATGGTCAGTGCTCCCAAATTCCTCAAGAGTTTTTCAGAAAATTCCGTCAATAGCAATTCCGCCAACAGAAAAAAAAAAAAAAAAAAAGACTCCTGGAGCGAGACAGTGGGCCAACCTACCACAGAATGGTGCCAAGCAACCAAAACATGCCACGCGAGTGCAACCCCAGTACAAGTGACAGAAGGGTTGGAGACAGATGGTGCCTGTGAACACAGAGAGCAGAGAACATGTTGTGGCATCAGGCATCCAGAATATCAAGTAGTATTAGCTATCAATGAACACACTCCCATTATATCTGTTGCATACAGTGAGCATCTTCACCCTCACTCAGCCAGCCAACCACTACTTATAGGAAGTTGGGGGTGAGCATACAGGTAGCATCTCCCCAAAGTGACATCACTTCCTTTTTTTTAAAAAAAATTATTAAATTTTCCAACATACATTTATAGTATCCAATCTAAATTTATCACATATTTTCTCTTTTAGACTTCCTTCAACCTCTCTGACAATCATCCATTATTCAAATTTTAAAATACGCATTTCCTAATTTTATATTGCATTTTATAAACCTTCACACACTTAGTTTTCATCAATACAATAGTCCTCTATCATTTACAGAACTTCTTGAAATCCCACTAGCGTTATTTGCTCATCACATACACATTTCAGATAGTCTGAAAATTTTCCCCAGTCTTCAATGAACTTTTGATCTCGTATATATCTGATCTTTCCTGTTAGTTTGTCCAGTTCAGCATACTCCATCAGTTTCATTCTCCATTCTTCGAGCGTCGGCAGTTGTTCCTGTTTCCATTTTTGGGCCAATAATATTCTCGCTGCTGTTACTGCATATTGGAAAAGTTTACAGTCCATTCTATTTATTTCATTTCCTACTATTCCTAGAAGAAAAGCCTCTGGTTTCTTAACAAACGTATATTTCAACATCTTTTTCATCTCATTATATATCATTTCCCAGAAGCCCTTCACCTTCTTACAATCCCACCACATATGATAAAATGTTCCTTCTTTTTCTTTACATTTCCAACACTTATTACATGTTTTATACATTTTTGCCAGTTTCACAGGTGTGATGTACCATCTATAAATCATTTTCATAACATTTTCCTTTAACGCAGTACATGCCGTAAATTTTATATTTTCATTCCACAGTTTTATCCAATCATTAAACTGTATATTATAACCCAAATCTCTGGCCCAGTGTATCATAACCGATTTAACTTCCTCATCTTTTGTATACCATTCTAGCAAGATTTTATACATCTTGGACAAAATTTTATTTTCATTGTTTATTATTTCTATTTGAAATTTCGATTCTTTTACCTCATAACCTCTTTCTTTTAAGTCCTTTTTAAACATTTCGTTAACCTGATAATAATGCAACCAATCATACACATACTCTTTCACTTCTTCATAGGATTTCATTTTCCATTTTCCTCCTTCCTTTATAATCAATTCTTTATATGTAATCCAGTTCCCCCTCATATTGACTTTCTTAAGACTCACAACTTCTAACGGAGATGGCCAGTGGGGAGTTCTTGATTCTAATAAACTTCTATATCTCTCCCATATTTCTATGAGAGATCTTCTAAAGAGAGATCTTCTAAAGAGAGATCTTCTAAAGGTTTTCGAAACCTTTATGAATCTTTCTTTTCTCACACCATAGATATGCGTGCCAGCCAAATCTGTTATCAAAACCTTCTAAGTCCAATAACTCAGTATTTTTTAACTTTATCCATTCTTTCAACCAGCAGAGACATGAAGCTTCATAATATAATTTCAAGTCTGGCAGGGCGAAGCCGCCTCTTTCTTTCGCATCCGTTAATAACTTATACATAATTCTTGGCTTCTTACCCTGCCAGATATATCTTGAAATTGCTCTTTGCCACTCTTTAAATATCGCTGTCCCCTTAATTATTGGAATTGTCTGAAATAAGAATAACATCTTTGGCAGCACACTCATCTTAATCGTTGAAATTCTCCCCCGAAAGGATAACTTCATTCGGCCCCACACCTCTAGATCTTTCTTTATTCCCTTCCACACTGGCACATAATTATTCTGAAACAAATCAATACTCTTGGGGGTTAACCAGATTCCCAGGTATTTAACTTTTTCACCACTTCTATCCCTGTTTGTTGTTGCATTGTTTCTATCATACCTTGATCCATATTTTTTGCTAACATTTTAGTTTTTTTCTTATTCAATATAAACCCTGCCACTTGACCAAATTGTTCAACTTCCTCCAAAACAACTTTTGAACTTTCCGGCGGTTCTTCCACTGTTATTACCAGATCATCAGCAAAGGCTTTTACTTTATATTCATTACGGCCTACTGACACACCTTTTATTGCTTCATTTCTCCTTATTGAATTTAGGAAAATCTCCAGAACCATTATGAATAACAATGGTGAAAGAGGACATCCTTGTCTCGTACCTTTTGATATTTTTAATTCTTCCGTAGTCATATTGTTTACAATCAGCTTAGCTCTTTGTTCAGTGTACATCGCTTTTATTCCATTAAAAAAATTCATTCCCCACCTCCATGTGTTCTAAATTTTTTAACATAAAGTCCCAAGATATATTATCAAAGGCCTTTTCTGCATCCACAAATATTAACACTGCTTGTTTCTCATTCCTGGCTGTCAGATATTCTAACAGATTGACTATATTCCTTATATTATCCTTCATCTGTCTGCCAGGAAGGAAACCCGCTTGATCTTTATGTATAACTTCTTGTAACACCTTTTTCAACCTCTTTGCTAAGATACTTGCAAAGATTTTATAGTCCGTATTTAACAATGAAATAGGCCTATAATTTTTAACTTGAGTCAAATCCAAGTCTTGTTTTGGAATAAGTGTAATAAAAGCTTCTTTCCACGTCTCCGGCATTTCTCTGTCCTTAAGAATATTATTCATAACTTCTCTCAATGGTGTAGACAGGATGTGTCTCATTTCCTTATAATAACTTGCTGTAAATCCATCTGGTCCTGGAGCTTTCCCTTTTTTCAACTCTTTTATGACTTCTTTAACCTCTTCCATTTCTATAGGGGCGTTCAGCCTTTCTTTCTTTTCTGTCGGGATCTACTGCACCTTTTTTTCTTTTAAGAATCTTTCTATTTTCCTCATATTATTTTTCTCTTTGTTATTGTATAAACGACTGTAAAAGTCCAAGAATCCTTTCCTAATACCCTTTGGATTGACTATCTCTTCACTTTCCATGATGATTTTATTTATTGTATTCTGCTCCTTTCTTTTCTTAATTTGCCACGCCAGCCATTTTCCTGATTTGTTTGCAAACTCGAAGTTTCTTTGTCGCAGCTTTTTTATATTCCATTCCACCTCTTTGTTTATTATCATCGCAAATTGTGTTTGCAGAGCTTTTATGGTCTGTTTTATTTTTAAATTATCTGGTTTCTTGATTAATTTTTGTTCATTGTCCATTATTTGTTTTAAGATTTTCTTCTTGCCTTTTTCTCTGCTTTTATTTTTAATTGAGTTCTGGTGTATAAAAAATCCTCTCATCACCGCCTTGCTGGCGTCCCACACTACATTCATTTTTGTACCCTTATTACAATTGTTTGAAAAGTACTCCAACTTCTTTCGTGCTTCCTCTAAAATTTTTTCATCTAGAAGGTAATCGTTAATTCACCACCTGAAAGTTCTTTCTTCATAACCTCTTATTTCACATTTGATTGGATTGTGATCTGAAATTACTCTTGGGTGAATTTCAGCTTTTATGATTCTTGGAGTCAATTCGTTAGATACCCATATCTGATTTGATTCTCGACATTGACTGATTTGATTCCAAATGGAACGTAAACTGTTTGTCAAGTGGATGTCTTAGTCTCCATATATCTATTAAATTACAGTTCTTTATCATTGAGAAAAAGGTTTATGGTAGTTTTCCCTCTTTACTCAACCCTGATGCTCTCAATCTGTCCATATCCATTGACACTACTCCGTTCCTATCTCCCATTATTATAATTTTTTGGTCCATATAATCAAACAGTTTTTCTTCCAAATTTTTGTAAAAATCAGTCTTATTTCCATTTGGTGCATAGATCCTGACAATTATTATTTTTTCGCCTTGCCACTTGATCTGGACTGCAATTATTCTTCCTTCTTCATCTTTAAAGATTTGCTGAGTTTCAATTTTGTTTCTTATGTACAATACAAACCCTCTCTTTTTGTGTTTATCTGACGATATAGATTCATTTCCTAATCTTTCATTTCCTGATCAAAACTCTTTTATGTCTTCTTGCCACATGTGTTTCTTGTAAACATATAATGTCCAAATTTTCCTTTTTTAAATATTGTCCAATTTTATTTCGTTTTTTCCTATCATTCATCCCATTAATGTTCCAATTCCATAATTTCAGCACCATTTTGACATCCTAATTAAATAAATTTTATTTAAATTTTATAATCTTTCTTCTTGTACTTCTTCTTCTTCTTCTGCATTTCTTCCGTCCTCTTCTTCTCCGTCTCCCGATCCACCTTCCCCCACGGCTCCTGCTCCCATTGCTGCTCCTCTTGGTTCTTCCTCTGGTCTTAATTCTTTATAGCTCCTCAGAAACTTGCTAGCTTCCTCTGGGCTTGTATGTTTGTGTTTTTTACTTTTGTAGAAAAACGAGATCCCCTCCGGAAACTCCCACCTGAATTCTATCTTATTCTTCTTCAAGATCTGCACCAGTGGTTTATATGGGTCTCTTCATTTCAACAGCCTTATCGGAACATCTTTAAAGATAATTATATAATTCCCATCAAAGTTAAATCTTTTTTCTCTGTTCTTCTGTAAAATCATGTTTCTCATTTCTCTGTCCTTAAATGTAATCAAGCAATCTCCTGGGAATTTCCATGTCTTAGTTAATAATAATAATAATAATAATAATAAATTTTATTTATATCCCGCCCTCCCCAGCCGAAGCCAGGCTCAGGGCGGCTAACAACACTAAAATAGTGCAACATTATAAAAACATTATAAAAATTGATTAAAATCAAAATTGATGGCAACCATAAACTAAAGTTTTGTAAAGATTGCCAAAGGAGGGAGTCAGGCTGCACCCTGACCAAAGGCCTGGTGGAACAGCTCTGTCTTGCAGGCCCTGCGGAAAGATGTCAAGTCCTGCAGGACCCTTGTCTCTTGTGACAGAGCGTTCCACCAGGTTGGAGCCGCAGCCGAAAAAGCCCTGGCTCTAGTTGAGGCCAGCCTAACCTCTCTGTGGCCTGGGACCTTCAAGATGTTTTTATTTGAAGACCGTAAGTTCCTCTGTGGGGCATACCAGGAGAGGTGGTCCTGTAGGTACGAGGGTCCTAGGCCGTATAGGGCTTTAAAACCAGCACCTTAAACCTGATCCTGTACTCCACCGGGAGCCAGTGCAGCTGGTATAGCACCGGATGAATGTGATCTCGCAGCAAAGATCCCGTAAGGAGTCTCACTGCGGCATTCTGTACCCGCTGGAATTTCTGGGTCAGTCTCAAGGGCAGCCCCACGTAGAGCGAGTTACAATAATCCAGTCTGGAGGTGACCGTCGCGTGGATCACAGTGGCTAGGTCAGGGCGAGAGAGGTAAGGAGCCAACTGCTTAGCTTGGCGGAGATGAAAAAATGCCGCCTTTGTTATAGCTGCAATCTGCGCCTCCATGGAGAGGGAGGTATCGAAGATTACACCCAAACTCTTAACGGACGGTGCTGGCACTAATTGCACCCCCGCAAGAGATGGGAGATGCACCCTCAATCCCATATCGTCCCGTCCCAGCCAGAGGACCTCTGTCTTCGAAGGATTTAACTTCAACCGGCTCCCACGTAACCATCCAGCCACAGCTTCCAAGCATCTGATCAGTGTGTCTGGGGCCGAATCAGGATGGCCATCCATCAACAGATAGAGTTGGGTGTCATCGGCATACTGATGGCAGCCCAGCCCAAAACTCCAGACAAGCTGGGCGAGGGGGCGCATAAAGATGTTAAAAAGCATCGGGGAGAGTATCGCACCCGGGGCACTCCACACACCAAGGAGTGGCGGGATGACAATTCCCCCCCAAGCGCCACCCTCTGTCTCCGACCAGAGAGAAACGAGCGCAGCCATTGAAGGACTGTGCCCTGGATCCCCACGTCGGCAAGGCGGTGGTCCAGGAGTTCGTGATCGACCATGTCGAAAGCTGCTGACAGGTCTAGAAGAATCAGCAGCCCTGACCCGCTTCGATCCAGCTGCCTGCGGCGATCATCTGTTAGGGCGACCAGAGCTGTCTCGGTCCCATGACCAGCGCGGAAGCCGGACTGGAATGGATCCAGAGCCGGATCTTGTCTTCACTCTGAATGCATTTTGAACTGTTTTAGCTACCTCCTCCGGCTGAAGCTCTAACCATCGTGCTATCTCTGCTGTCAATTTCTCTTTAATATTTTCACCTTGCACCTCTGGCACGGCTCTCAACCTTAAATTAGTCACCCGCTGCTTCAGTTCACTCATAGCAATCGCATCCAACACTTCTACTTGTGTTTTGTTAATTTCCGATATTTCCACCTTCATTTTCTCTTCTTCTTGCTTCACTTCCTTCACTTCCTGTTTTGTCCATTTCATCCCCTGTTCCAATTTCTGTGTCCTCTTAGTCACGTCCTTTAATTGTCCCTTAAGTTCATTTACTGTTTCATATATTTTTTTATCCATTTTCCCAATCTTTGTATCCATTTGTTCTAATTTGGCTTCTATATTTTTTTCACTCTGCTTTATATCATTTTTAATTTCTGCAAACATTTTCAATATTTCTCCCTTAAAGTCCGACTCTTGTTTTGAACCTCTCCTATCTGCTGGTGTTACCCCTTCACCTGTTTTCTTTTGTTGGTGCATCATATCTTTTAATTTCTTTTACTCCAACCAAACCTAAATGATACACTGATATACTGAATATAACACAACCAGTGACATCACTTCCTGATCAGCCAAGTAGAATAACTGGAAGCGGAAAGAGGGGAGGCAGAGGACCAGAAACAAAGGGAGGAGTAACTCCCTTAATGATGGGGAAGTGGTGCTCTGCAGTGCTCTTCCTACAGCGGGAAGAAAAGGCAAAACTGCATTCACCCCACTGGTGAAAAAGGAAGGGCTTACACTCCCTCTTCAGTTCTTCATACTGCACACTCCCCCAGCTCCCTTTACATAAATTTATCCACAAGTAGCAGCCACCCACTATTTGAATCCCAAAGGAATTCACGCACTGCCATGCGAGGAGAAGGAATTGGGTGGTGATATCTATTTAAACATAGAGACCAGGCATCCCCAACCTTAAGCCCTCCAGATGTTTTAGACTACAATTCCCATCATCCCTGACCACTGGTCCTGTTAAGGATCATGGGAGTTGTAGGCCAAAACATCTGGAGGGCTGCATGTTGGGGATGCCTGATATAGACTGTCCTGTTGCAAACGTACACATCGTCATTAATACTTTTTTAAAAAACAGAATACTTCCCAACCCTTTGCTGGCTTAACTCTGCCCTCACGCCTCCATGGCAAAATCATCCAAAAGACAGCAGTTTGGAACAAACAGCAAAAATGCCTAACAGAGTAGGCAACCGACTACTAGCTCACATTGCTGGGGGGCGATATGCGGATTCTGTTCACGCTCCGCTCTGCGGTCCGGCATCGGCTGGAAACAGCAAGTGCATATCACGTGGCTTCCTTGAGAAGGACACACATACTCCTGGACAGCTAGGTTGGGAGAAAACGACAGGGAGACACGGAAAGAGTTGGAATAAAAACAGGGCATGGACAGTGAGCTTCATAGAATCTCAATGGTCAGGATCAGGACCAGGGGCCACCCAATCCAAGGTAAGTCAGACTTTTAGCGAACCCTTTCTGCATCAAAAAGCCCTGCTTGTTGCAGATTATTTGATTGTGATTGTTTAATTTCTATCTCGCTTAATATTTTAAAAATATCTCTAAGCCGTGTACAAAAAGCTGAAGCAAAAACAGTCAGCTTAAACAAAATATTACAAAAATACAAAGTTAGGGTAATATAAAGTTACTAATATATAATTATCAATTAATATAAATTCATTAGTCCATCTAGCTCAGTACTGTCTATGCTGAGTCCCAGCAGCAACCCAGGATTGGGAGGAATCCCTCCCAGTTGGTTCTAGAGTTGCTGGGGACTGAACCTGGGACCGAGTCATGGCCCTTCCCTGTAGACTGATCCAGCTGTGTGCTTGAAAGGTAGACCTATGAAAAATCAATGAAGGGAAGCTCTGCTTCTGCACATGACTGTGGCATGATGGGAAGTCTTGCTTCTAAGCTTTCCTTCTGCACATGCTGCACAACCCGTTCTAAATACCAAGACATTCCCTCATCTCCCTAGGATGTTCAGTTCATATTAAGTTCATGAAAACATTATACTCTGACCTGTTCTTAATGCATAGTTGACCCCATCTACGGAACGTGATTATTATATTCTTTCATGTTATGATCAATCATTAGTGATTGTTTTAGTCTTGCTATATCAATCACTAGTTATAATTTAATTAGGAGGTTTCATGCCTGTCTAGTTCTGTGCTCCCTTTCCCAGCCTTTAATCTATTGGTGATTAATGCCTATATGTAACCTTTGCTTTGTACTTGTGCTAACCAATCAGCAACAAGTTGCTTTGTATTTGTGTCAACCAATCAGCAATGTTGTGGCAATGTTGTAATATTCAATAAAAGACTCCTCGGGGCTTGCTCGAGAGATGCCTCTCACATGACACTTGCTACTTGTCTGTCGTTATTTCAGCCCAACAAATCAATATAACACCCTCAGCAAAGAATGCCAAGATGCTCAAACATGACACTCCGGCTATATACACTTTTCCATGGGGAACAAGTCAACAGGCGATTACATCCTATCTGGCCTGGGGTGAGAGCCCATTGATAGTGTTGCCCCATCACAATGGGGTAATAATGGGGAAGGAAGGAAGAGGAAACCTATTGGGGAGCGGGAACAAAGAACTTGCCAGGCAAGACACAGCACAAAGGCCTCGCGTTGCCACCCACTGACTGCATTCTTTCACGACACTGACCTGTTGGAAAGTTGGCAGAGGTAGATGGTGCATCCCCCAAGGGCTGCCGGGCTTCCGTTTCTCCTTCCTGGCCCGGGGAGGCAATGGCCGTAACGGGTTGCCGACGGTACCCCGGACACTGTCGGCACACAATGTATGGCTGACTGAAAAGACGGGTGCAGGTAGGTTATTGGAACTCGTGTGAAAGCCAAAGTGAATTCAATCAGATTCAAGAGCCCCCATTGGACTGGTCCAGGAATTCCCACATCTTGTTTGCAACCGTGGCTTCTGAGAAACTCAAGCAGGGCATGAAGACAGCAAAGCTGAACTACAGGACAGCGAAAGATCATAAGAGGCTCAAGTTTAAGAGGGGCATGGCCCTGATTGTCTAACTGGGATGAAAACATCAGGTAATCCTGGCACTCTTTAATAGGCAGCACACAGGTGAGATGCGGGCATGTGAGAGAGATTTCTTTCATGGCTTTTGTGGACCCTTTCAAGAGCAGAAGACTGAGTAGCTCCTGCAGCAGCAACAAGCCCAAAGAGAGGATTTTTTTACATCACTGGCCTCCTTCAAGTGTCATGTTGGGCAGAAGATTCCTGCGTTGCAGAGGGTTGTACTAGATGACCCTTGTGGTCCCTTCCAACTCTACAATTCTATGATATAATGCCCAGGATGAGAAGCCAACATGCCCCTGAACATCCATTATGGGCAACAGTAGTGAGAGAAGAATACTACCTTCATGTCCTCCGTGTAAGCTTCCCCAAAACCAGCAGGCCAATGATGCAATTCTTACCTTAGTACAGTCCAACCATGCTACAATAAAAAAAAAACTTGTGTGTGTACGCGCACACACAGTTTCCTCTGTCAAGGCAAACAATCGATATCACAATTCAAGGGCAAATTATAGGCAAGCAAAGGCACTGAAGGAGTCACCATGCCCTGAGAAGCGTCTCAAAGGCCAGATTCAAAATGTCGTCCTGGTAGCAAGGCTGCAAGTCCCACAAAATCAATCCTATTGCCACAACCACACTCACCTAATATCAGAGGATTCGCTATCGACGTCAGACAGCTCCAGCAGATCTTCAGAACTTCCTTCTTCATCTGAAAAGGACCTCCGCACCTTTGGCTGAAGCATGTCTTGAGTGATTTTGTTCCGGGCATCCATGCTTCGCACATCTTCTTCATTGCGACACTTATCTACAAACAGAGGAAACTCGACTAGCCTTTTGACCAGGAGCTGGTTCTAAGCTACACAGGCTCCCATTCAAAAATGCATCCATGATCATTTCAGAGTCACAGAACTTACAAGGAATCCAGGAAGTCTTCTATGCTGGCTCTTAAAAGTGGCTTTCTGTTCAAACGCACAGAAGAAGAAGAGTTTGGATTTGATATCCCACTTTATCACTACCCTAAGGAGTTTCAAAGCAGCTAACAATCTCCTTTCCCTTCCTCCCCTACAACAAACACTCTGTGAGGTGAGTGAGGCTGAAAGACTTCAGAGAAGTGTAACTAGCCCAAGGTCACCCAGCAGCTGCATGTGGAGGAGCGGGAACGCAAACCCGGTTCACCAGATTACGAGTCCACCACACCACACTGGCTCATAAATAGTTACGAAAGTGAGAGACAAGTATGGCATTGTTTTATGGTCACTGGCAGTTAGTATCACAGCCCAGGTTTCCAGCTTCTCCCTTTGAACCAGAGATGTAGAACCTCTGGGCCCTTCAGATACTGTTGGACTCCAGCTAGGTGAAGCTGATGGGAATTGGAGTCTATTAGGTATCCTGTCTCCACTCTAAAGGGCAGAAGGAGCTATGAATGGATTATTGGTATTATGATTTATCAGATTTCCCTGTTTAGGGAAGTTTTTAATATTTAATGCTGTATTTTTTAAACACTCAATTGGGAGCTGCCCAGAGTGGCTGGGGAAAACTCAGCCAGATGGGTGGAGTATAAATAACAAATTATTAATTATTATTATTATTATACCCCATCCACCATCACAAGATCTCAGGGTGGTTCACAGGATAATAGGGTTGGCTGATGATAAAGATACCAGCCACTCTTCAATCTGCAGTTTTCTGGTGCCTGGCTGGAAACTGATAACCTAGCCCAGATTGCAGTCTTTTCTCTCCAGGGGTAGCAGAAACAGATGCATTTAGAATCAGGAACTGGCTGAGGGTGGAGACGTGCGTTGAACCAAAGGCGAACTGTTCTGGAAGCTCTGCAAATGCTTTCTTGGTAGTCAAGATAACCCCACAATTAATTGGCGGTTGTAACAATGAACTTGTGTATGTTTATATTCACTTGCTTTGATATAAGCTAATTAACTTGCTTTGATGTTATCCTTATTTGTGGACTTGGGGTGCTGGGCTCTGAGCCCAGAAAGCAGAACTATCAGTAAGTCTTGGATAGTTGCCACCTACAGGAGGGGTCTCCAAGCTTTCCTTGCTTCGGGCTGGTGTCTCCAGCGACGATTGCGCGGCGGGACGGAGGGCGGGGGAGCGTGTGCCCGTACACACGTGCACATGCTATTTCCGGCGCACTTCTGGGTCAGAGTAGCACCAGAAATAGCTTGTGCGCATGTGCATGGGCCTCCTCCGACACGGATGTGCACCGGAAAGAGTGTATCCTCTGACCTGGAAGTGGGTCCCTGCACCGCACCGTTAAGAGTGGGCAGCAGCGGGGGTTACCGCAGGCTGGATAAACGAGTCCCTTGGGCCTTATCCGGCCCCCAGGCCGTAGGTTGGTGACCCCTGACCTACAACCTCTAAGACATGGGTAGGCAAACTAAGGCCCGGGAGCCGGATCCAGCCCAATCACCTTCTAAATCCGGCCCACGGACGGTCCGGGAATCAGTGTGTTTTTACATGACTAGAATGTGTCCTTTTATTTAAAATACATCTCTGGGTTATTTGTGGGGCATCAGAATTCATTCATCATTATTATTTTTTTTCAAACTATAGTCTGGCCCCCCATAAGGTCTGAGGGACAGTAGACTGCTGAAAAAGTTTGCTGACCCCTGCTCTAAGGGTCAGGTGGATTGATGGGAGATACTGGCCAAACTGATGTGTGCTGCTTTGTGTATAAAGGATGTATAAATGCTTGCTTGAGAGTGGACAAGCCATCTCCTTTCTGCAGTCCCACATCTGTAAAGCCTGGGAGACCTGGAAGGCTGATTTGATGTGAGTCTACACCTTTAAGAAAGCACTAGAACTTATCCCTCTGCCATTTTTGACATCCTTCTTTGGTTTCCCTGCACCCAACCACTCCACAAGACGACAACCCAAAGAAATGGCCCAGCCACTGATCTGGAGAGTCTTTGTTACCTACATTATATGATTAGTCCTGTGCCCCACACCTCCCTTTGGTAATATTTCAATGTTAAAAAAGCTGCAGCACTTGAGCTGGTGCATGCAAAGCCTAGCACTAGGCATACTGGATCAGGCTGCAAGACTAGTACATGCACCACCTGCCCCTTACATAGGAACAGAGGCACAGGCATGTGCAAGCCCTGTTCAGTCATTTGGTATGGGTGGGTACTGAATGCATGGAAGGGATTTTGGAGAATGCGCCTGGCTGGCCCTGCATTCCAGATTTTGACTCACATTCTACCACCAATCCACATACCCATCTAGCCAATGCACAAATTGCAACAGGCTCACCCGTGTGTGCCTGTGCACTTGGGAAGGGCTCGATTCATGGAGATGCAATTTCTAGAGAAGGGAGCCCTATTTGAATATATCCACATGGGCAGAGATTGATGCCAATTGTGTCAGCCAAGGGGAATGGTTTGCATGCACGTCAGTGTCTGGGGGTGGGGCTAGCCAAACGTGTTCTTGGAAGCCACTTGATGTGTTTGGTACCCTCAGCTACCAAATGACTGAATAAATTCACTGTGCGCAAGTGGAGTCGACTCACTATTTCCGAATGAATGCAGCTCATCTTGTTAGCCTGCACTTGATTACAGCACTATAGTGTTTGCCCCCACCTCCAACTGTTGTCTCTGGTGTGACCAATTTTTAGATTGCGAGCTCCTTTGGGCAGGAACTTGTCCCCCCGCCCCTCCCTCTAAAGAGCCACGTAAATCTATCATCAGCATCAACAACAAATATCTGCGGACGGTTTTCCACTTGCCTGGGTGCTGGATGAGGTAAGCTTCCACCAAATTGTTCAAAATATGGTTTTTACAGATACGTTCCACCGGACAGCGGCAGGTTGGACAGAGAGAGGAGCGTTCCATCCATCCTGAGTAACACGCGGCACAGAAAGTGTGCATGCAGGGCTGCAAGCTGGAGACAAAAGGGGAAACCTTGATTTAGAGAGGTGGAGGAGGAGAATGTGCCTACAATCAAATGTGATGTTCCTCATTCTATGCAAACCATGGTTTGTAGGGCTTAGGAACAAGCCTCTTACTTTGTAACCCTGCTCCAGAGTGTTCCCTCAAGTCATCAAACTGTGGTTTGACCAAACTAGAAAATGATTCATTAAGCTGATAATGTGCAGGCAGGAGTAAGTAAGCAAATGCAAGGCTTCCTCCCAGCACACCAAACCATTGTCTGCTGGATCAGAAATGCCGCATCTCAGGCTGTGTTTATACTCCTGCTGGCTGTGTGTTCACCGATTTCGCAGTGCTGCAATTTTAATCTGTGTTTGCATGACATTCTTCAAAATGCATAACAATATCCCATGCCTTTTATTCACATAATCAAATGGCAGCAAAGGTTCTGGGCTTTTATGTCGGCTCCAAATGCATTTCAACACGTATGGAAAAAGGAATCAGTTCAACTATCCTGAAATCAGCAACAGCTTTGGCCACATCCACACCACACATTTAAAGACCCCTCTGCCACTTCAATAGCCACGGCTTCCCTCAAAGAATCCCGGGAATTGTAGTTTGTCAAAGCTGCTGCCTTCACAGAGCACCCGTAACAAACCTCAGTTCCAAGAATTCCCCGTGACTAATAAGACATAAGACTGCTTTAAATGTATGACGTGCATGGGTTAGAGGAGTTGGATCCTACTCAGTCTTGCCTCTCTGCGCTCTGCTGCTGGAGGCGTCTCTCTCCCCATCCTCAACCTTCTGTTTGGTGCTGAAACAGACAGCTCTGCTGCATTGCTCTCAGGGCAGGTTGGAGAACCATGGAATATGCTTGGCTGAGCAGGTATGGTGGCTGGGAATGCTCATTGGCTTGCGGAACTGATGCAACAAGGCATGGATGTGGAGAAGGTGTTCTGAAGGAGCCAAGAGGGGCTGGCTGCACTTTCAGGGGCAGGAGAGCAGGAAGAGAAGAGAGGAGAGCTAGGGAGGCCGATCAGAAGACTGGGCGGTGAAAGGAAATGGGATGTGGGGAGAGGAGGAACTCAAGGCAACAACCGGATGTTGGAATCACGGAGTTAAAAGAAGGGAGGAGCCAAGCACAAAGTAGGGGGTGGGGCAAAACAAGAGACAGGGCCCAGAAACAGGAACAAGGGGTGTGTGTTATTGGTAGGAAGGAAGCCCAAGGGGACAAACAACTGCTAGATCTAGACCCCCCCAGCAAAGTGAGTTCTGTCCACTGTGAATTCTACAGTCGCCACAGCAACGTGACCTGGCAACCCTAAAGGGGTAACAAGAGCCGAACAGCAACGTGGGGGGGGGGGGAGGGAATGAATCTCACACAACAAATTGAACCAACCCACCAAATATTGGGCTCCGTGCTCTTAAAGGGTAGGTAACGTAGTTGCGGACCATGGTGATTGGAAGCAAGAGAACTCAATCCATCCTGGAGTATACCAAGTTCCATTGTGATTGCCTGTGTGTGTGTGTGCTTCTCAGCGCTCGCTCTCCCACCAGCAAACATTTTCTCACTGGGAGAAAAACAGCTCGGGGGGGGAGCAAGTGTGCGCAGGGGGGGAACAGTTCCCCACCATTTCCCCTTCTCACCTGCCCCAATGAGTTTTCAATCCCCCGCCACATGCATACTCTATACAGGAACTCAGCGGTGAACTGATTCAAAGACATTGGCCTACTGCCATTACTTCTGGTCAGGCCCACAGACACCCTTACCTGACACAGTCATGCAGCAGCTCCTGGCAGATGATGCAGGTGAGTGTTTCTTCCATTTTGTCTGGCTTCACATTTGGTGACTTCGTGTCTTCGGTCCCCGTTTTAATTGCACATACGTTTGGAGGAATCACCTGGAGATACGTGCTGGCATCGCCGCCTGCAAGGGGCAGGAGGGAAACACACATCACAGCGCTGGCACACACAGTGGAACCCAAGACATTGTTGCTCAACAAACAAGACGCTGCCCGAGCCTTCCCTGCCCATTTTGAAGGGCAAGGGATCTTCCCAGGCTAGGCTGGGGAAACAGTGGCACCTTTCAGCTGGGTTGCAGAAGTTACACCAGGAAGGGGTTTCAGGGAAGGGAAGATAAATTGCATGGCAAGTTGTGGGGAGGTAAGGGACAGTAAGGAGTGCCCAAAGTTACTAGGATGGGAAACCAGCCAGATCTTGGACCACAGACCTCTTAAAAAAAGAAGAAGTAACAGTTATTTATTAACCTGCTTTTATTTTCTTCCTGGCAGGCTCCAGGGCTTCCTCTTCATCCCTGCTTTTCAACTTGGGCATAGCCGACACGGTTTTCTCTTTATCCCCTGAAGAAGTGTCAGAAGTTTCAGTATTTACATTTGGCTGCTTGTGTTTAAGTGATGCTTCTGGACCACATGGTTCTAAGCCAGGCAGGCAAGGTGCAGGAATAAAGGCGTACGGTTGCGACCCTGCCCCCAAAAGAAGAAAAAGAAAGAAAGGGAAGTGCAGCACATCAGCAGAAAGCGTTGCTGACTGATTGAATGCAAAGCATTCTTGTACACAAGGCAAGCAACGGCAGCTACGGTATTTCTCGTTCGGCCAATATAGAGGGGTAGAACCGCCTCCTATTATAATAGATGTACTTGCTTGGTCTTGGGCAAGGGTTGGCAAGGTTTTACCTGCCTGGGCCAGTCAAGTCCCATGGAGATCGCTCTGTGGGCTGGACCACCTGCGCGTGCGCAGACGCAATTTCCGCCGCCGCACTGCGCCAGTTTAGCACAGCGGGCGGGGACTCGCCAAGTGGGCGGCTCGGTTCGGGGGTGGCTCGTGGGCCAGTTAAACTGTCCCATGGGCCACAGGTTGCCTACCCCTGGTCTTGGGGTATACAGAAAACCTGAAAAATGGCACTCCTCCTCCTTCTCCAAAGACTATTCTGGATTTCCACCCCCAATTTTTGAACAGCTTAGGCTTCAGCAGGAAGGCCAACGTGAAATGATCATTAGACACATGGGGCCAAGCGAATTGAGACTTTACCAGATGTTGAAGGATTATCCTGCTCCGTGGATATGGCCTCAGCGAGAGAGGTAGAAGCAGCATTAAAGAGGTTCGACGTGGAAGTGGATGGCTGTGGTTCGTCATAGCTAGCCTGGTTAGCCGACGGTGGCAATGCCGCTGAGGTCCCATCTTCGCTTTGTCTGGTACTTGAGGTATCTTTGGTCATATGGCACATGCTTTTGACAGTGGCTTCTGCAGAGGGGAAGGGAGCAAGGGGGAACGTTCTCTGGTGCTGCCTCAACAGCTCAAGAGGCTTAGAGAAATCTCTGTTAACAGGATTCTGCAGAGCCCGGCAGCTTTAAAAGGGATGCAGCTAATCTTCACTGCTCATTCTCCCCTGCCTCCACTGGCATTGAGCTAATCGCTTTTACTTACCTACTGGCTCATTAGCTGGGTCCTGTTTTGGATTCAAGGATTCATAAAGATATGCAACATCTGAAGAGAGAGAAAATCGGTAAGGCCAATGGTTCCCAACAGGTAAGAAGATAAGTTGAGCTACCTGGAAAAGGCCAATGGCCCATCTGGTCCAGCATCCTGTTCTTAAACCAGATGCCTATGGGAAGCCCACAAAAAGGACTTGAGTGTAATAGCACTCTTGCCGCTTGCGATTGCCAGCAACTGGCATTCAAAGGCAAACTGTGTCCGGCAGCTAAGGTAGAACATAATCATCATGGGTAGTAGCCACTGAGAGCTTTATCCTCCACAAATTTGTGTAATGCACCATTTAAAGCCATCAAAGTGGGTGGCCATCACTACTTCCTGTGAGAGTTCCCTAGTTTAATTACAGGTTGTATGAAGAAATGCTTCCTTTTTTCCTGTCCTGAATTTTTCAAACAAAGATGGGTCTCCCTAAAGACAACTACCTGGGGAGGTTCAGACGCCTCCCTGACACTCCCTCTTCCATTTCCAAAGTGCACCATTTCTGAGGCAGGAGGCAGTCTGCTACCCCCGTTTCCCTGCTTCCTCCCAACCAGCGCCATTGCAGCAGCTCTGTGCTTCACTTATCCTTAATGCTGGAATCTATCAAAAGCCAGTGTGTTCTAGTGGTGAGAGCACTGGCATAAGAGTGGGTAGGCCCAGGTGCAAATCCCTGCTCAGCCATGAAGCTCACTCCATGACCTTAGGCTATTTTTACACACACACACACACACACACACACACACACACACTGCCTCATCTACCTGGTTGTGGTGAGGATGGCAAGACAACCCTCACGTTTTTGGCCATGTGGCCCACAGCTTTCTTTAATGGCTAGGCTTTTGGCCCGGGACAAGAGTGTATCCCATATAAGCTTCACTTGGAGAAATGCCAAATGTTTTTTTCCTTCGTTTCTGCGCACATGCGCACACACACTAACCCAGGGGTGAGGAACTCGTGGCCCTCCAGATTATGTTGGACTCCAACTCCCATCAGCCCCAGCCAGCAGGGGCAATGGTCAGGGGTGCCGGGAATTGTAAGCTGGCAACGTCAGAGGGTGGTGTCGGCACAGGTTCCCTCTTCTTGCTCTAACCCAGTGATCTCCCACCCATCAGCCCCTGCGCCAAAGAAGCCCATTAAAAAAAGAAGCAGCAGCAAAATCCCCTTACTGTTTTCTGGCTCATTTTTCCTGTAAATAACATAGATCACATCTCCAGTCTGTAACGGGTATGTCTGCTTCTTCACCACCTTCTGTTTGTTAATAACCGTTCCATTAGTACTATAAAATACAAACAAGGCCTTCTGGTGAGTAACAAGGGATTAGGAGTGGGGTGGGCAAGAGAGAGGAGGTCTACATAAGTGGCTAACCAGAAACCTGAAAGGAACTCTGAGGGTCATGTAGTCCAACCCTGCTACTCATTGCAGGAATCTTGCAACGACAACTTCCCAGATAGTTATCCAAGCCTCTGCTTAAATACCTCCAGTGGGGAAGAGCCCACCACCTTCTGAGGAATCTCATTTAAACCAGCTTAGTCAGAGCTAGCATTCAGACAGAGGACGAAGCACGCACAGGGCTCACCTGGTCACAATCCTCCCCACTATGGCAAGATGTACTTTATTTAAACTACTGCGATTGTTATATCATATTCTGGGAAATGATATATAACGAATTGAAAAGGATGCTTAAAATAGCGTTTGTAAAAAAATATTATAGGGACAGAACTATCTAAACTGTACAGAAACTTATTCATGTATGCTACTACAGCGGCAAGAATGTTACTTGCCCAAAAATGAAAAGAAGCAAGGAAGAATGGATACAAAAACTTATGGAACATGCAGAAATTGCAAAACTTACTGGAAAAATAAGAAATCAAGATAAACTTTTTATAAAAGAATGGAAATGGTTTATTGAATATTTACAAATAAATTGTAAAAAGATAAGAACATTGGCAGGATTATTGTAATAACCTGCACTTTCATAAGAATATATATTTAAAGAAAATGAATAAATGAACAAATTAAGTTAATTTGGATATGTAGAAGATATTAAAAATAAATTTAAGGAACTGCAGAAAGAGGGGGAAGGAAGTCAAGTTTTGAAAATGATTGTAAAATTATTGAAATGTATAAACCTGAAAAGCATAAATAAAATTAAAAAAATAAACTACTGCACCTAATTTGGCACCTACACAGTATAAGTCAGCATATGTAAATCTGTGTCCTCTTTAGTCCCCCCCTTTTTTTTTTTAACAGTGTGTCTCCTCTTATTTAGCTATGCCTAAACTGGTCACCCTAGCTGTAGTCAACTAATATGATTACTATTTTATTTTTTTACTTGACAGGTCACAATTAACTTTTGGCGGGAATTTTGTAACATTCCTATTCACCCAGATATTTTGATGGTTGAAAGATAACTGTTCCTGGCAGCCTGGACAATTATTAAACTGCAAGAGCGACAGTTTTATACGATTTAGATGTTTTTAATGTTTAAATTGATTTTAAATGTTTTAACCTTAGTTTAAATTGTAATGTTCTATCGCCCAGGCTCTTTGGGGAAGAAGGGCAGGAGGTCGTCCTCAGAACAGCAGCAGCAGCTCTTGCACACAGTGATTAATATCAAAGTCTGGATGATAAAGCCTATTTAAGAAACACAAACGGCCGTTGCTGCCATCGGGTGGACAAAGCCTGTATTTACAAGACACTGAAGGGAAAGTGCTAGAATTGGGTAAGAAGAGCTGACCCTAAACAGCAAGGGGGAGACAGAGGGAACCTCACGAATAAAATTTCGCCCCCCAACAGCATCCACATGTTATCTTCCTCATCAAAATGCCATCCATCCCCATTTAATATAGATTTATGCAAGAAACCTGACAAATAGAAACTGTAAATCCAAATTAAAGTCTGGGGAAAATATGGGACGGCATTTTAAAGAGGATAATATAATTACCGAACAAAAACCCCCACCCTTGCTCTGCTCCCTCCTCTTCCAGAGCTTTGATCTCAAAAAAAGCCCGCTTGCCTCATCCCCCTGGGGTCCCAGAGAGTCTGATACCAAGAATTGGGAAACACCAGAGTTAACACACTTTTTACTCAATGCGCAATTTAACAAGATGCAAACTGGATTTTTCACTGGGGTGTGAAGAAGGGCAAGCAACTTTGCAAGACAAGAGAGACCCTGTTCATTTACAGTTGCTGATTAAGGGGAAAGTGGGGGGAGGGAGTTGCCAAGTGAGGAAAACCATTTGCTAGCCTTTTTGATCCAGAAAGCAGGAAACCTTTTCTCCAAACTGGGAAACTGCAAAAAGGTTCACTGCTTTTGCATAAGGCTCCCAATGCTAATTTTATGGGCCTTCTAAAAGAAATTGCATCCCCTTCCCCCAAACATAAGACTCCCAATTCATGTGCAAAATAATCCTAGTACTTTTTTTTTTTTTTACAAAAAGCATTTAGCAAACTGTTGACTTTCTGCAGTAAAAATGCAAATTAAAGCTGCTTCCTAAACAGAGAATTGGGGGTGAGGGAAGATGCAAGAGAAATACAGAACAGGTATCTCAGCTAAATTTGGAAACATTTCTCTTGCTTATTTTTTTTAACATTACAGCTTGATCCTATGCATGTTTGTTCAGAGGTAAACACCAGCTCTTTTAATGAAACTTCCTCCCAAGCAAACGTGTATGGGATAGTAGCTTTAATTAGGCTGCCCAACCCTGTTTTAGTAGTGATGGAAAGCTAATCATTTAGCAACAAACAGAAACACACTGCCAATGGTCAGGGGTGACAGGAGCTGTGGTCAAACAACATTGGGAGGGTCACAGGTTTCCCACCCTTGTTCTAAAGGGTACTGATGGATCTTTAAGATGGGAAGACAAGTGTAGGGGCTGTGTACCAGATCCGGGCAAAGCCTGGATCCCATGCCCATTCATGTAAATCTGGGCTTCAGCTGGATCGAGATCCGAGTGATTACACATGTGTCTGTGACTATTCCATACCCAATTCTTCTGGGCCACCCTACCTGTAAGTGTTCCAATTACTAATGCTCTCCATCAAATCTTTTATTGTCCTGCCAGCAAAACAGATTGTACTTTGGCTGTAATAATGTTGGCAGCTTGCTAGCTACAAAAGCCTGTACTCATAAGACCTCTTACTCTCTTATGGCCTGTTTTCATTTTTGCAAGATGATGTCGAAATAGTTGAACAGATTACTTCAAAGAGAGGCGATGTCACAAGTCGTGCACACAGGAAAGGGTATGCAACCAGAGAGAGACACACACCCACACACACAAAATCAACATCAGGGCAGTTATGGAAATCCCTTCTATTGGAACAGAACACTAGAAATAGTTAAAAGCTCTGGCATCACAAAAGGGGCGGGAATTAATACCACAGGGTCTCAAGCTTGAGGCAACCTAAGGCGCAATCGAGTCATTACCATCCAAGGAATCTTGGGAACTGGAACCTCAGTGAACAATTTTAAGGATTTGTTGATGGAATAATCACTACCCTCACAAAATTAAGAGTTTCCATGGGGAAAGCAGATAAAAAAAATAAAATCTGGTTTTAAGTGTGCAAGCTGGACAGGTCCCAAGAGAGAAGCGGGATGCAGAAAATATCAACATATTGCCTTGTAGTCAAATAAGGACAGCCAGGACACTCCCGCGTGAACACTTAACCAGAACATTTTACTCAACAGAACCAGGCAGGGAAAGCAGAAAGGGTTCAGGCGAAACTGACCTGGTATCCTCCAGTGATACTTGACCAGATTCTTCATCCACCCTTATTTTACAGTGATCTCCAGACACCAGTTTGTTGCCAGGAAAGGACAGGTCACAACCTTTGTGACAAAAATGATAGTGTCATTAGATTTGCAGATATTTCTGGAAGAATTTGGCCTTACTGAGGCCATCACAATTTCTGCGATGCTCACACACAGGGTATGAGAAGGCTGACCATCCCCTTTTATTGGGACAACTTTGTGCTCCTCAGGGATATACTGTTTCTGCACATGAAGTTTGTATTTTGCTATCACGGACAATAATAATTTGATAGCCCACCCTCCACAAATCTGTGACATCCGTTTTCAAAACCAGGACAAGTTTTTCATATAGCACCAGAATTCCAGGATAGCCAATCACAGCTTTCTCCAGCCACATACCCTCCATACTATGGCTTATTGGATGGGGCTGATGGGAACTGTAGTCTAACTACATCCCATCCCCCATCCCCCCCCCCAAAAAAAAACCTTCAGCCCTACATATCTAAGTCTGTCATCATAAGAGTACTTATCATGAAATAATTTCCATAAGGATAGCAGTGTGTAAGTCTGTTGCAGCAAAAACAATGAAAAGTCTTCTGGCACATTAAAGGCTAGCAAATTTATTATAGCATGAGCTAGTCCATGAAAGTGAAGCAGCACAGGTGAGGTTCCCACTTCCTTAACATAGCAGGCCACTGGCGATTATTGAGAAGGGAGAGTCAAGGCACGGAGTGCTCAGTGCTGTGTGGCAAAGCCAATCCAGTGCTTCTGCTGCAATGCACAGTGCCATGCTTTTCCGTCTCAGTAAGTGCCAGCTTACCATTTTATTGAGAAGCCAGGAGAGCAATGGAGTTCCACCCATGCCACCTCACTGGTCACTACTGAGCTCATTCTATAATAAATGTTTCAGGCTCTAAGGTACCACAACACTCTTTTGACCATGAAGTAAGTCCCACTACATGTTTGAGGACTTATGCCAAGCAAATATGTGATCAATCAGGCTCTGAAAGGCCATCTTCCCATCAGAGAACATACATCATGCAAAGGTCACATGCACACCACACATTTAAAGCACATGGCTTCCCCCAAAGAATCCCAAGAACTGTACAGTAGTTTTATTAAGGGTGCTGGGAAGTAAAGTAGCTATGGTGGGGGAAAATACAATTTCCACACTACCATTTTTTTGGGGGGGGGGGGAGCCATGTGTTCACAAGTTAACACTCTAGATTTTATGTTTAATACATGATCATAGTTTCTATATTTGTATTCATGCTTTCATGTATTTGCATTTGTATATCATGTCTGTTTCTTCTATAATATATATTGAAAGCAGCTTATAAAATAAGGAAACATTTCCTAACAGCATCTTACAGAGAAAGGCTTCATTAATTATATCAATGAAAGAGCACAAGTGGAAAGATTAAGTCAGAACTTGTATCCACATCAACAATTTTGACAGTTCTTATAATGATTTACTATTCTCTCATACAAGCTGGAGGGTTTAGTACAACATGTGCCTAACAACTACTTAGGCTGCAATTCTTTATGCAATTACCTGGGATTATGTCTAATGGGGCCTACTTCTAAAGCAACATGTATCAGATTGCATGGTAAGCATCTTTCACCTTTTTATATAAAAAAATTGAAATGAAAACAATTTTCTGAAATGCAGATGTCTTGCAAAAGCAATCAAATATTGCAGCTGTGAATCACAGAAAAATTGAGTATTATGTCAACTTAGAAAAAATGTATTACCCATGTTCCTCGACTCATAAAGGAGTTTTCTTGAGAAAGTAAAACATGGAGTCCTAGCTTATTTTCAAAAACATAAAAAGCAAAACAGCTTAGTGTACGAAACAGGAAGCAAGATAAAAACAGGCCCTTCCACGTAAAGCTGTAAGTCTGTTGATTGTTGATTATTAACAAGAAACTAAGAAAGCCTTCTCAGCTCACCCTAAGAGAATACCAACACAGACACACAAAAATCCTCAACTGTGGGTTCCCTATGGCTGGGTAGAAAACTATAAACAAGGGATTGAACAGACAGCTTCTGCATACCTCTCTGCCATCTTATAGCCTACACATCCACTGCACGACTATTTCTGGAACCATACCTTTTTTCCTCCCAATTGTCAACTCTTTCTTCAGCAACAAGAGGTGAGGCTCGGCTTCCTCAGCCCCCAAGCGGATCAGCTTTCCCCAAGGCTTCCGCTGCCTTTGCTGCTGTATTTGTCCTCTGACTTCCGAGTGCTCCATCTGGATTCACATCTGTAGAGTTTGGGACGGAAAGAAAAGTTAAGCGGCCAGGTGGGGGAAGTTTCATTTTCGCTCCAACTGGCAGCTTCTTGCAATAAAGTTGTTTTTCTGGGGGGTGCAGGGTTGGGGAGAAAAGCAGCATGCGAGTTACAATGAGACAAAACAAGAAACGAACTCCTGAGGAAACACGTGTTGTAGGTTTGCAGTAAAATCTTACCGTCTGATAAAATTATTCTTTTCAGGGGAGGGGAGGGAGCAGCAGCTCTGTAGAGGTGCATTTTCACTCCCACCTGCCTCCCCACCTTCTGAGCAGTAAGTCAATGGGGGCTTAAACCCCCCACCAAAAAAAACCTGTTCAGAATCTCGGCTTTAACCCTGTAAATTCCTCCTTAGCGTCTCCTTTGGGCGGTGGGTGGTTCTTCCTCCTTTTCAGTTTCCTCAGTTGCTCAACTCCTCCGCCTTCCGTTGCGTTTCTAAGTATCTTTTTTAAACAACCTCCCTTTAGGCTTAGAAACTGGGGGAGGGGGTTGTGTGTATGTGTGGGAGAAAAGCTTTCTTTTAAAAAAGGGTGGGGAGGAAAACGGGGAAGAGGAAGAAATAAGGGCCTGTGCCAAATACCTCCCCCTTGGTTGCATCCAGGCTCCTCCAGAAGGCCTCTGCGAGGTCTGGGGGGAGAGCTGAGCCCGTGAGGGGAAGGGGGGCCTTTACAAGGCGGGGGGGGGCTTTACAAGGCTGGAGGAACTCTTGCACAGCGCCCCATATTCACAGCGCCAGGATCCCACCTCCCTTCGCTCCCCCACCGCCCAGCCCGGGAGGGAGAGCAATGGGGAGAAGAGAGCCCCACTCGGCCCCCTCTCCTTCCTGTCCCCTTCCACCCCCTGCCCCAGCCCCACAGGCTGGGCTCCCCCCCCCCCCGGCAGCACCAGCCCCACCAGCCTCTTACGCCCGAGTCCTGCCGCTGAGGCTGCTGCTGTCAACAGACATTGCCAGCCCTCAGCTGATCAGGCCCTGGGCGGAGCTCGCCAGGCCTCTTCTGGCCTGCCATTGGCCGGTCTAGGTTCGAGCGTCACCATAGAGAGGGGTGCGGGTGAGGCCGGCAGAGAGGAAAGGAGAAAGGGGACCGGAAGGAAGAGGGCGGTGGCGGCGCTATCTATGGCACGGGCGGCAGCTAGAGAGTCGCTCGCTGTGCTTACCATAGAGTCCTTGCCTATTATTATTATTATTATTATTATTATTATTATTATTTATTTGCCCTTTTCACTGACAGGCACTCAATGCAGCTTACTAGAAACAGGAAATAATCATTAAAAAACAATCAAGGCCCATAAAGTCTGTTTTGAAAATCATTATCTATCTATCTATATCTATATATCGATATATATTTCTATATCTCATACACGCATCCCTCTGTGTAGGATTGATACACAAGGCTAGTTTAGGGTTTAAATAGAGGTTTTGCCAATAGAAAGAAGCTGCAGCTATACACCCCCCACAGATAATTGGGTAGGATTGATGGCCGCTGTGAAATACGCAAACACACTATTAATGCAAACAATTAAAAACAACAGCTCCCATTGCTCGGTCCCAGCTCCTGCCAACCTAGCAGTTCGAAAGCACCTCAAAGTGCAAGTAGATAAATAGGTACCGCTCTGGTACTGAGAAGTAAATTAAAATCTGCTAAAACAATGCAATATACATATGACATACGACTGGGTAATTAAACACAACTGGGGGCCCAAAAAGAGTACATGGTTGCTAATACAGGTCTGGGGATTCTTCTTCCAAGTGTCATGATTAAAATGCATCCTGTATCTTTAATTTTTTTTTTTTAAGTTGGAAACTGCAATATGCAGAAGCACTAGGGCCAATTTCTGTATTTGTCAAGCTACTAAGTTAATGTTTACTAGTGACATTTATGCTTAGTATATATTCACATAAAACTGCCAGAGGCAAAGGTGGGCAGAGCAATCAATGCAGATTTCACCCTCCTACAGTAGGTTAGTTTCTGTACCAACAAAGAGGTTGGGGGCCTCTTCAAGACCTCGAGTCAAGGAATTTCAAAGGAATTTCTAATTTTGTACCGCTGCATTACAATTCATTAAAATGTTCAATGCAAGTAATTTAGGTCAATTCCTGTCCCACTGCAATTGTCAGTTTAATCATAACTGCTAAAGCTGATTATCGGGTATCTGGAGAAGTGGACTCCAGTGCTTTGGGCAGTCCAGAAGTGGTCCAGCTTCCACTCCAGCCAGTCCCAGCCAGCATAGCCAATACTGGCTGCGTGGGCACTATAATCTTAAAGCACTTGCTTCCCTCAAAGAATTCTGGTTGCTGCCTTATTAATGGTTGAAGGCAATTGTAACTCTGCGGGGTAAACTAAAGTGCCCAGAATTCTCTGAAGGAAAGAATGTATTATGAATGCGCTTTAAATGTATAGTATATACATAGCCCTAGTCCAACCACATCTGGAGGGCCAGAGGTTTCCCACCCTTCATTTAAGGTGCCATAATACTGCAATCTACTCCTGGGAGTAAACCCCACTGAATTCAATAGGATTTGCTTCTGAGTAGCTATGGTTATGATTGTGATGTAACACAGCTATCCTTCTGGAAACTCTGTAAATCTCTGTAACTGTGTTATGTGCTATATACACCTGAATGTCTCATACAGAATGAAAAAAGCCTCGTTATTTATCACAGTTACGTACCACCGTTCTGTCATAGCACCTAAGGCAATTTTAAAATACTAAAACAAATGAGAAAAAATGTAAAGTTCGGCCATGTGAGAGGGAGGGGACAGTCTGACTAGAGTGCATGATTATTAGCCACATAGATTTTAAAATGTATTTTATAACTGATATTTTATGTATGAGGGCCAATGTGGTGCAGTGGTTAGAGTGTTGGACTAGGATCTTGGAGACTAGGTTCAAATCCCCACTCAGCCATGAAGTTGACTGGGTGACCATGGGCCAGTCAGCATTTCTCAGCCTGTAGTGGAAATTCTGAAGAATTGTAATTGAGGAGGTTGAAAAAGGGACGCGGGTGGTGATGGGGTCTAAACCACAGAGTCTAGGGCTTGCCGATCGGAAGGTCAGCAGTTCGAATCCCCACAACGGGGTGAGCTCCTGTTGTTTGGTCCCAGCTCCTGCCAACCTAGCAGTTCGAAAGCATATCAAAGTGCAAGTAGATAAATAGGTACCGCGACGGGAAGGTAAACGGCGTTTCCGTGCGCTGCTCTGGTTTCGCCAGAAGCGACTTAGTCATGCTGGCCACATGACCCGGAAAAACTGTCTGCGGACAAACGTCAGCTCCCTCGGCCAGTAAAGCGAGATGAGCGCCACAACCTCAGAGTCGTTCACAACTGGACTTAACTTTCAGGGGTCCTTTATCTTTTAGGTAGCATTGTGCAATTACCTAATTTTTTGCTCTATAAGACTCACTTTTTCCCTTCTAAAACGTAAGAGGAAATGTGTGTGCATCTTATGGAGCGAATGCAGGCTGAGCAGCTATCTCAGAAGCCAGAACAGCAAGAGGGATTGCTGCTTTCACTGCGCAGCGATCCCTCTTGCTGTTCTGGCTTCTGAGATTTAGAATATTTTCCCCCCTTGTTTTCCTCCTCCAAAAACTAGGTGCGTCTTGTGGTCTGGTGCGTCTTATAGAGCGAAAAATACGGTAACCCTTCATTTAATACAGACTTAAGTGCTTGCAGGTGCACTCCTATTCTTGGAGATGGCCCAGTTGAGGGTTGATTGCTTTGCAGCCAAGTGATGGTAGTACCAATCAAGCCAGGTGGAAGTAGCTGAGTCATTTAGCCTCATACCTGGAACAGATAAAAACCATAGGTCTTCAGCCAGGAAGTGGAAAGGGCTTAGAGATAAAACCAATAATTGTTTAAAATGGGGGGGGGGGGGGTCATTAGAAAACAAACATAAAAATAATTAAAACTATATGCATATAGAAAGTCTGTTTAAAAAATACAAATAAGTACATGTACACTAAAAACAGCTACAGCTCCTTGAGCCAGTTGAAGTTCCTGAGTACTTTCAGAGGCAGCCCCATGTAGAGTGCATTACAGAAATCCAGTTTATCAGACTTTACATACAACAAAACGTCTCAAAGCGGCTTAACAAAAACATTTATAGCACAATCTGAACCATGTTTAATCAGAAATAAGTATCAATGAATTTGATGGGGTTAGACTAGCCAGTTTAGTATGTCCCTCTTCACTTTTATCTCTACCTCTGCTCCATGCGCAAAGAGGCATGTATTAGAAATCAAATACATCTCTTCCGGTTCTCGAATGCAGCTGCTGTGAGTCTCCTCCATTGGCGGGGAAAGGGAATAATATGACAGGAGTTAAAGAAGCCAAATCCCATGGGGAGTTTCTGCTGTTGCTTTGATACACTCTCATTGGCTGCAGAGTAATTGAATTCAGGCTGTTGAGAGTGGTTTTCTTTTATGAACTAGAAGTACAAAGACAAGACTTCTTTCTTTCTTTCTTTCTTTCTTTCTTTGTTTTTACCCACTGCTCCTGTCCCTTCTTGGTCCAAGTAAATTATTATTCAATTGACAGAATTTTTGTTTTTGTTTTATTCTAAGTACTTAACAAAATCCTGCCTTTTGGCCCACCAAATGATCCCCCAAGGCAATTTTAAATAGCGTTTTTAATTATATTTCAAGGTTGTTTTTATTACTGTTTTACGATGTATTTTAATTTTTTGTTGCTTGGTGAACTGCCCATAGAACTCTTGTTCTGATGTGTCTATTTAAATGTTAGAAATAAAATGAAAACAAACTAAAGCCCCAATAAAATTCAAAATGCAACGGAAGAACAAAAGCAAAGAGCGGAAGTTTATATACTCAGCTAGCAAATGAAAACAGACATAGCAAGGGAGATCAAGAAACCAAATAACCTTTTAGATTTGCTAGAAAACAGTTACTTCGTTGGTGGCAGATGTTATTTTTGTCATTTAATCAGGGTTTGTATTTGCTCATTAGCAGCCCAGTGAGAAAGGAGGTAAAGTGTATAATAACCAGTGATAAAAAACCACACAGACTTAAGATTTTAACTGTAAACCGTTTAAAAAGCCTTAGATAGAAGATAACGATATTATTAAATGTGAAAATAAACAGCAATTTAGTACCTTTAGAAAACAATATGGATTAATAATGGCATAAAAATAAAAGCTTGTTTCCTCTGCTAACAGACTATTTCAGCCCCTTCTTTCTATTTTTATACAAACTCAAATCTTTTTAAGTCTCTAGTTCCTTCTTATTTGGGTGTCAGTTGCTTCCATGAGCAAGGAAGAATCAGCTCATTTAGTTTGGCGCCAAGGGCTCCCTTCCTGTCACCTTGTCCTTTATTTTTTCTCTTTTGGGAAGTGGGGGGTGGTTTGTGTGTGTGTGTGTGTGTGTGTGTGTGTGTGTGTGGTCACAACTAGTAAATACACCGCTGTGGCCATTAAAAAGAAAACTGGCCATAATTCAGGATGCTATATGGCTTCCACGTGCTGGAAGATTTCATATTAAAACCCCAGGAGGCCAAAAAGAAAATTGAAAATCTGAAAATGTTGGTTGACGGGGGGCTTTTTTCACATTTAATCACAAAGAATCTTGAGCTTTGTAGAGCTCTGGGGATTTGGGGGGGGGGGAGGAGAAGGACATTAGAACACTGAGTTTGAAAACAGCTTTATGCAAACGAATATTAGGTTTGTGGCTAACCATATCCTAAATGTGGAGGAAATGATTTAATTGCTTACATGTTAAGGGATTAAGGATCTCTTGGGGAAGACAACAAACAGTTCGAACTGTACATAGCAAGCAGGTTAGAAGACAAGCCACATTGCTCTTACGAATAAGCAGACTGGGCATGTGTTGGGTGCGCACTATGACTGCAGTCTGTGGTTTACATAGGAAACTGCCTTACACAGAGTCAGACCTTTGTGCCATCTACCATCTTTCCCCGAAAGTAAGACATCCCCGATA